ATATAACCCCACCACTGAGAGCGTAAACACAAAACACACGGCCGAAGCACAGCACACCGACGACCGCCGTCACCACTATATAACACTCCAGTCGTAGTCATACAATGTATAATATATTATAACCTACATCGTGTACATGGGGTCGATAGGAGACGTGGTGAGTCTTGTTCGATTACTCCCAAAGGGATTCCTACCCAGTTCTCAGCACGTGTATGTATGTAACTCGACTTCACCACGGCTGTAAGCGCAAATTTCGACGAGAAAAAAAAATGGTATGTAATTTTATTAGCAATACATGACGCATATTTATATATATATGTATACATAGTGGTATTTGAGTAGGAAATGGTTTAATCCATTATAATGCATTATATTCTACAGAGGAGGAGTGAATATTTATATATAAATGCGTACCGAATTGACAACTCAAGAATCAGGCAAAATTGTAACAAAATGCAGCGCACAAAATGGATAATAAGAATAAATAATAAATGGTCAAGGATAATCATGACTGATCTCTTTATAATAAATACATCATCACTGAAGTGACGTCATAATTGTACTTGAAATAATCGTTAAATAAATTATCACTATTGAAAAACACTAACAAATTTAATGTTATGTAAGTAGGTTGTAAAACATGAGATATATATATATTTTATAAGAAAACTTATAATTTTGTGTTTGAAATATTCAAAATAAACTACATATTCAATCATGTGTAAATTAAACGTTTCTTTAAAAATTACCGTTTCAATTTACTACATTACTTTTAAAACATTTTACTGCATTTTTTCAGAAATTATTCTAATCGACGAATTTTAAGTTCAGATTTTCAAATACCCTAGTATAGTCGTAGATACAAAATACAATAAAATGTTAATCACAACGGATGAAATTCAATCTGGTTCTGATCGTAAAATACAATAATTATTTTTTATACCCCGCCAGATTTTTGGAATTAATGATTGCAAACACATTCAAAAATTAAATCGGGGTCTGATTGAAGTCAACACCCTGTAATAAAAAAGAAAACATGTACGTACATAAAAAGGGTCTAAACTTTAATACCAAAAGAAAATTATTGTATAAGGACGAATTAAAAAAAAACAACCCTCCCTAAAAATGCTTCCAAGTGCTACAGATGAGGGGTTAGCTTTGCCATTGTGGGGACATTGAAGAAACTTTGATTAAAGCGGATCGTCGTGGTTTTGAGATTTTTTATTATTCGTGGTTCGCACATTTTATTATTAGAGGCAATTGTAAGAAAAAACATCAATACGTGCGTCTAATTCTGAATTCTATTCAAAAAGTATAAAAGAGCAAAGATTGTTTATTTCGATTACTATTATTACTATTATAATTATTATTATTATTATTATTATTATCATTATTTTTATTATTATTATTATGGAGTATGAGATCTACTCAAGTTATAAAAATAAATAACTGCACTAAAATAACTAATCCGTCCAGATAGCTACTTTCTCCAATTTCTTTTAGATTTTATTTTATTTTTTTTAACAATCCAATTTTAAAAATAAGTTCATAAATCATATTTTTGCTGAAATTATGGTATTATTAATTAGCTTTATGTTTATTATTACATTATTTCAGAGAAATAATTGAGTCATCGAGAAAAATTAAGTAAACAAATAAACAACTAAAAAATCATTTTTTTTCGGAGTTACACTATAAAATCCGGTTTCATTCAATATTTTTTCATTATTCTTCTATTCCTACACTAATTATGATGATATTTATTGCAATTAGTAACTATGAATACATTAAGTTATCTCTAGTTTATTTATAAACTTGCTTTGAAATAAATATTTACGTTTACCTAGAATACTATACTATAAATGTGTTGACGTCGTTAAAAAACAATTACGGGAAAAATGACATTGGAAATTCTATGCACATATAAAAGTATTCACTTAGATAAAAATAAAAAAAATAAATAAAAATCACTGTCAAGGGTTTTGGAAATTTCATGGCTCTAAATGGTGTTCGAGGATATTTCTACGAGACAACTTAATGTGACTGACCAAGGTGTATTGGAGAAACTGAAACATCAAGCAAAGAATATTAAAGATATTCGTTTAGACGACAAAACAAAAAATTTGCTTATTACATACTTACAATAACACTTAAACAACATAATTTACTTAGGATTTGTAGAATTATTGGTATAAATTATTTTGTTTTAATTATTAAAAACTAATAAATTTATAATCAGATATCAATCGAATAAATTAGCAAACCGTATTTACACACACGAACAAAATCGACGAAAAACCTGGTTAAGTCAATTAAGCTTCTAAGAGTCGGAAACTTTAAGAAAATATAATTTGTTTTTAAAATTACCTCAATAACTAACATCGTACAATAAAAGATTTTAAACTTCTCATCCAAAACTTTAACCGTTTGATAATAGAGGTTTCACTTATAAATTAAATTATTTAATTAAACTTAATTAAGTTAACTATTTTCATACATTTTAAAATTTATTTTTCATAGGGAAGTAAAATAATTTATTCTTCAATTTTTATACTATATATAAGAATATGCTGTATATTTATTTTTGTTTTTAGAATTTTGATATGGTTTGTAAAATTAGATTTTTAACTAAAAAGAATAATAAGTTCCCGCAGAATCAGTTAAAAATGTTATTTAGTTTTAAACTTAAATTTTTTTAATTTAATTTTACTTATTACCGATTTAAATATGATTAATGCTAATTGAGGTTGAGCTAAATTTGGCAAAGTGCCAAATGCTTATACAATCTTTGTATTTTGTTGAAGGGTAATGTAAGGCTGTAGCCACCAAAATACATATACTAAATGTATGTAACCGAGCCGCCCTCTTGCGTTTATATAAATCTGGAGATAATTTATTTAACTGCTCTAACTAGAGGGTGATGTAGGGGAAAAGCCGTGAGATCTGTTTTTATCGTCGATGACAGGGTTTAGGTGATATACCGTCACACACCCTCGATATCATAGCTGAGTCATCTCTGTTATAGTGACTCGTTATCATTAAAATATCTCGTATATACCTTAAATGCCAATGGTATCATTATACTTTTTTTGTTTGGATCAACTGAGAAAACTTATCGGCCCGCAGGTAGGAATTTCCTCTAAGCCGGCATTGGAAAAATGATGGTATATTCCTAGAAACCGTGCACAGTTAAATCGCTCTTTAAAACGTATCGCCCTTCTTTACTGGATCCTTTGCGCAGACATCGTAAACTTTTACGAGTGTCCAAAACGTTAGGCGTTTTAATAATCAAGAATGCATACAGTGCCGTTATTATACTGCCACAACACGCAACGTACCGGAAAATGCTCCATTCGTATAATTGTTTGGACGGCAAAAACGACTTGCAATTACCTTAGTGCCACTCATGTAGGTACGTTAGGCATTTAAAAAATCTAACTGACTTTGAAAACTTTGAAAACTTGGAAAACTTTGAAAATAGAATCTTTATTTTTAATGTAATTTAAAAAATAAAAAAAGTTAATCAAATTATATAACTGGAAAAATATTATAATAAGTACTTTATATCAAAATAAACAAATATTTTCTGATTGCATTTTTTATAAAATAATATTAGATAAATGTAAAATAATGCACACCTGGGAAAAAGACATTATATCTTCCTTTTTTATTTCGAGAATAATTGCTGAAAGAGCTATTGATACAAGTGTATTGCTCGAAAAAAAATTTACACAAAAAAAAAACATGTACATTTCACATAAAATCTAAAAGATAGTTCCAAGTTGTAAAATAGTGACAGAAAAAGACTTCGAATAAGATTATGACATATTTTTACTTAATATTTCTGATATTGAATTGAAAAACTTTTATAATTTAAATTAAAATCTATTTCAAAAATAAGAGAAGTGGAATTAAAAAAAAAATTTGAATATTTAAATGTTATCGTCTAATTTTGTTTTATTGTAATTTATTCATTTCTAAAAACACTTGAAATGTAAGTAGGTATGTTAAAATCTTAGTAATATTTTTGTGTTAAATAAACAGTCACAAAGAGTCATTTAATATTACAGTGAAAATTTGCTATTTTATTTAAAATTTACATATTTAGAGCTGTGGATGATAATGATAAATATTAATTATAAAATTATTTATGTCAGTAAAATCGTATTTTAATTGAAAATTGTATGATTCATTGTTTTATTTTTTAACCATTGATTCTAAAATTCAATATTGTAACAATCTTACCCAAAGATACAACATTAGCTGATAAAAGGCAAAAGAAACTAAACGACATGGTCTACATTTAAAGTATAGTTGAAGCTTTTGTCAAAATAACGAAGTTATTGAACAGTGTACAATCTACTACTGCGATCTGCCGGACGATAAAACAAATATATATCTACTAAAGCACCACCCAACAGTCAAATATTACAAAAACAACCATAACGCACAAGAGCAATTTAAAAGTAATGTAAAAGAATCATTTTGCCGAAATAAAAAAAAAATGGATTAAAATAGTTCAAAACATTATATAACATAATTTTCTAATTATTAACAGCATAAATGTAAATAATTTAATATATCTTTTTACATAATATAAAAATTCACTTTTAAACCATTGACGTTACTCAAATAACCTACTTTTGAACAAATAACATAAAAAAAATTCTAAATTATCACATCTTAAAAACTTCATTATTCCGCATTTGTTTATTTCGAAAATGTTTGAATTTTAAAGTTAAATTTTGTTAGTATATAGTTTGGAAGCAAATTATTTAATTCGGCAATCATTTTTAGAATATTCACTGCATCCATGTTAGAAAATAAACTAAGCTCATCAGTTAAGAAAATTAATACATTATCTAGGAATTCTAGATTATATATACACTTTTCCGCATACATTTTTAAAACATATTTGTCGTATAATTTTAAATATTACCAAGGAATTATGTTGAATAAGTTGTTCAAATACTAAATGTATTTTTATATAAAAGTAATACCTGAAGTATATAACGTTTTTCATTGTCTTTTTCGGAATCCGAAGTAAATAATAACATGTGAGCAGCTAAAGATGATTGATATGTTTTTTCATATTTGGCAATTTTCAGTTTCAGTGTACTGCAAAAATAAAACATTTTTTATTTTTTTAATATTGTGTATTAATGACTTAAAATTATTTCAAAATAATTCTTACAAAACATGCTATATGTATAAATAATTATCTAGAGAAATTAGGATTTTTTAATAAAAATAATTATATATAATAATAAATATAAAAGAATAATAATAATTATTCGTTATACGTTAAACAAAAATAAATTTCAACAGAGAACTATATTTTTACTCACAGTCATATTTCATAAATGACCAATAAATTATAATACAGTAATTATGTGCAAAATTATAACATAGACCAGTTACAAATTTAGCTATGTAGTAATTATATTCTTGTACTTGATTATACAATAATAATTAAACGTTTAACGAATATATTTTAATATGTTTCTACTCCCAAATTATATTTAGTTATTATTTTAAGATACCTAAACATTAACCGAAGCTAAGTACTTAAAACTGATATTGGTTTACGAAATTTATCAATAAACCTGATAACAGGGCTACTAGTCAATATTTACTCTTATTTCAAACTAGAACTGACAGATTGATTTTGTGAGTGTTCAACTGTACATACATCTGATAAGAAAAATTAATTTGATGTTATATTGCAAATTAATTTGTTGAACAGTATGTCTAAATATTGTTCTTGTAAAGTATTAAATATGGATTGATAATACTATAATAATTATATTATCATTTAAAAGAGTCTAATCATCAAACTGTCTCATTCCTGTATGAGATACTCAAATCGTCATTGTCATACCTTTCTTTAGGAAGTGCCGGCATAGGTGTTGGAATACGTGGTGGAAGAACGGGTATTGGTATTGTTCTTTTCGTTGTTTTTCCAATTTTTAGACGTTTGTTTCGTCCGTCCAAAATTGAAGCCATGTCACCATGTTTTGGGGGCCTCCCGTAAGCTGTTATTTCTACAGTAGCCATCTGATAACAAAAAACAAAAAAAAATTATTTTTGACATCTTGTAGTCATCGATATGGCGCTAATCTTTGGTATCCCTTACAACACCAATTTATGGAGTTGTACAAGTATAATAAAGAAACCTATGTGGACTTATTTTGGGGCTCATGTAAATGACACCACAATGGTAAAACTATATGTCAGCTACAGCGATTGTCAAAACAACAATAGAGAAGACTTATTTCCCCTTTCACGATTCAATGAGTTTGTTCCTTTTCAATCAACTATACTTCCTGATATCACATACTTTGTAATGTGTACTCAATAATTTGACATTTGAAAATAAAAATTCTCGTTTTATAACATTAACCTCACGAATGATGATAATGCACAAGTTTTTAAATAACATCGCGTTACTTTGTGTTTTTGTTCATATTTTCGATAATATGACGGTTGTCAATACGATTTATTTAATAAACTACACCTATTGTATTAATTTTGCGTACTTAAATTAATTAAATGAAATATAAGTAAAAGTTTTGAAATTGAAAACGTTAAATTCCCCTTTCGAACAACAATTTACCTAAAACGTAGCATATTTATTCGCTGCGCAAAACTGTCACGCAAAATTACAGGCTCATTTAGATTTATATCATTACCATAATTACTTGTGCAATACATTTTTTTTTTAATTCCATTAGAATAATATTTATACACAACATTCGTTTGGAGAAAAAATTATTACTTCTATTATACTTTCGTACAGATATTGCAATAACAATTCTTTGTTGCGTCGACCCCGGATAATAGGTTTCTTCCCAAGCGATTGTTCGCCGATCGGACACGTGATTTTTGGAGAGGGTGACACACACTGCGTGATTATAATATATTATATACATGCTTCCCATGCTACGTTGGACGAATGAGGGTGTTTTTATCCCCGTTCCTTGCATGCGTTGACCCTACGCCGTTTTTGACAGTGTAATTTATCGTATTGTGTTGATTAAAAATAATCGCAGCATTCATCGGATCCGCTAGCGACAGAAAGCTAATAGACTTACTCATCGTCTGATAACGACAAAAAGGGTTCGATATGGTTGTAAAGCAGCTTAGTTTAAACAAACATACCGAAAATATTATGTAATAAGTTTACCGATGTACAATTTTTATAAAAATATTAAATTACATAATTTCCGTTTTTCAAATAAAAGTACACGGGTTTTTTATTTCCCTTGAATGAAAAAAAAAATAACATTCAAATATAACTGATATATGTCCCGTACAATAATCTACTGCATTTGAATTAAAATTATTATATTTTAATTTTAAATTAATAATTATAATTAATTATAATTAGTATTTACTCATAGACATCTAAAATTAATTTAATCAATCATTAAATTTAAGACATTTGAAAATATTAATACAATATAAATTTTATCATAGCTTTGAATGGAATAATTTCAAATAATGTACAGCATACTATTTTGCATAAACTATAGAGAAGAAAGTTTAATAAAAAAAAAAAAAAAAAATTACAAGAACTACATAATTTGACGAGATACCTATGCATTTTTAATTTTTAGAGTTGAATTTAACTAATATTTAGTTGTAAATTATTTAAAATTAATTCTTATAATTTTCTATTAGATGCTATATAAATTATTTAATTTCCATCCATATAATAATTCGTGTAGATATAATTTGTGATATAATTCGTGTAATGATAAAATCATGTAAGACATCAAATTTTGGATGATAAAAATATATTATGAATACATGAGGTTATTGAAATTCTAAAGTATAAGTATCAAGAAATTATTGATTAAAAAAAATGCAGTCTCATGTAAATTGAAGTGCAAAGTATTATATATTTATAGCATTGCCTGTTTTCCATTTTTTGATATTTTTTAACTGAAAAAAAATGTCATTATAATATTTTAAATTCATAATACATTAATAATTTAAGCATATATAAGTCAAATAATTACAATGCAGTACAATACAAAGTATAATATTATAATTCATCATTATAATATATTGTTTCTACCAAAGACAAATAATTAACTTAATACAATACAAACCGTTATAATATGTAATTTTTTAAACTGAACAATACGTAAACGAAATAATGTCAAAAATAAAAAATTTAAATTTTTCATATTATTTATTTTTTAAAAATAATTAATTCAATTAAGTAATGGCATAAATGGAAAACTTTTAGAGCATATTAATTCAAAGCCTACTTATTATACATAATTTTTAACAAGTTTTTATTCTTTGATTATCCGCAAACGTATACATTGACGTAGATTGATACTATGACTTCTATGTAACAGTAATACTAACTTCATATTTATTTTTGCAGGATACATTTGAACTACTTTATTGATTTCATAATTGAACTATATTATATAAGAAAATATTGTCTGTAAAATATAGCATATAATGTTATACATTGTATCACAACTAAAAACAAATTCATGTATATAATTAAAACAACTATCAATACTTAAATATAGTTTTAATTACATTAAACACATGTTTTACATCCTGTAGAATATATATTCTAATTATATTGCACTAAAAAAAAAAAAACTTGAATATATTTTACCGTGTACTGAGGGGATGACACTGGTAGTGTTACCCAGTGAATTCACAAACTCACGAATTTAACCTAAAATGATCATCGAATAGTTCAATAATATTTATACTAGTCTTCATACATTTGGCAACATTTCAGAGCGGTTAACGTGTTCACCGAGTAAAACGGAGCTAATTGTGGAACGAAATCCGTCTGGAGTCATTCATACGCCGGTAAGTTATAATAATATCCTCGATAGGAATTTTTTTTCTTTACTTCTTAACAGCCATTCGTTCCTAGTATTTTTATTTAAAGTATATTATATGAGAGGGGAAACGAAACCCTTTCATCTGCATTAAAACAGTTAGTCATAACTCATAAACATCTATCCGGTGTACCGACAAAGTCACAATAAATCCTCCGAGAAGAAATTAATTATGACAAGCTTACCATTTTGTTCCTATTACTCAACAAACGTGTGGTCACGCGTAGAGAAAAAAAAACGAAAATTGCAGTCTTATGAAAATTGATTTATTTTTATTGTAAGCTTTATTTTTGGTTATAAGCGAATGCATTTTTGAAAGGTAATGAATGGATTTTTTAATTATTTCAGATAAGAATTTAAAAAAAAATCAATTAATACACTATTAAACTATCAGCATATGAAACATTCATAATCGGTTTACCTATTAACTAAAACTAATCACCTAGATAATTTATTTTTAATAAGTATTGATATCATATTTCATTACGAATTAACTTATTCAGCTTTTGATTATCTTATAAAGGAGAAAAAATAAATTTAAACGCAATCTAATTATTTTGATATTTATCACAGCTTTACAATATATACCTACTGTATAAAAGGCGACAATCAGATTTTGTTTGGTTAGCTAATCTAATATTTCTAATTTTTGAAATCTATTAAGTACATACCTTTTACTTTAACACACTTGTTTACAAAGGAAAAATGTCCAAAATAACTATACCATTAGTCATAACTACTGTAAAATGTGAATGGAGTGACTAAATTTCGAGAACTTTTTATGTGGTGTAAATAGAGGAAAACTCGTCTGTATGCAATACACGTAACCAGTGAATGTCCGTAATACATTATGATTGCCGCCTACAGCTCTACCCCAAAAGAGAATACATATCTTTCAACCCCTTTTTCAATCTATTTGGTAATTTGACATTTTGAATAAATGACGGGTAAACGATTGATTACTTAATACCATCTCCGTAGAATAATCCTCAATAATCCAATGATGTATACAAACAATTAAAATGCTTGAATATTTAAACACTAATTATTCACAACACTTATTAATTTAACGAAATCAGATATACGCATATTAATACACGATATAACGATCTTCAAACGTTTTATTAATTTCAGATTCCGTTTTTGTTTGCTTACATCAAATAAACTGGAAAAGCTGAGACCCGCTACCTGCAATTGGATATTTTATTAGTGTTAAAAAAAATGATACCGTAAATACTATTTAAAGATGAACCATGAACTAATATAAAAAGGAATATATCTAAGATACCTGGGTAGATATACAGAGTTCAGCAGGTGATACTGAACAATATAAGTATATATTGTTAATGATTAAATATATAAAACGAATTGGATACGATGAAGGTACAATCATGCGAGTTTATAATAATTACCATCATTGTGTTTATTTTCTTAAGAAACTTGGACAGACTCGGAGTGGTGCAGTTTGCACGTACGATTTTGTGTTTACTTATTTGTTGAATACAGTTTACAATCGCCAGTGCAGTCGGGACGTTCTCAGGGGACGATAAGTAGGGCAGTCGCCCTCCCCCATATATGGCCTTTCTTTTTTTCAAATGATTGTTATTTATTATTTATATCACATTAGAAAAATACACAAATCTGAATACATGTATGAAGTTCACCCACTCCCCCCCCCTATAAATGGGTTTAGGAACGGCACTGCGATGCAGTGTACTGCATTCACATGATAAACGATTACAATTTTCATTATCGTATCTAGGGGAATGTGGAACCATCGAGGATTTCGAACTATCGCAGAAGCCCCCCGCAGCTGAACGTGTTTGTGTATCATACGATAATAATACGTGAAGTTGTCGCGCGCGTTTCCCCGATAAATACAATAGGTGCACGAAAAACGTAAGCCGTGCAATTTCGACCCTCGACCGACCGGCAGCACAATGACGTGGAAACGTGATCCATTGTACTCTCTTCCGAGCATCTATACACGCCTTCGCTTTTCCGCCGGTTCCAATTATAATACTACTTGTCGGCCGTACTTGCGAGTATATTAGTAGCAGTAGTGGTAGTATGAACGTGTGCGCGCGTATTTATTACAAGTGCCGAACGACAACCGCGGGGTGTCGGTAAAAACAAACAGCTGCAGGGACCACCTCTTTCCCGACCTTCCCCCAGGGACTCGATGCAGGTCTCGATGGGTGCACGTATTGTCACGGCTATTGTACACCGAATGCGAAAATAACCTCTTGCACTTTAGAACTTGAACGAACGCGATCACAAATGCAGCACACGGCTGCGGGCGAAAAAATTTATGTCATTTTGTTTCCTCGTCCGCGATATATTGCGAATCATTATGTGCTTATCGTTTATTATTACCGCAACATCATTAACATATTATCCTACAAAATATAAATAGGTCATTTTTGTATGAGGCTTGTAAATGAAAAATATCGATAAAAATCGATGCATTTCTTCTTTCTTGCATTTATTTAGCTAACTTTAACAAAAATATTTACAACTAGACTTTCGATGACTACTTACGAATACGAAACTCTTACGAACGAAGACCTACAATTATAAATGATAATACTTTTATTAATTTTTTTATTCAATATCAAAATATTAAGATTATTATAAATATTTTTGTAAAATACAGTGAATCCCTACTATTAGTATTGCGCATTAATACACGTAATACATAAAATATACGTATAAATCATGTTATCATGAAAAACATATCCTAAATATGTAATGATGTAATGAGTGTAAAAAGGTAAACATTATTTATGAGGGAGGGATTAATATAATATAATTATATTTATTGTTATTTGATTTTTTACTAGCTTGGATATTGATAATATGGGATTGACCCTCACAACGACCCCTACCTATGCCACAAAACGTAAGCACTATATCACTACTTAATATTAAAGATCTAAAACTTTGCAGGTTCTTGACCCATTGTTAAATTATTTAATCCTAATATAAAATATATATTAAAATATGCTAGTTGACTTAAGTCCTGAACTTGTGCGATTCACGTAAACAAATTTAAAATATATAAATTTTTTTCGAAATGTGATATTATTGTACACATAAATAATTATATGTACCTAGTACCTATATATTGTTTACATGTACACCACGACATCATGATACGTATGTATTATTTTCTTACAGATGAATATTTTCTTATAGATTTTCCCAGGATTATTTATAACCAGAGAGTGTTTGCTACCGTTTATATTCGGATACACATACAGTACGTTCTACTTTCCACGAAGCGAAAAAAGTTATTGGTTGTATGTACGTATATATTTTTGAAAAATTCTTTTATATTTCCGTGTTTCAATCCCTTTTATATGACGTTGTAGTCAGACGAAAGCAAATAATATTTACTTTGAGGATTACACTATGCATTTGAAAAATTCAAAATTATTGTTATTCGTTCACATTTTCATAAGAAAACAATTATTAAAAATTCTACTTAAAATTATACATTATACAAAGCAGGTACAATATATCCCTTTTTATATTATTATTTTTTAATATAACATACACTTATATGGCCAACTTTGAAAAAAAAACAATATAAATCTTAAGCTAGGAAAAAATCATTTAACGATTCATTTAATGTCAACGCAAAGTATAATAAAAGAATAGGTAATACAAAGCAAAAACAAACCTCATATCAGTCATGCCAGACAAGATAATACCGAAACGTAAGTACATAAACATAAAGTTCTATAATAAATTACATAAGTGTTTGAAAACTAGGTTTCAGGTTGGTATAATTTACAGATATACGAAATCGCATAAGTATAATGTTATAATATATATTTATACTTATATGAACCACATATGTGTAATGTGTTTTGTTAAAAAAGATAAAAAGTTCTGTTCATATTTTTCTTTTCTCTTTTTAACAACAAGAGGAATACAGTTTTTAATCATTTTAAATGTTTCGAAGTATTTTTAAATAAATTACAATTTAATAAATACATTTATTTATCGGATCACTAATAATAGCATAAAACAAATACAAAATCATTGGATCGATGTATATATATAGATATACAGACGTAATAAACTGTTTTACGAGGATTCAATTCTGCCTCAGCTGTTATATTAACTCACAAGTTTATAGCAGTACATATTACTGTACATTACCCGGTATATTATTTATAAAAATGTTTGTATATTTTGACATTTTAGGTATGCCGGCAATTTGTTTACATTTATTTCGACAGGCATCACGTACGATTGATTTAAAAACGAATAGAAAGAATCACCAGATTTTATTACATAAACATACACTTCCTCATTATATTGGAAATTTGAAATTCTTATTTTAACATTCTATTCAAAATTAATTTTCAATAATGTAAGTATGATAAAAACTGAATATAAATACTAATAAATATCCACAGATAATATTTGAAATATAATATTTTAATTAGAAATAATAATAGTTACTCGCTAATTATCGACTAATATTATATATACGAAATATTATTATAAAAATTTACTGTGTTATACAGTATATTAATATGACAGTTGATAATCTTTGGTTATATTTTTATGCAAAAGTATTCAGTGCTCTTGAATTTCATTTAAATAAAGAATAATCATGTATGAATCATGTATCCTTATGTAACTCATGCTCCTAGCAATTTATAAAATATTGAAGTAGAGACACATAAATAAAATAAGTGTTTTCAAAAACTTATATGTAACACATTTCAGTGATTTATTAAAAAATAATGAATTCATATACTCGTATTATTCATATGTTCCTATATTTTTAGTTTTTATTCGTTTGAATGAATAAATGCAATTCTACTCCAATAATATACCAATAATTTCTAATATATATTTAATGAAATACATAAAAAAAAAACCATTCGTATTATTTTTTCGAGTACATTTAGACATCGTATAAAATTAACTACTGTAGTGTCATAAACATATTTATTTTTCTATGAAAGGTTTTCCGATAAAAGCAAAGTCAAAGAGAATGATTGTTATGTATTCATATACAATTCTTTTGATCTCTTAATGTGTTTCTCGCCTTTTATATAATATAAGATACAAAATATCAAGTGAATTACATTATAAAATCAAATAGTGAAAAATTTAATAAAAATTATAATCTTTTATTTTATTAAATCTTGGCCTTAAATGATGAAAACATATTTAAATATTTATAATAGATAATGAATGTTGATAATTAATGTAATATCCATGTAGACTTTAATATTGTGAATTCAATTTTACACTAATAAATATTATTTATAAATAGAATATAATTTAAAATAGGCTATATTGGCATTATAAAAATAATCGGGTAATATTAATTTCTATTGATTACGAACAAGAAAAACTAATGAATAATATGTATATATATTATATGTGTATCTAATACGTAATTGAAATTTTGCTAAAACCTTTATAAATTATTGAAATAACGCATCAACTAGAAAATAATTTATTTTGCGAAAAGATACAAAAGTATTTACAGTTTTTAAATATACGGTCAAATACGCTTTACCTATAATCATTTCTCAAACGTTACATAAACAAGTTTCTAGGTTTATAAATCAATAATTCGAATACCATGTATGTATATTATATATTAATATGTACATACTAACCCTTGCATAACATTTCTATGATAAACGAATACTATAATATTTTTGAGAAAAAATAATCGAAAGACATATTTCGTTCAATGTATATTGAAAACAAGCGTAAGTTATTCGATTAAGCAATTTTTAAATGTTATGAATTTTATTGTGATAAAAAACATGACAGTAAATCATAAGTATACCGAATAAGTGACACGTATAAGTCTTAACATACATATATGTTTCATGTGGGGCCCATTCAAAAGTGCTATACAACTATAAACCGTACGAATAACAGAAACGTGTACGCGCAAATACATTAGATATCGTGCACGAGTTTTAAACAAATTCGTGTACGGTTTTGCATGTTTACCGTTTTATAATTCGCTTCTACATATGTACGCATAAATACTCACAGCTAATAGTACTTACTACTCGTTCAGAATCATGATTTCGTAAATAAATATAGTACGGACATATCGGGGAAAAAAACCCGTTGAAATGTATCGGTACGGGAATAACACGACGCGAAAAGGACGTACAGCGAACGCGAAAACCGAACGGTTCAAGAACAAGTTGAAACGAGAAAAAAATTTCGAACGAAGCGCACGACGGTTTTGATGCTTCCGACGAGTTTGCCACGGGATCGTCGTGTTATGGTACAATAACAATTATGATGACAGAATAAACGTTTACGGAACTGTGACTGTACGAACGGAAAGCAATACACGCGAACGCTTTCCGAAACCGGACGCACACGCGCACCGCACTGAACATGGATAGAACGAAGCTTCGGTACGGGTACGAATCGTGCGCGGAAAGCGGTAGGGATTCAAAAATCCCGTTGTACAGGGTAGCCACCGTTGAGATGTGTTTTATGACGACGGCGCGTAACGGCGGTTCGCGTGAAACATGCGTGTACCGCGTGTGTCGGTGGGGAGGAGAAGGTTGACAGCGGTCCGAAGCACAGGGAAGTCACCACTCACCATGGACTCGCCTTGGGGACCCGAGTACCGGATCGTTCGAGACCGTCGAAAGAAAATAAATACATACATTATTTTTTCAAACGTTCGATTACATTTATAATTTGTACTCGCCTTAGTGATACAAAGTGGTATACTCAGTGGCGTATTCAGAGGGGGGGGGGGGGTTAAGGGGGTTATAACTCCCCCGAAAATGTTCCAATGTTTAATTAATTTAATGATCGATCGACACAGCGCCAAACGGTGCCCATTACTATCAACATATCGTATTTTATACACTACGTACAAAACTAACCCCCCCTCAAAAAAAAATTCTGGATACGCCGCTGGGTATACTACATCTATATGTAATAAAATTGAATAAATGTATGCAACGGGTTTATATTATGTAATATAAAATAATAACCAAGTTTAACAGAAGTGAACCGATTAGATTAGACTAGATATTTTATTACTTTTTCCTTTAAAAGGGAAGTGTAGAGTGTACGGTGAATATTGATTATGATTTATGTTCTTACATTATTACCATCTATATTGGTAGAATGGGCGGGAACGTTTTCCTACAAATATATTTTTCAATGATAATTTATCTGCGGACTAACATTTTGAAAATAAAACTATGAATGATATCAGTTGCTAGTGGTGGGTCGCGACCGGTCGTTAGTAACGACTCGTTACTGCTGCAACAGTACGGTACAAATATTTTGATCTGCGACTTGTACTCTCTCGGCGCACGGGCCGCTGAGTATATTATATTATTAAGTTAGCTTTGAAATGTCCATCGGTATTGGCTTATTCAATTTAAAAGAATAATCAATTTTTCACACTTAACTCTATTATATTATACAAAAATCAACTGAGTAAAAATCAAACTAAATAATATAAAATAGTGCTGTACTGCGTTACAATACACAGCGCAATCGTTATTATGAACTATTTTATACATGGGAATCGATAAAATACTAATAAATTATATATATATATATATATATATATATAATAAAAATTATCATTATTTTACTGCTACTCATTTCCTTATTTCTAATGTTATCGACTATCGTTTTCAGTTCAGCTTGTAAATATAGTTTTATGATCATATACAATATATGTAGCATTTTATTTGAAAATGGATAGTAGAGATGTATATATATATATATATTATTGTGACCGGTAAGTAAAAGAAAATAGAAATGGAGCAAAATAGACAGTGAAGAAAAACGGTGTCTTAATTTTGGAAGAAAATAGCTCCGACCGGTAGAATCTCTTCAACTGTTTTGTTCTATGATTTCTCAGGAAATAATAGTTTAATTTAAGAAATAAAAAAACAGTAAACTTTAAACTTAATCTAATGATATGTCAAAAGGGAAACAAACGTGAAAATAGTGCGCTCTTAACGTGTCCAGGAGTTATTCAAAATAATATTCGTGTGTTTCCCCCTTAAATGATTCTTAAACAATTAATTGACAATATATTATGATTCGTTACAATTATCTGATAAATGATATTCATATCAAGAAACATATATCCAATGGCTAATAATTAGTGACCAATGTATAATTTCAAAATATTATAATGATATTATATGATTATATAATATTATTCGAAATATTGGTTAATATAATAGTGACTTATATACGATTATGGTTTTCTCCTATTGTATATAATTGACTAATATTAATTTGATTAAATGCAATTATAATTATGACTATATATAATTAAAATATAATATATGTATGACCGATGTACAACTAAAATTGATTACGTGTATTACTAGTGGCCATTGCATTATTATATTACCTATGGCTACAATACGAGCGTATTAATGTATTGTACATGGTAATACATATTACGGCTAGTTGGACTCGCTTTGGGACCAGAATACCGGATTATTTGAATCCATAGATCGAACCAACGCGAAAGACCCTTGAAAGAAAATAAATACATAAATTATTTTTTCAAACGTTTGATTAAATTTAAAATATGTATAATAACAATATTTGTGCTGGAACATTATGCCGGAACTCGCAAGGATGTTTCCAATGAATAATGTGCCACTGTTAACAACAACTATTGTACTCATTTTAATTTTAAGTAATATATTATTATGTTCGAGCGTTTAACGGTTAATCGTATAGCCTATCCAATAATTTTTCCCGCTTGCAGATTTTCATGATTTCACGCTTGTACATAACGCGCCTACCTACGTAATAATTGGTTGTCATACGATACCTAAATGGTTATTTTTTTGACACATCTATCCGAAACTTATAATTATAAATATAGAGAAAAAGTAGCGCACTACGATTTATCAGTAGCTTTGAAAATGGTGCGTTACAATTTTTTTCAAAAAATAATAGCTATATCAATTGCAAGTTTAAAAAAAAAGTCCCGACCAGTTAATTTTTGATAAAAACGATGGAGTGCCATTTATACGTAATCCGTTGGTCTTCCAAAATATTATAATCCTTCCGCCGTCCACACTTTCGAAGCGGTGTAATGAAAACCCCGAGAGCCAAGCGTACGGAAATCGTGTACTTTGAATAATCCCTTTGGAACGTGTGGCCTCGTTTCAACGAGCGTTATACGAAACACTTGCAGTCCGGGTCCAATCCCCTGTACAGTGTTTCGTTACGAGTGGATACACGTTTACGTTGAAAGGACAACTGAGGAATGACGTAGCTGGGCGACGAGTTTTAATAAATATTTATAGAACGTTTACGTTTAATTGGAAAAAAATAATAATTTAATTTAATTTATTGTTCAACAAGCGTACGCGGATCTTTTCACGTTTAATTTCAATATTTACAATATTAAACGTGAGTCGTTTACTGGAGATTACATTTCATTGTAATAATACAAAATTCAGAATAAGCTTCAAGCAAAAATTGAGATTCTGAACCGACCCAGCAGGGAAAGATTAATTTGTAGCGGCGGCCTACTGGCAGATCCGTATAATCCGTAGGAGGAGGAAAAGTTTTTTTTTTTTTTCAGTAGTATAATTATTTATATTACATTATAAATATAAATCAACAGTAATTTGAAAATAATTTTCAAATTGCTGGTTATTTATTTTATTTTTTATTTCACTATTTTTAGTACACAAATGTATGCATGTTATAATTTTTTAAGATCCTCAACGCTGGTTTCGGCTTTTAAATGCAAATTCTCAACTTATTAATTGTCATACAATAAATATTATAGATAAAAACAATTATAATAAAATATAAACTAATATCATCCTAAAACTATTTGTTATTTATCAGTATACTAACAAATTTAATGTATATATCCCTTATGATTTGGTAGATAACAAATGTTTTGTCGTAATATTATTTTCTATAATTCATGTAAGCTACAACTAAGCTTACTCATTTATTAATTTATATATCTAATATCTTATACATAGTTCATTTTGTTTAAATTTCTTTGAATAAATTTAATAAATTTTATTTACATTATTTATAACATGCTATTTTTGTACATTAAGACAATAGAAACTGATTTCAAGAAAAAATACTGTTTAAATCTTATGTTATTTTAAGTATAACTCCAGTACACGTTTTTAACGTACAAGTAAAGGTATAGTTCCTTTTGAATTAGGATCGAAACAAGTTTTCATCTCTATTGAAATAATGAAAACCTGGATAAATTATTTTTAGAAATAATTGTTATTTGAGACGATTTGAATATCATTACATTATTATACAACAACACTATTTTCCTACTGCTATTTATTATTTGGTATACGTTTACCGATTAAGAAATAAATAACTAAAATAACTAATAGATGCATCGACATATATTAATATATACATACAGTATACATAAAAAAAGTAAGTTGTATTACGCATGCGCGTACAGTCCGGCTCAACATTTTGAAATTTAACTGAACTTGTGTATTTTAATACTCCTTTTTGTTCCCCGAAACCCCATTTCAATACAAGGTCATCAAACTGAAATATTTAGTGATACCTTATAGCATGAATACGCTGTATATCATGTATATAATAATTATTCAATAATTAAGTTACATTTTAATAAAAAAATGTATTATCACTTCTAATATGCACTATATATCATGTTAACTATAAACTTCTAATACCGTCATTTTCTGTAAATTAAGTTTACGAAAATTTGAATGATTAAGTTTATTACGTTATAAAACGAATAACCATAATTCTGTGGGACGATTTCTGGCGGTGGTATATGATGAGTATATCGCATATATACGTATACAGACACGGTGAAAGGGCTTATTAAAGAGAAATACATAAAACTGGATATCCGTTGTAGCGCAGAACAAATGCAAACCATCTGTCCAATTAAAAGAGCATATTACACTTAACCCCCGCTGACTGCCATTATATTGTTCCGGATTTTAGAACCCTAATTTACAACAAACACTAGCCGTCTAATACGAAAGCCTTTCAACTTCTTACTTTATAATACTACTAATATATGTATACGAGTGTATATATTTACGTGAGCACAATGTATGATTCTCGTTTAAATCGTTCTCGCAGCTCAAATTCCTTCAACGTGTATGTTATATATATATATATATATATCTAAGTATACGTGACACGTTGATTTCAAAATCGGAAAAAAAAGTAGGATTTAAAATGTTCACGCAGACATTAACGAAGTGTTGACAGTGGACTTTGTCATTAAATTTTCTGTAGTTATCATGGGTCACAATCTGCGGGTGTAGCCAGGATTTTTAAATGGGGAAGCTAAAAACATTTTTGAGCAAATTAGATACGAAAGGCTTTGGGAGTTCAATCATAAACCCTCACCCACCACCAAATTTAAAAATGTGTTTCCAGCATTTTAAAATAGTTTTAATAATATTTGTTAAACTATAATCAATAATAATAATAATAATAAATTAACGGTGATCAACAACGGTAGTATCGCCACGACAAAATTGTATAAAAACTACAGTGATTAAAAATGTATGTGTTAGACAAGAGTCATTACAACGTTCACGATAACTACCAAAAATATAGTAATAATCACGATAGAAGTAATGCACTTATGTATTTACCGATGAAAAACACCCGTTATTCGTCAACTTTTAATTAGTATCAAAGTTTTAAAATATTTAAATACCAAATAGGAGTATACTAGTTTAGTATATACACATAACCCGACTCATAGGGGCTATAGCCCACTTAGCCCCCCTCCTTTGGCCAAATCTCGGGTCACAATACATTATATCGCTCCTCCTACTACCCATCTTCGAAATTTCTCGCAAACAGTAAAATTCTTGCTTGCGCTTGCAAATCCGATTTACCCTTCCAATCCTTTATTTCTCCGTTCATCATCACCCGATATTGGTTTCATAATATATTATACATTTACTCCGCCCCACCTTTATACAATCGCCTCTGCCTTAGAATCGGTCACAACCTTCTCTCAAATGCCATCAGTCTAGTAACCCTGAACAAGTGCCTATCTTTTATATTGCCTCCACGGATTCACCCTACTATCAATATCTGCAATTTAAAGCGTATTGCGATCGAATATTAATCCCACCCGTCATTATCATTTTCCTCCGTGCGACTGTTACCCGTGACGACCCTGCGGCGTCAATGCTACACCCTTCCTTTTCTCAAGTTTTCGTTTTGAAGATCCTGCGTACGGTTCAAGTGTGCTTTTAGTTTTATATTTGAATATAAACTAGGTGTGGGCTAAACTCAAAACTCTTTATCGATCAGGCGTTCATCCATCGTGCGCAACCGGTCGCCGGCCAGCGCTTCCACGACGGACAGCCGACAGGCGTCGCCGACCATCGAACGACGCCCATCAGCCCCGCCGTCGATCAGTCGCCTGAGCAACCGATCGACGCGCTCGACGCAACCATAGTCCCGGTGCTTCGTGTGGACCGCGATCAGCCCTTCGGCCACACGTTCCATATCTGCCACGTGTTCGCGGCCGGCCACCTCGTCGTCTAACAGCCGGCCGCAAATCTCAGCGTACGCCAGGCATACGGCGGCCGACGCGTCCGCGGCCAGCTGCCGTAGCTTATCGGCCACGTGACCGACCAGCCGGCCACGGACGAGTGGCCGCGATTCCGGGCCGCACATGTCGAAGTACAGCGCGGCCAGTGTCCGGCACAGCGACGGTACGTCAGCCGCGGACGCCTGCCAATTGCCGATCGCGTCGTCCACAAACCGCGCGGGCAACCGGGCGTCCACGTAGCGCGCGGCCGCCTCGAAGCACTTCTGCAGCCGAACCGCATAGTGACAAAGCCCGTTCCGCTTCACCAGCGGCGACAGCACCTGCGGACCAACAGCACACGTCACGCGCAAAGCATAACCTTCTTGCCGAAGCGACGCACAGTGGGGCTAATGACATCATTAATTGGCAAAAACAATTTTTATTAAATCGAAATTTCATCGCATTACTATATGTAATTGGTACAGGATTTCGTATGCCATCTAAAACAAGATTCGTGCATGTGTTGATGCTTAAATTTAATTTGTCAAATAATTACGACGGCAATAATTTTCTCAGAACAGGGAAAAAGTGACATATGGAATGAGTAACGTCTAAGGTATCGTGAAAAAGAAACCAACGGTTATGCCATAAGAAATATCGCAATTTCTTTTTTATTATTTAAATCGAAACATTACGCATTATTATTTAACATCCCCCATTTTGGTTAACTGGCTACTGTAAGCTTATAATTTGTTTTGGAGGCGGAGAGTTATAATTAACATATATAACAAATATATTACGTATTAAATTTACACATTAAACGACAATCATTAAATTACAAAAAAATAAAATAATTTTACAATATTTTCAGATTCATCTCAAGATACTGTCTTAGACACTCGTCTCACTTAAGCTCTACGTGGTGTGACGATACACAATATTTTACAATAATAATATCTTATAATATTTTCCAGTCTTCAAAATTGATGATTAATTTGATATACTCTATAACTATTCTCAAACATCCTCAAACTTCGTTATTACATCCAGTTATATTTTGCGAATTGCTGAATGGGTTGATAATATAAATACATTTTAAATTAGAGTATATTTAGTAGTAATTGTACTCATAGTTTAAAAATTAAAATGTATAATCATTCATAGCTATTTCATTAACTAGAATTAATATTCTAGGTTATTTATATCTAGATTTTTTAACAAAACATTACCGTCTTACAATACCTTAAAAATCGTTGGCGATCCGACCATTTTGTGGCACATTAAAATTTGAAACACCTCTAACAGTTCATTTACACCGCCGTTGATTGACATAGGCCCATAGTTTATAAGTGAATTTATAATACCAAGAAGTACGTATTCTCTTAAGTATAAAGCCTTTTCGAAAAGATCGGATAAAATTTGTTTCAGGCCCTCCCTTTCGGCTTCTACACAACTGTCCTGCAACCTTCGTGTTAAAGCACTGATAAATGTTTCGTCTACGTACGGCGCTAACTTCTCTCCGTCGAATCCCTTTAGGTTCACAAATGCTGTGAATACCTTGTACACTGGACTTAGCTGCTTGAATTCCCACATCAATTCAGCGTTGATTTCGTCTTCAAGTATATACGAAAATAAAGGTGAACGTCGAAATACATTTTTGGAAAACATTTCTGAAAATTGAAAAATATGTCGAATTTGATTTTCAATTCCTTTATCATAAGATTCGCGTGTAGTTTTAAATTTCTTTCCCCCAACTCTATTGCTACATGAAATTTATCATATCGTACGATTCACAGTATATTATAATTTTATTAGTGGAATATACAACACGAACATGGAAATATTATCAGAACGCACTCAATATTTTAATATTTTTTTCGATTATCCTTATTTTTATCACATCGAAAACCCGTACTTACCGCAAACTAATTTGTACACTCCCGACGGATACGAACTATCATCTAATTTATCTTCAGTCCATATTACGTATAGTTCGTTCAACATTTTCAGCTTTTCTTTCAGTTCTTCTCCGTCGACGACTGTGGGTACAGAAAAGTACTCCGAACATACCCGTAGCATGTGCGTCACGGCTTGAAATCCCTCAACATCGTCGACATAGTAGTAAGCCATTTCGTATGATAAAATCTTAAATTTAGCCTAAAACGTTTTACGTTGGTATTTGTTTCATATTGTCCGTCGATTACACATTATAATATAGTTATTTAGTGTTTCATTAAATAAAACATGTCTACCACATACATAATATATCTATAAATAATATTATACTTACCAGTTATTAATTAGAGCTTCTAAATAATTTGATTCTTCAGTATAATGAGCACAAATATAGGTACCTTATTTTATTTATGTATTTATAACTATAGAAATAATATATACAAATACTGTTATTAAATTTTTAGATATTCTGATTGAGCATTATAATGAAGATAATTATTGGCTAATAAATTACAGATTGGTTAGTAATGATGATAACTATATGTTCTAAGATGACACTTCCTTAATTCTTAATAGTTTTTAATTATATAGATTTAATTAAATACAAATATCTTCAAACATAATTTTAAATTTTCATATACGCATTTTTATGTTTTATCAAAAAATGTAATAATCTAATAAGTGTACCTAATTGATTTGTGTTGTATTTGGAAATAAAATAAAATCAAAAGATTTTAAGTAAAAATAACAGGAATTACATAAGTTTCATAAAATGTGCATTAAATTTCCAGTTACTGCATGTCATGTATATTTAAATTTATTATTATTAAGTAATTAATATAACTTTATTAAGTTCCATCATAGGAAAAAGATTTACATAAAAATACTGATTCTTTTTCTTTGGTGCTTGCAAAAACAATTATTTTGTCTTCGATAAAATCATTATTGCCAATTTCCGAAACCTTATCGGGTTTATTCTTTAATTGATGTCCAATTTATTGTCCATGTTATTTGAAAAAGTGAGGAACGTCGGGTATCGTTCACAAAATATGAACGTGAACGTGTAAATGTGCATTCACAAACAATATTATTTCCAAACACTGAAAGCAATTGATTGGCCGAGTAATCCAACAGTTTTAATTTTTATGGAACCTATTAAGTAACACTATTAAGCATTGGTATTAAGAAAAGCCATGCCAATGTTTAACTGTATATGATGAAAATCTAACACAAGGCGAAAAAATGGATGAAAATATATTATGATGAACTCCATTATCTTATTACTCCCTTATTAATTCTGAATTCTGACGAGTTTAATTTAATTACAGTAAAATTAATAACAAAAAAATAGACAAAGAAATAGATATTCAATTTCATATTGATCCTTTTTTTACAAGTGTCATAGAACACAATTTTACTACATTTTAAAACACCAAACAAACAAGCCATCTGTTTTATTGTATTACAGAGAAATTATGATCAAGAATTCAGTTAGATTTTGAGCTTAAGGCTAAGTTTATATGCACCAATATGAAATAAGCCAAGTACTTATTTATAGTCATGGACTGGCTTCTTTAATAATATTTTATTGATCTTTTTAAATGTAGTACAAAATAATTTTTTCAAACTATAAATACATTTTTAGTTTTTTAAAAGTTGCGATTCAATTTTTAATCAAATTAATTTAACTTTTGTATGCAGTGAAATTTCAAACACTTCATTTTTGTTTATACCAACAAAAACATGTAGAAAAATAATATTATGCTTAAAACAGACACTTCTGAAAAAAAAATATTTTAATAAATCATAATCAAAGCAACTTAACTTAAAATGAACCCAAATCTTAACCACGATTCTAATACATATAAAAATTATACTATCTTATAAAATGAAATACATTAAATAACACAGCATAATTATAAAATAAAGTAATAAATAATATTTATTGTTGTTTTATACAAAAAAAAAATAATATTTATATATATATATAGTTATTTAATAATACAAAATAAAATACATATTAGGATTGAAAAATTATTGTTACCTTATATTAAGTCTTATTATATAATAAAACTAATTATTTATGAATCTAATACATGAAATATAATCAAAAGTTTCATATTTTGCAACTATTTAATAACTAGCTCAGTTGATTGGGGTAGTTTAAAATTGATTGAAGGCTTCAAAAAATAAAAATAAAAATTTTAAACTACAACGCTTAATAATATAAAATATATTTTGGCGAAAATTAAGATATGTTAGTCCATACTTTTTAATAATATTAAAATTATATTTAAGGTCAAAAATATTTTGAAAAAGAAAATTAATCCATCTCAATTTATCTCACAATAAAAATCAATTAATTGAACAACTATGAATCATAAATATATAATTGTCATAGTTATTGAAATTAAAACAGTCATGAATTCCATTCCGATATACTTACAATTGCTAAATAAACCTAAGTAATTACAAAATTTAAATTTAATAATTGCAAATTAACTGATATCTAAATAGAAACAATCAAATTGTTATGAAAAATATCCTTTGCTTTAAAATTAATGAATTATCGCAGCTTATTCAATATTTTGAAACTTACAAAGGGTGTTATTAAAATTAACAATCACAAACCATAAGTTAGTAACTATTAAAATATAAATTACTAAATACATAATACCGCCGCAGTAATTAAGTTTACGCATAAACTTATAACATTAGAAATTAATGTCAACAATTCTGCTTTTATATAATGTATTTAAAACTTTTTCTTCTAATCAATTAATATATATTCACGACTTGACTGAATCTTTTTTATTTGAGTCATCAGAACTCACAGATTTGTCTTCTTTTTCATCTGAAATCAAATATCCAACAAGCATGAAGAAAATTTCAAATAACATTATACAATGAACTACTTAGTTTTAAACTACATAAAGAGAACTTGTTTATTTTTATTTTGCACATAACATATCAGCTTATAATAATTAAAGAATACTGATCATGAATTATAAATGCAGTATGAATTAGAAAAATATCAAAGAAATGAGCACAGAAGTATTTATATATACTGGAATATTTACAAAAACAATTATCAGAAAAATATAAAGATATTTTTCTAAATTAAAATAATTAATTTAAATTAAAGAAAATAAAATCAATTTAAATAAAAAGTAAAAAAAAAACAAGTTGATCAAAATATTAAAAAATTAATAATATACCTTTGAGAATATTAAATTCAGGTTCATCAATTTCCATTCTATTAGAATCTAGACGAGCTTGTTTTCTAGCTGGAACAACTGTTTTGTAAGACCTAAAATTATAAATATTGTTATTTAAGATATGATACTATAAATATATACATATATAACTATTGGAAGATGGATTTCAACAAACAATTTATTTCTAGGTTTTTATGGTTTCCATTATTTTGCAAAACAATTTTGAAATTATCAAATAATAAGAGATGATCAAGGGATTTTTGGGTTACTATAATTTACAAAAGTATCAAAAACAAATTTGATATTTTTTTTTAAACTTTTATACTTTTAATTTAATAGCTAAGGCATAATTATCATGTTAGATTTTTATAATTCAATTTAATAATAATACAATTTTTAAGGGTTACGTAGACAAAGTGTCTGATGTAAAATATTCTAGCCTCAAATTTTTGATCAAATACCTGCATAGAAATTAATTAGTAAGAGCTTTAATTTGAATTTTAAACACATAATTTTTCTTATTTTAAAATGTTTACACAAAATATTTTTATAATCATAATATCCACATACATTTATATACATCACAATAAAATAGTAAAACGGTTCATAGTTGCACAAATAAAAACTGTTACGCTGTAATAATTAAAGATTTTTAAAAATATTTGTACAGAATATGTATTTCTGTCTTCATTATTTCATAATTTACATAAAAAAACAGACCCCACACAGAATAAACGATGATGTAAAATTATTTTTAAAATTAGATAGAATAATAATATTTAAATTTAAATAACACAAACCTAATTTAATTAATTTTAAATTCTTTTAGATCAATAAGATCTTTAGTAAAAACTATGGCTATTAATAAATGTTAATGATTTATTACTTTCAAAAATTGAGCTATAGAATTTAAAAATAAATTGATTTAGATACCTATTATCTTTTCGTCCACCGCCCCCAACACCTGGAGCCATTCCTTCATCTTCACTGTCGCTAAATTCATTGTCAGGAGCAATTCGTTTATCAGTAATAGATTGAGGATTCCTGTCATCTGGGTTAACATTGTCTTCATCATCTGATTCATGACGTACACTATCTTCAGGAATAGCTAACAATAACAGATAAACACATTATTAATTTATCAATAAAAATTTAAATTTTCAAATGGGATCAAACAAATTATTTTTACAAATAATATATTAACCTTGGACTTGGACTCCTGGTGCATGAGGTAACATTCTTAAATTTTCAAAAAGTCGATTTTTAATTTTTTCTAAATATTCTGTAGCATTTGTATTAGACATGTTTGAAGGGCTAATATGAAGCTTAAAATCTGGTCCAAAGTATTCAAAATAATCATTGTATGGTAATTCATTTGCTATTTCAGCTCCTAAAGCCACAGCTGTTTCATAAGTCCAACATCGGGATACATTTCTGATAGTATAACCTCCTCCTCCAACCATAAGAAAAGGTAAACCATATCGTTTCACAAACTCAACACATTTACCATGACCTAAAAGATTACCAATTCACAGTTATTAAAAGCATTTTAACTATCAATAAAATATTCCAGAAATGATCTTACCTTTAACAGTTAAATTAAAACATCCCAGTCTATCTCCTGTTAAGGAATCAGCTCCACATTGTAAAACAACTGCACTAGGTTGGAAAGTCTCCATGACTTTAGTAATTATAGGTACAAATATTGATTCATAACTGTCATCATCCATTCCGTCTCTGAGAGGAATGTTTACAGCATAGTATTTTCCTTTTCCAGCACCAATATCCTATAATGAAAAATATATTTTAATACAGTAAAAATATTAACTTACATCTGACTTTTGATTTTTTTATAGTAAATATGAAAAATATAAAATCTAGAAATTTAACTCAAAATACTTTGATTTAAAAATGTAAATTAGTAACAAACAATAATTTATTCCAAACTTATCAAATATTTTCTCCTTCATTGTTTATATTTGATATTATTTGATTTATTTACTAAGAAATGTAAAGATTTATTTAAAAATTATGTTTCCAGTTAATTATAAATAGCTAATAAAAAAAATATTGTTATACTAAATTCAATTTTATACAAAAATAATAAATAAATAAAATTATCCAAGAATCATTTTTTTTCATGGATGAACCGGATTTGAAAAAATTAAAAAAAATATAACAATTCAAGACATTTCAATATATTTTTTATTAGTTATTATTTATAAATAATTTTAGGTATTAAAATTAATTGATTCATAAATTAACTTACCCTGAGATCACCAGTACCAGGAAAATATTCACCATATTTGTGAAAAGAAACAGTCATAACTCTATCAGTTGTGTAAAATGCTTCTTCAACACCATCTCCATGATGAACATCAATATCAATGTATAAAACTCGTTGATGGTATTTAAGCAATTCCAAAATACCAAGTACAATATCATTAACATAACAAAATCCACTAGCTTCAGATTTTTTTGCATGATGGAGACCTCCTCCCCAATTTATACAAATATCTGCAGATTGCTTATTTAACTTAACAGCTGCTGCTACTGAACCACCAGCAGATAGCTGACAAAATTCATACAAACCATCGAAAACTGGGCAATCTTCACCCACATTAACTAAATAAAAATACATTTATAAATAATTAATTTACAACAAATTAAAATAAAAAACATTTACATCTTTGCATTTGTTTATTGTAGTCATTCATATTATCAGGTCGAATGCTTCGCAGAAACCGTATATATTCATCACTATGAAATTTTGTCATTTCTTCTGCAGTTGCTTTATGAGGTCTCTACATTCAATACATTGGTTTCATTAGAAAACATTAATTAATAAAAATATACAAATTAAATATCAATATTAACTTACATATATTTCCATTTTACGATATAAACCATAATTTAAAAGTAAATTATGAGTCATTCGAATCCTATGAGGTTTCATGGGATGACCTTGTCCATAATAATAATTTCCTATATCACCTATAAAAATGAAGACCAATAAATTATCAATAAGTCTTAAATATTCATATATATCATAGAATACAATAGATTTTGATAGATACATAATTTAAAAATAAAAAATTAAATGCAATTAGTTAATACTATTGATGTTATTACATATAATCAATGAGCCATGCAACAGAAATATTAGATAAGTAAAAATTGTTTTTACTAGCTATAGTGGTTTTATATCTACTGTTTTTAACAAAAGTATTGCCATGTCACAAGTAGAAACAAGACATTAATAAGAATAATTTATATATCATTTTTCTTATTCTTCTTCAACTTATGAAATAATGTGTTTCTATTACTATTGAAAGCAGATGACATTAACATTAATTTAAGTTCAAAAAATTAATTTGGAAAATCAATATTCGTATCAAGTCATTATATATAACCTATCATCATTTATTAAAAACAATTTTACAAGATACCTACAGTTTTAATTTTTTTTCAATGGTATTTAAAAATTATATTGAAATAGGGTTTCACCACAGCAGCAATTATTTATACCTACAAGTTCTATACCTAAACAATTATAATGAGAAATCTATTTGTTAGTTATAATTGTTCAACAATTAGATAGTTGGAATGGGGAAGTATAAATTTTTTTTTATCTATTAATAGATAACTTATAATTATTGTTAATCTCAAATGAGTAAGTCATAAAAACATTTGTTCAAAAAAAGTTCAAATGTGAATCTCTTTTAAGATTTAGAATAAAAAAAAATTTAATTATATCAAAAATTGATTGAATTTTCTTACAAATTCTGAAAAAATTACTTAATACAATTATTTGATTATAACAAAACAGTATGTAGTTTATAGTAAACAATTTCTTAAAACAAAATACAAATAATTAATATTTTAGTTATAGCATAATTTGCATTAAAAGATTTATTCTTTGTGTATCAAAATTTTTATAAAAGTTCTTTTAAGCATATTATTTTTTATTTTTTCTTATGTTTCCAATTATAAAAATCATGTATACAAATTACTTTTCATTTGACAAAATTTAAAATTGCATATTGAGAAATATGTCTTCATTTAATATATAGAAGAAAGCAAATAAGAATTTTATGAAAATAATGCTTATCTAGGTTACATACAAAAATGGATAGATTTTTTTTTTTTGTTCTTTAATGTTTATTAAATGGCAAACATTGTAAATAATACACATTTTTAAAAGAATGTTAAAAATTAATATTCTTAATTTCCAATTACAAAATTAAATAATTTTAATGTCTCAATTACAACTTTTTTTTTTGTTGTCTATTTTTATGTTGTACACCTATCAATAAATGTAAGTAGATGTGTAGTCTTAACCAATATAACATATTTCAGATTTAAGACATTTTAAAAATTATGTCTAGTTTAGTGAACTATTAGACTTTAAATATTATATTAAATGTATTTAATAAAACAGACTACAAATTAAGGAGATTGCAAGCAATAATTTTCTGTGTTTATCACACACATAACTTGAGGTTTTTGTAATTTTCTATTTTCAACAATCATTTGATAAGGATTATTTGACTTTGTTGTTAAGTCTACTTTAGATTTACTTTTCTACTTATTTGTAAACTATGGACATAATATACAAAAAAATTTTGTGAAATTTTAGAGGACAACAAAAAAGTGGGAATTCAATCATAAGTACGATAGATTATATAGTATATGTACTTATAATATATATATATATATCATATATATCATATACTATACTAAATCATAGACTTAAAAACAAATGTAAATCAGTTTTGAAAATCTTTATTTTATCAATTGATCAATTAGTATGTTGAAAATAGAAAACCTCTGTATAATAACACCCTGTATAATGCGTAAGACAAAGATAGAAAATCATGGCTTGTGATCTTCTGAAATCTAAATTTATTGTTTATTTAATCTTTCATAGTCTGCTACAATATTAGTATAAATATGTTTTAAGAATAAAAATAAATAAATAAAATCTACTTATGTTTTCAAATTGATTAAAGTATAAAATAACACTTAATAAATGTGACCAAAATATATAAATTTTAACTAACATAAAGAATTTTTTTTTTTAATCTTTATGCTAAGCAATTAAAAAAATTAAAATATAGCATAAACTAATTTATATATAGCCAGCACATGTACATAGTATAAAAAAACAATGCAAATACAAAAAACAAAAACTGATAATGAAGCAACTAGTAAATTAAAATAATTTTATGCCAATTAAAAATTCAATTATCTTAATGGTATTCACTTTAATTTAGTTTAGATATAAATGATGATTCTATGACTAGTTTAGTTTAAAACCAATGACAATGGCAACACAACAACCCTCAGATGAAAATAAAACGGAACATGGAAGCAAGATTTTTTCAGTTCAGAGAGTATGAGTAAAAAGTACTCATTATATAGGGTAATAAACCGAATAGAAGGGAACTTATCGAAATGTATTATACAAGCTAATGATGAATAACTACCAAAGAGGAATCGACCAAAATCTACCGACTAGCGACACACGTCGTAAGCAAACAAAATCACCTGATGATGAATATTGATCACAAGCGAAGTTTTTAGGAAAAAGTGACAATAGACGTTCACTGCAAACGGACTGGACAAAACCATCGGTGGGCATAATATGGTGCACGCATGACACAATATAGTTAATGATGGACTTTATACTCACTATCGTAATAGTAACAGACACGCTTCTTAAAAGGCGTAATAGACATTGTTGATGCTGTGGCGGTATGGTACTCCGCTTGAGTTGCGGCAGGGTTTACAGCCGGCGCGTGGCTGATGGGCCCCCGAAAAGCGCGGGCCGACTGGTTCTAGGAGGCGGCGGCGGCACGTCTTAATCGTCAACGATACATGCGTACGGCCAAAGGCTATGAGACCACTGCAGTCGCGAGTTTTGCGACGACACTCGGACTCTGTAACACACGCACGACCGTTGGAGAAGGGTGAGTACGAGGAATAAAAAAAAATTACAAATGTTGTGAAAGCGCGAAAGCCCGAAACCGCGGGAACGACGGGACCACAGAGTAGAAAAAAAAAACCGGCCGTGCCGGGATATTATTATTATTATTATTTAGTGTTTACAAATAACTGCGGTCTGTTTGCACGAAAGTCGTCTCGCGAGTCGGAAGCGTAAAAAACGCACCAAAAAATTTGAGCAGCTAATGTGTTCCGAGCCAATCGCGAATAGCCAGTAAACAAACAAACGCCATTGAGATAAACAGTGCGGCCGCGGCACCGGCGACCGAGTCGAACAGCTGCCGCAACCGACAATCAATTGCGTTGGCAATCATGGTGCGTGCATGTGATTTTATTATCGCTCAATGTCAACGCCGTGTCTGCTACTAAATAGGTTGTTCGCGATAAGGGTGAACGACGTAGGATAACAAGGACCCTTAGCAACAACATAATTTCTCCGTTCGACCGCTTTTGAACGATCTCAAAATGTGGTACGAAGCCCTTCCGTCGGCCATCATTGTGTACGTGCTGTTGAATATACCCGACAGGATCAACTCGCTGTCCAACAAACTGGTCTACAAAAACGTAAGTACACCGATATCATTTTCTTGAGTTAGGAATTGTTACTAGTATTTATACAAATAATTTACCTTAAAAATTCAAGTGCACGAAATATTTTTCGATCATCAGAATTACCTAATACTTTTTTTTTTTTTTTAGATAAATGAAAATTAATTCAATTTTTTTTAAATCGCATGACTATTATAAAAAAAAAAAATTTAAATCTTATCACTCATCAATATAGTTTTTCTTAACTATGCCACTGAAAGCTTTCAAAAGACTAAAACTAATTATTTATTAACGTGGATGTATAAAACCCTATGAAGCTAAGAGTTCTCTCAGCTACTAATTGTTGGTCTGTGCTAGATATCAAAATATATTGTTGCAACCATTGGCATTCATTCTGGGATTTATTTAAGGAACAATGTTTTATGTTGCCATTTCAAATTTTTTGATTGTCTTAGCCTATATAAACCTATGAATTTGGTCTTATCTGCCTTTTGAAATCATACTGCTATTTTTTTCATTATAGGTTTACAGACGTGATATTGGTCAACCGTGGCTTCAAAGATATTATTGTAGAGACTGGGAAATGACTGGTGATCCTTATAAAGCACAGGTAGTACAAATGTTGTGCATACTTATATTCTGTAATTCAACAAAATATATTTTAATGATTTGATTTAAGGGTCTTGAAAGTTTATCTGATAAACCTACAGTTACTGGAATCGATTGGACAAAATATGGTGTAGGACCAAATCATACATTTTATGGTACCAAATTGTAATATTATACTGTCATACATTTAAAAACACAACTGTAGCTAATTATCAATATGTTAACAACAAATGTAGTGCCTACTGGCTGTGTACAATTTACAAATAGTTTTATAAAAACCTTGTTAATATAAAATATCTTTCTAATTATTATCTAATAAATGTAATACTTTGTGTATATTGTAAATTTCATTGTATTTAATTTTTACCTTGGTTACTTATTTATGTTTTATTATGTTATTATTATTATTATTCTCTACAAAATTACCAATGTCGTTGTAACTAATTATTATTGCTTATGCTATTATACTTACTGTCTTTTGAAGTGTTAAATCTAATAGGTTTTTTACGTAAACTACTGTTTTTAAATTAATAATTTAATAATAATCAGATTTGAGTAATTTATTTTAAATATTTAAGAAAAATCTTCAATATATTTTTTATTTGTTTATACAGTAATGAACCAAACAAGCAGAATCAAATTATGCACAAGGTAGACTATAGGTTGTTTAAACTAAAATACAATATTTATCACATACCACTTGTTTTGGCTATATTTAGTAAAACATACACACAACGCATATAAATATTATCTAATAGCTTATAAAGTAAATAAAATTTGATATAATTTGAAAAACAAATTAAAAATAAATTGTACATTTCTATAATTTGTAGCATACAATACATTAAGTAATATTGTTATTTACAGTAGATTAAATTATTCTTTAGTACAATTGTGCGTGAATCACTCTACTGATAACATTGAACTTTTGTTAACAACAAACTAAGAGATTTCTTCATATTCATCCGATTTTACTGATGGTGATGGAGATGTCCTTGAGCTTTCTGATCTTCTAAATATTGATGGAGACATAGACCTCTTTTTTAAGCTAAAATATTTTATAAATTTATTATAAGAATCCTAATAAATTAATATATTTATATTTACTTAGGTAATGTTGAAGGCTTAAACATATCAGTAAGTTTTCCCTTGGTTTCCTTACTAGAAGAAACATCAGCATTATGAATACTGGTACTGCTTTTAAAGGACTAAAATACAAATAAATTGAGTATTTAAAATGTTGAAATTAAAATTTTCATATTTTATATTCATACCAAATCATTATCGTTATCAAAGCTCTTAGAACTTTTGGTTAACTTCTTTAATTTACCAAAAAGTCCTTTTTTCTTAGATTTTTCTCCACTAACAATATCACTTTTGGAAGAACTATTTGACTGTTGGCTAAAATATCAAATAAGCAATAAATACTTGATTTTTCTTTGTTTTAAATAATTGAGTTAGCATGTATATATTGTATATATATTTATATAGGTAGCTTATGAAAAATTTGATTTAAACTCCAATATTTTTTTATATATATATTTAGGAAGTATAAAAAGTGTCTAATGAATCTTTTTGAATTTAACTATATAAAAACTATTCTCAATGCACTAACACATCAATATCAGACCACCTTTACAACGCCATTTCCAACTATTGTAACTAACTCCTATCATACAATTTTAATGTTATTTAAGTATCACACTTAACACACCAAAATGTATCACCTTTTCATTTAAGTCCCTATGTATAGATAGCGAAAACTAGGAGTACCTTAATGTATAAAAAAAATTTAAAAAATTACTATTTTAGATCTATTCAAAACGTTTAACAACTAGAAATCAATTCAACAATGTATGCCATTGTCAAGTACTTAAAACTCCAATTAGGATAATACGCTGAAAAATTCTTATTAAAAACTCTGTGTATTGCATATAAAATCTCTACTTGAAAAACAATCATAATATAATATACCTATCAAAACTGTTGGGTTGTTTGATAAGCCGATTTCTTGACTGGCTACGTTCGTCTCTTTTCCATATGTCCTAAATATTGAATATTTTAAATAGGTTACTACTTGAAATATAATTTTCATCTAGCTAAGACTCACTTGATCAGTATTTCCAAAATTTTGTTCTAAAGAAAGACTTTTCCTATACAAACTACCTCTTATGGGAGGCTTGTCATGAAAATCGTTTTCAGTTGACGAAGACCTACAAAATAATTTCTATTAACTACTAGCATTTAAAAATTGTAGGTGATTCTAAATATTCGAGAAATTACCTGACTCCAAAAACTGCACGTTTTGATCTAACATCTTGTTGATTAGTATTGGTTACTAACTCTTTGGTCAATTCATTCACTTTATATAGTATTTGTTTGATTTGTTCGTAATTATTATTATTATTATTATTTAAGGTTTGATTGGAATTAAAATCTGGCGATGATTCTCTAGATATAGATGCTTTTCTTCTAGCCGGAGGTGTTGGCGCGCTTAACGACGAACTGACAGATTTATTTGAGGATTCGATATTTTCATTAAACATCATGGTTAAACTTTTTACCAATTGTGATAAATTATTAATTTTTATCTCTAACTGAGGATCAGTTCTCATTCGAACATTACACAATCTTAATGAATTGCATTCAAGTTCAATTTTATCTTTTTCTTTTCTTAATTTTTCATTAATTGTTCTTAACTTTGCATGAGCATCTCGCAAATCCATAAGATCACATTGCATCTAAAAATCAAAATATGCTTGAGTATATTAAACGAATAATATAAAATAATAAAATAATATTATCGTATATCTGTCGATAAAAGGTACCTATTTTATTTAAAAAAAAAATTATTACGCTTTACGCAGAAAAATTAAAAAGTACCATTACGTTTTCCTTAATTTCGACGAACATTTATAGTACCCCTCAAGCTGCTTACACACTAGGCGAGTTGTTCGCGCAAGAGCGCGGTTTTAAATTGCCGCGATTAATCGCTTAAAATTAAACAGCCTATTCTAGATTAGATCATTCGCACTATGAAAACCAAGTGAATAAAATCCGTCGTCGATCACGTGTGTATAATTTTGAGCGAACATTTTCTGAAGGCGGCTAAAATTAAACCCGTTGTTTTGACTGGGTCTATTCACACCAGGTGGATATTCACGGTGCCTAACTGCGATTATTTTCATTTTATAGAGAAAGTGGTGGTCTGTTCCTGTCATCAGTGTCGTCACAAGCTTTTGCGATGCCCTAGGCAAAACTAGTACAATTACCTTACGCCTAAATACATCTAACTATTTCAACTTGACAAATTGTGGACCCCCGTAGTTATCTTAAGTGCGAGGCCCTAAGCAATCGCCTAAGTTGCCTGCCCACTAACAAAGTCACTTTCTGTCATTTTTTATATTTTTGTATATTTTTAATAGTTAACTTCCATGAATATGGAAATATAATCGTAATGAAAAAATATCGTAATATTCATTACGAAATTGTCGTAAATTGAAATCCACATTTTAATAAAAATTATTTTGGGCATTAGTTAGGATAAACATGGCGTTCCCCCGTTCCAACGAAAAAATATAGTTGAGGTATGCAAAAAATCCAAAGCAACATTGGTTAGATGTAGTCAAAAGAAACCTGCAGGAATTGAGACCAGACTGCCATAGGGACCTAAACCATGTGTATAATAGAGAGAAGTAGAAGAATTTAGTATTGGGAGCAAAGGACCTAAATTCTAAAAAAAATATGAAAAATCGAGTTTATTCATATATAAATCTATCTACATGTATAATACACATGTTAGATTTATCATATACTTGATCGTATTATATACTTTAATTCATAGTCGGATTATTCGTCAAATCCATTTGGAAAAAAATTAGTATTTACTATTAAAATACATGTAATTAATACTTAGTTCTTACCTCACTGGTTTTCTTCCTATTTTCTTGTTGATCGACTTCCATATTCTTTGTAAGTTGATCGATACGTCTTTTCGATTCCAATCGATCCTTATCTCTTTCTCGTTCAACCTTACATTAAATATTGATTACACTTATTTATACAATACATAAATATAACGTTCTTATCTACTTCGTATAACGTCTGCCTTAGATCTCTCGCTAATGTAGACGTCTCTTGCAAGAGACGTTGCTGTTCTTCGCGTTCTTTTTGCCACGCAAGTTCCATTCTGGCTTTCAAACCAGTTAATTTAGATCTCCCTGAATTTAACAGCCGTTCTTCTTCCAACTAAAATGTCAATCACGAAAGTTTTATCAAATAAAATCCTAAATTCAAACAAACATATAAGACCTACTTTATTAATAGACGACGTCATTTCTGATTTTGTTATTTCCCATGATGATTTTTCTGACACTAATTCAGTTTTTAACCTTGAACATTCAAGTCTAGCTTCTGAAAGCTGTTCTTCCAAGCAAGATATCTGCTGTTGCAAACCTTGAATTTCTTCTCTCTATAAACATTTTATACTTCTCAATCGTTTTACTTATATTTAAGATTTTTGAATGGTTCTAAAATGACCCTGAATGTCATTACCTGAGTGTCGTTACTTTGAAATGTTGTGAGTCCCTTTTTGGGCATCGAATCTGCTGTTTCAGACATTTGCTTGTATGAATCCCGTTCTCTTTTAAACCTAAGCGTTTGAAATTGGCTATTTTTCAATTCTTCGGAAAGTACGGACATACGGTTATCATAGCGTACTTTTAAAGCGGCCACTTCAGTTTTTCTAGCCTGTTCTTCATTATACAATCTGTAAAAGTTACAACTAAAGTTTATAAATACTCAAACGGTACGTTATACATTTATACTGAAACATACTTTATTTTTATATCTTTTAAGTTCTTTTCGAGTATTTCAGTTTCCATTGATCTACTATGTTGAACCTTAACAACCTTTTCAAAGTCATCCAGATTCCGTTGTAAATTTTCATTCTAACAACAAAATAATTTATTTAAACTAGATTAATTTTATAGTTTATGACTACTGATTATTTGCTTTACGTCTTTCTTAAGTTTTTCTATTTGATCTGCATATTGACTACACTTATTATTTAAAGTTTTTATATCTTTTAAATATTCGTCCAAATTTCTTTTCATATTTTCCTTCTCTTTTATCCATGCATCATTCGAATGTGCCATTTCAAGGTCCTTTATTTTTTTCTACAATACAATTCATTTATTACAAATGTTTCAAAGTATATAGACCATTAATATTATTTTTATTATTTACCTGCATTTCAATTTTTTCTTTGTTCCATGTATCAACCGAGCTGTTATGTTTATCTTTCAACGTTCTTAATTCTAATTCAACTTTTAATGTATCTTTTTTCTTATTTTCTAATAAACTAAGGAATAATATTAACTGTCAGTTAAGTATTTCATAATGTAATAAAATAAATTAATAATTTAAATTAATCCGTGTGTAAAAGTAATTTAAGTAATATTATTGAAAATTAATCTATCATAAAAATATATATTTAGATAATATCATAGGTACCTTTGTAATTTTTCTTTTTCCGCAGTCAATTTACTTTTCATGTCTATTTGTTCTTTTTGTAGAACCTCATATTTATTGGAAATGTCTTTATAATTTTTTCGCTCAGTAAGTAATTCGTGTTCCATCACTTAAATCAATATATAATTTAAAACAATACCTTAAACATAGATTTAATTCTATATTTACTTTTTATTTTTTTTTCAAATTCATTTTGAATATCTATTATTTTTTTATTTTCTTCAAACGAGGATTTTTCTTGTAACTTTTTGATACATTCGTCTTTGCTTAATAATTCTTTTTTATGAGCTAATTTTAAGTTTTCTATTTGTTGTCTCTCACTCTGTTCAATTTTGTAAATAATATTATTATTAATATAAATATTAATAAAAGAAGTTATAATACATAGTTTGCTGTATATAGCAATATAGTTTTTATTTATTTTAGTCAAATTAAAACCATATATAATATTATATTATACCAATTTTAAATATTCTCATTTATTTATTTTTAAGAGCATTTTGATCCATAATACTCTAACTCACTTAATACCTTATGACTATAGATTATATTTAAATTTAATATTGTATTAATACAATTTTACTTAATTGTTAAATATAAAAGTCAATCAGTTCTCATAAAAATAAGACTATTAAGTAGATATATAGTATTTCATTAATTATTATTTACCTTAAGTTGACTTTCAAGATCTATTTTTTTAGCTTCTAATTGCTTAACAGCTTTTGTCTGCTTATCAAAATCAGCTTTAACCTCCTTAGTCTTTGTAAATTAGAAAATATATATAAATACAATTTATAATATTTATAAATAAAATTTTAGTAGATACCTTAGATTGTACAGTTTTTACTATTGGCTTATTACTACTTTTGGATGCTAATTTTGTTTGGTAATCTACAACTTTAGCTTTCAAATGTTCTTTTTCTACTTCAAATTCTTCAATTTTTCTTTTTAAAACGGTAATTTCCTAAAATTTTAATATATATATTTATTCCAGTTTTATCTAATTTATAGAATCTATTTTTTTGAATAGTAAGTATATAGCTAATAATGATTTATACGAATAACAACAAATTATAATTGTAGGGAAAAAAATAAACAATTAGGTACTTGTTCACTGAGTTCAAGAAGTAATTTTAGTTCTGTTGCATCCTCAACATCTGATATTCCTTCATCTCTATCGGTAATATTTGTTGAACGATAGTCTACACATAAGTTAATTTATATTTAAATTTTTAATTTGTCAAAAATATTTAATCTTATATTTACTTGATTTTGTAGCCATTTTTTTGAGTTGCATCACCATTGACTCGTTATCTTCTTCTAAACGACTCACTTTGTTTCTTAAACTTTTAGCCTATCATTTTAATTTTTGTTAATAATCTAGTTAATATATTAATTTATGTATAATATTAGTTTTTAATCCTTACTTCTTCTTCGGAAAATCTTAATTGCTCTCGCATATCAGCTTCTCGTTCAATTGAATCTTGCAAATCCCTCTGAAGTTGAACTGGATCTTCTTGGGAATCACCTCGAGTTAGAGACTCTCTTGAAACCCTCTAAATATTAAAATATATTATTGATCAAATAAAAGGAGAGTTGTGGATGTATTTTCGTTAATCAAAACATAAATATACTTCTCCAGATGCCGACTTAGGTATCATGCCTAACATAGGCCTTTTTTTTTGATCCACTTGTGATACATTTGATTTTGATTTTTCTAAATCATTTTGTAATCGTTCTATTAACTGTAAAAACTGGATAGTTATAGTTATAATATTAATAATAACAATAATTTTATACTTGCAAACCTCTTTGGCTTTTTTGTCATTTTCAACTTTTTCATTTTCCATTTCTTCCATACGTCTTTCAGCTTTTTTTAATTTAAATGCTAAAATTCGACAATTTTTAGAAACTTGATCAAATTCTCTTCTTAGCATAATAAATTCATTATCTATTTCTTCTCTATAATATATAATTTATTTTTTAAAACAATTTATATCAACTTCATTATTGATATTTTATAGTAAATAAAATACTACAAAACTTTAAAAAGTCGTAAAAGAGAGTAAAATGAACCAGAAAATCATTGTTTATCCTATTCCACCAATTATGTTATCAATATATATAATACCATACATTTTTTTAGTTAAATATTTAAAACATAAAGTATAACACATAATATAAATATAAATCAACAAATATTTATTGATTTATTTATTAAGGAATTAATAATTTATGCAATGTGACAAATTACGTAATATTTAATATTATTAAAAATGTATTATTTGTAATTTCTTAATTTTAAATGAAACATAATTATAATTGTACTATAGAAATCGCAATAAAATATAATTACAGGCCTCAAAATTTGACATTCAGTCGATCCATCGGGAAATTTCCCGTTCTACTGATCTGCCAGTTCGCCCCTGAATATTTCCATATATATACCACAAGCAATTAATTTGTCGTAGTTTGATATTAAATTAACGTTAACATCTTAAGAATGAAAAATTGATTGATCTTATAATAAACAAGTAAATTGAATAACTTATCATGTAACATCTACCTATGAGGCTTTACTGGCTACTATAATTTTTAAATTATAGTAATATTGTATTATATACATTATTCAAATATATTAAACAGTTGTCATATTACAGTACTTGTTTTTAGTTTTAAATTATTGAACACAAATATTGTTGTTTTATATTATATACCATATAAATATATATATATAATACAATTATTACTTAGATTATAAATTATTTTTCTCTTAAAAATTTTCATCTTAAACTGTATCCCACTTAATAAGAATAAATAATAAGCATGACAGATTTAAGAACTAGGAGCACTTTTTTATAATATTTAATAAAATATGGTTCTTGGTTGATTAATTTATAGAGGAAATATAACTATAATGCACAATGGTGCCAAATGAAATTGAAAAAGCTAGTTCAAATAATTAGATTGACCCGTTCACTCCTTACAATTTACCATCCTTTAAAATCTCCAATTTTTAAGTTTTTAGGAATCAATAAATAAATATAACACTTTAAATAAAAAATATATGTATAAAATAATTAATTTGGTTTTGTTAATAATATTTATTTTAATATTTTTAATATTTGAATTTTCTAGGCAGTTCAATTGAACAGTACGTGTTTGGCATCACTAAAACTATAAGATTTAAAATGCATAAATTATTTCAAAAAAGTAATAATGTGTTATCAAAATATCAAATTTTCAGCAATAAGTAATTCTAAATTTTAAATGTATATACCGAAAGTTATCTCTCATTTCTTGTTCCATATTACGAATTTCTTTATTTAAATCGTTATTTTCTTCTGTCAACTCTTCAATTTTAGTTTCTGCAGCTATTAATTTAGAATGAACCAATTTAACATCGTCCGACTTTTTATTGTTATTTTTGTTTTTATCAAGTTCAACTTCTAATTCACGAACACGTTGTGTAAGTGTTCTTTTTTCATCAGTGAGACTTTCACAAGTAGATTTTAAATCATTTACTTTTTGTTGGTGCTTCAACAACTATCATAATACATTGTAATAATATTTATATTAGTTATTATAGTTTTTAATTTTAAATTATTTTATTTATTTATTTTTTATATATATACTTCAGAAGCTGTTGTGCGAGACGTTGGAGTTGTATCCAAAGACGCTAGTCTTCTTAATAAAATATCACTTTTTTCCCTTTCAGCTTTATCACATTTTTCTTTCATCAATTTTAATTCTGCTTTTAAATTAATTACTTGGTCCTAAAATCACAAAAACTATTAGATTTTTATTCAAAGTTAACGCCGTTAGTACAGTTGAATCATGATATATCAAATCTGAATCGATACAAATGTTTGACAATATTCATATATATATATTAGGTTCATGGGCGCAACTAGAGCCCAAATATTGGGGGTGTTGAAATTGCAAAAATAAAATTGAATGGTATTTCAGTGTAATTACTATAGAATATATAGATCTGAAAAAAAAATGAATGCTACATTTAAACTCAAGGGTGCTAATAACCCTTTGTACCCCCTTAATTGCGCCTATGATTAGGTTCCTTAATCAATTTATTTTAACACCATTTTTTCTTAGTAAACTAAAATTTGAGTAGCTCAAATCTCCCCCTAACTTTGGTTGAATCGAAATATCACAACTCAACTGTAAAATTATATAGTTCTCACGTGCAAATCTTCTTCGTTTAAAATAGTAGCATAAGTATCAGTTGTAGTATCAGAATCAGCTAAACTAATGGTATCATCGTCATCATTATCTACATTTTTATCATCTGGTATATATTTCGTCTAAAATAAATCAAATTGAAACTATAACCTTTGTGAAACTTTAACTTCCTAAGTGAATATTAACATTGTTATGATGATATTAACATGCACCGGTGTATTTTGGTCGATATCTCCATTGTAACTATTTCTTGGACTAGAGACTTCCATAGAATCTGTTCGTGAAAGATTTTGTCTTCTCCGTACTGTATATTCTGGGACTGTCTGTTCGTCATCTAAAAATAATGAAAAAATAACAGTATAATTCAGGATAATATACAAACAAGCCTTTTTTGTAAATCTTACTTTTTAATTTTCCGATTTGATGTGTAACACCATCTGAAAGTGACGTTAAATCTGGCGTCGATGTCCACGATGAAGCATTTCGACCGGGCCCAAAACCTTTGTCTAATTTATTATAATTTTGATCATTACTTGTCATCGAATCTGAAGAAATATTTTTCAAACCCGACTCATTCGTTGCTCTAAATTAAATATTATAACTATTTTTCAGAAGTATGATACATTTATAACAATAATTACGAACTCATTATTTAAGGCAGGAGTCGATAACGTTGTGTCATCTTTCCTGAGTGATGTCTTCCCATTATCCTTGTTTCTGTTTGAGTGATCTTTATAGTCTCTAGAATAATAAATAGCGTACGTATTTAATTTTAACCACGTAACATATAAAAATAATCATAGATATATACGATTACGTATTGAAAGGTCACTTAATTTTAGAACTCTTAACACTAAGTATATAAATCGAATGTCTTTTTAGTTCATTATTGGTAACAATAAAACATTTCAGATAAAAATAAATATAAATGGTAAAGTAACCTAACCAAATTTAGTGAATAAGTATTTTATTTTTTATTTATTATATTATACATCAAATAAATATGTTTTAAAATTTTGATACATCATTTTATGGGCCTAGATATGTATAAATATATATTATATACATATATTTAACTATTTGATTAAGAATGTAGGTAATTTACCAATGACGCATCTATAACCACAAGTTAGATGATTTGATACTTTAAGCTAATATTATTTGTTAATATTGATCATTATCAATTATTTTTTTTTATAGTTCATAGTTTTTGTTTTTAAAGCACCTATAAAATAATATCCATAAAAATATATGGATATTTGTGTATTTACTTTAAAATAATATTAATTGCTTTAACCAGCTATGTTATAATATTTGAATAGATTAACTATAATGATTAAAATACTTTTAAATCATTAGACCTTTATTGTTATGACTATTCATTACTGATATTACTTAGTATAGGTTTAATATGCATTTTTAATGTTAACTGCTACTTATTATAAATTATTTACAAGATATCCAATAAAATCGATTCCAACGAATATTATATTCTTTAGTAAAGATATTTTAAAATCATGCCGTGTTCATAAGAGAAAGAACATTGTATAATATATCATATGTATTTTTGTAAACCTAGTTTGTTGAAAATAAATAGAACATTTATGACAGTAAATGCACAAAGTTTATTGTCTGAACTTTATTGTCTGATAAATTCAGGATTAGAGCTACATATAAGTTAATGCTCTAGTTAAAATTTATTTAATTTGTATTCAACAATATATTGCTAAAACCACTACACTTAGGTTTCCAGTGGAAATTTGCAATCAAATTTAGTTGTATAAAGTGTAACTAAATTTGAACATTTGATTGGTTCGAGCATCACTGTTTATTAAATACAATTTAGTAGGTATTTTCTATAAGAATCTTTAATCCATAAAAAAAAGCCAATGGTTATTTTTATGTTAAAATTAGAGTTATAATATATTATAGTTTTTTAAGCTGGACAACGAACCATTTTTTTCTCAAAATAGTTAATGTATAGTATTTCACATTCACTCCGCATAATTATTAAAAATTAATCTTAATGCTGGTAGAAAAAGTAAATATCGAAAATATGACTATATATTGTTTTATATACAAATTTATCTATCGTTCATTACTTAATTATTTTTTTACAAAATAAAAAAAATCTTTTGACAATTAATTGTGTTAATCGCCCAGTCTTTTAAAATACTATCAACTTGGCAACAAAATATTTTGACTGGCAACATTTGTTTCGTATCTAGATGTAACAAGTTTAAAAATGCACTGATATATTATGTATAATGTATATAGGTACTATAACCAAATAAATATACATTTTACAATGTTAGTTAAATCATGGATGCAAACATGAAACCCACTTTTAGAGTATTTCGTCTTTGATTATAGGGATATGAAAATTTATTTACACCTTACATGATTATTTAACCTCGATTATATATTATTATTGCATAAATCGATATTTCTACTCCGAGATATAACAAGAAATCGGTTTCTACAATCATACGTTTTTATTCTATTCGATAGGTCTTTGGGATTCGGATGACTTAATTTATATACTACCTAATTTATCTCTACGTACAATTTGCAAAATACCTACACTTTTTCTGTTATCATACCCATATAGTACAGTGGCGTACATAGAAAATATTTTCGGGGAGGGGGGGGCTACTATGGAAAGAGTTAAATTGCCACTGCTATTTAAGAATTACTAACAAGCACAGTAGGTACTTATCTACATTTCATTTACAGAATATCCCAAAACTATTTGATAAAGTCAATAAAAATTGTTTCAACTGATCACATTATTTACATATTTCCTATAGTAAGTATAATCCTGTATTTATGAACAAAGGATATATGATGTAGTACTTGACTATTTAATATATGTCTACTGGATTATTTCTATAATAAAATATACTTGTATTATACAATTATAATTTATTTATTTATTACATAATTAACTCTTAATAATTAGCATTGAACAATAAATCGAGGACCTTAAAATATTTTAATGAACTATTGAAGTACAACTGAATAAAATAAATGCAACCAGGTTAAAATCATTCTATTTTTTTTTTTTTACAAAATTATTTCTAAATAAGCATGAAGCACCATTAAAATATAACAAACGTTTAAAATAATTTTTAATTTTTTTGAAACATTTCGGGGGGAGGGAGCTATAGCCCATTAGGCAACCCCCTATATACGCCACTAATATAGTATATAGTTCACTTATTCTGTCCGAGACTGTATAGCATGGACGTTTATTCAAAATGTCCCCCCTCAAGTTTTCCCGTACCTACATTATATAATGTTCATTGTTAAATTAATATCCATTCGTTGTTAATTAATTGAACATCTATTTAGTTGTGGAAACTGTTTATTTTATTCGAAAATTAACATATTTGATGTTTGTGCTTTAAAACGTAATTAGTCCGGTGAATTATCTTAGATGGAAGTGTTTGATGTGTAATGCATTTTATATTAAATACACTAAGGCACATGATCTCCGATTGTTATTCTATGGGTTTTACGTTCGTAGAGAACGTATACCTGTATGGACCACGGCATACACGTGTGGGTCGTATTATTACTATGTACTTGTAATATGCATCGTATGTACATTTTAATAGTTCGAATTTTAACACGAAGAAATTCGGAAACTTGAAACTTTCGATCTTAAACGTAACTAGTCGTATTAATATTGCAACAACAACCGAGTAAATTTGTACTCTCCGGGCGTTCACCGCTGCGTTTCGTAAAAACGTAGATTATATGCTTAGAGCTATATATAGGGTTCACCTGAAACACCGTTTGCATCTGGTCGGCCAACGGACTTGCGGGTGGAATCCGAGCGGACACAACGGGTCGCCTTTCACGGATGGTTTCACGTGTTGCATTTTTCGCGAGATATGATGTACGTGGTATGTGTCTTCTCTTCGGCGAAGGAGAGAAGAAAAAAAAAAATTAAAAAAAATCCGATCGCGCGCGAGCGCACCACACACTCGCGGCCGTACGAGCTATTCGCTACTTCCAAAACAATAATAACAACAGTAATGATAAACGTGCCGTCCACCACCGGTATGCAAATCTAATGAATAAGACGTGTCGTATTATTGCGGCTGTACATGATTCTTTTGCGTTCACCTGTTCACGTCGTTCGCGATCATCGTGGCGAAAACGCGCGCACTGAACTCGGGCACACACCGCGCACACGCATATTCCGCATCGTTTTCGTTAGGCCATTTCGATGTGTACACACGAACAATATAAATACGTATACGTACCTATACACGTATACAAAAATGCGTGTATGTGTGTGTGTTGTACACGCGCGTATTCGGAGAGACGCTGGTCTTCGCTGGGATTTCGCTCCGCCCAATGTGGCTACCCGTCTCGGTATAAATAAACTTTGCTCCGCTACCGCCGCCGTCGCGTTGCACACACGCAGTACACAATGTACACATATAAATATACATGTGTGTGTGTGTGTGTGTGTAATTATAATTATATATATACATATATATATATATATTTATATATTGCCACCGGCGCTCTGTATCGTCGTCATCGTTGCCGTCGACTTTTTTCGATGGGCCGCGGAAAACGAAGAATTCGCGAAACGAACAAGTATGGATTTGGAAGCAGGCCGGACGCAGTGCAAGGCCGCGAAGGAAAATTGAGTTTACCCGACACTCCTTGAAATTCGTGTACTAACTGTACAGTCTTCCAGAGTCCTTCTGAAGTCTTAAGTCCCCTACCGTGTAGCCCCGACTGATTTGAATCCTACTTGTGGGAGGCAATGGCGTCCCTAGACCCTTTAATAGGGGGGAGTGATAAAATTTCATACTTTCATACATTCACAATTATGTATTTTCCTAGTATGATACATAATTGTGTATTATTTATATTTTCCTAGTATGATATAAATAATACACAAATAATAACAATCTGTAGAAAAAAAGGCAATGGGAGGGGATGACTGTTCCATTCGCCTTCTCTGAGAAGGCCTCTGTGGGGGGGGGGGGGGTATTCGTGCAGCATAATTGTGGTGCTAAAATTATTCTTAATCAACATATGTGAGACAGCAACTGCGAATGATTACATAAGTATTTATAATAAAACGATATACCATGAATAAGTACCCTTAATAAGGAAATAAGTAAAGTAAATATTATTTATATGGGTTTTGATATATTTAGGTAATAATAATTTGTATTATTACCTATTTATTTACTTGTTGAAATTTTGACAATGGAGAGGGGTTTGAACTCCCAACGAGTGATTTCGATAAAATCTATTGTCCTATTAAAGAACAAAATACATCTGCATAATAAACTATCCCCGAGACGATTTTAACCACAAATGGTAACTTAAGGGGACAGAGGTAGTTCTATGAGACAATATAAACTTAATTGGTCAATCAGTGAAAAATACAGATCAAAGTAAAATAAATATTTAGAATTGGGAGTTCCAAAATGTTGGCGTACATTTGAGGAACTATCTGAATGCAATAAAATTATATAATTATTTAAATCATTTTATTAATGTATAAATTATATAAAGTTTGGTCATTTTTAACGATTTAATTTTAACATATAAAGAAGTTGTCTCCTCTATTATTCTTGAGAGACGCTGATTTTGTATCCTTTTATTCTCATACATGAGTACGTATAAAACTTGTTCACTGATCATTTTATTTTTCATTGTAGAAAATTAATTTAGTGTAATAATTCAATAAAATAGGTTATAAAATAAATGAATATACACGGCATATAAATCTTCAAATTTTTATAAAATATATCAAAATAGTTTTTTTTTTTAATTTTCTTATATTCTTGCCACTATTTCGCCCTCTCTCTCAATGCCTTATATGGCACTAGAAATTCGTCTCACACTTCATCTCACATATCAATCACCTACATTATGCATTACACTACAGGTACATAAAAATGTGAAATATTTTGTCGATAAATTTGATCTTTGAAAAATTTTCTGAATCATATCGTAATAATATGTAGTCAGAACATTTTTTATTTTTATTTATCAATTAAAATAATGGCATACTTCCGTTTTGCAAAAACGCTGGTGCAATTATAACAGTAAAATAAACAAACAACAACTAATTTAAACATCGAAAGACGAAAATATAAATAGTATAACAGAAGTATGTGCCTGTAAATGAACTCTACTCTCAGTGGCATATTTACGGAGGGGGAGGGTCCCGGGTCTCGACCTCCCCAGAAAAAAATTTAAAAAGTCATAAATAACTTGGTACGTAGGTACCGAGAAAGAGAATTTTCATTTTATATTATGGGTTTTTAATGTTTCTATTATAAAAAAAATATATATACAATATTGATTGTATAAATAACTTGGATTTAACTTTTGGTTATTTTTGTTGCGTCGTCGCCGTCCAACGACGATAACGAATCCGACAACGGCAACAACGACGGTAATTGCTAATTTATAATTTTTAATTTAATTTACAAATATTGTTGTTTGATGTAACGTGTAAAATGAAAATATTAAAATGATCTAATTTTTATTTGATGCATTACTCAAATTTTTATACTTCCAAATTTATAATGCTTGTATACACTAGGTTTACATAATATTAATTTATTTTATATATTATTCTAAATAGATCACAATTATGACTTCTAAGAAGCAACCCAATATTCAGTCTTTTTTTTAAACCTCAAAAAGTTGATAATATACAAAATAACACAGGTTCAGTAGTTTCAGGATCAGATACTGATATCCCTACGTCGTCCACGTCCCATATAAATAGACACGATATTTTCAATTATGTCAAAAGAGTATTGACTCAAAATGAAATACATGATATATAGTGAAATATAGATAATATAATATAAATAATATAATTATTACATCATAACTCGTGTGTGTTTTTTTATATTATAAAGTTTAGGTACTTAATATTTAGACCCCCCCCCATAAAAAATTTGAAAATACGCCACTGTCTACTCTGTATAGTGTATTTAATATTATTTAATATTAATGCTTAATACCATGTAGTACAATTTAATAATTGATAAGTCTGACGTTAATTATCTGTTATCTTTGTGAAAGTGTACATCTATAATATTAGCATTAGTCCATAATATAAAATTTGTTATAAACGTTTAGCGAGTTACTGAGGAATAAAATATGTGTTTACTGTTGATTCTTTAAAGGAAAAAGTTGAAAAAAATATCAATATAAATACCTACATGCAATCCAATGGTCCTTAAAATAAAATTTAATACATTCCCGACTAAATAACATATCCTGTTCAGTGTTACCCGTCACGGGATGGATTTGAAAGTGTATTACAAAGTATGCATGCAATTTGAAGGAAAAAAATAATATATAAAATAATAATAGTTAATCATTTTTATACATGTAAAATACAGAATTTCGTTATTTTAATTACATTTTTTACATAAATTTATATTAAACATAAAATATTAAACATACAATATATATTTAACATAAAATTATATAAATAACAATGAAGATTCTAAGTTACTCTTGTAAATGAAGGGTTATGGGGAAAAATGATAATAGTCAATATTCTTAAGCAGTTTAAGAACTGTTACTGCTTAATATTTCAGTTTTAAAGTTTAAGAACTCAAAATACTAAAAGATAAAGTACGAAATAATTTTAAAAAATGTACTTTGTAAAAATGTAAAAATTATTGATTTATTGTTCCTTTTTTCTCTTAGCCCTTCAAATAGCAATATTTACTTTTCGATTTTTTTATACCCGTACATAATTGTATGAAAAATACCGAGCCCAAGAATCTCACATGTTTCCCTTAATACTACATAGTTTTGTTTACTTTTAAGAAAATATGCTTCTAATTGAAGTAATAGGTACTACTGTAATATAGTTTTTTTTTTCTATTCTTATGCACAGTGTGCCGCAAGTTATGAAATATTTTAATAATGTGTCGTCGAATGTCGTAATGTCGTGAGGTTGACAAACATTACTAGTCTAATCCGCCGACACCCGCCGCTTTGACGACGTTATGTATTTACGTCGTCTCATCCGGTCTGCTGCTGTTGTGGCAGCTGCTATCAGCGGCGAATAGCGTGCACACTGCACAGTGGGCAGGTCGGGCTTGCTCCATTTCCATTGAATGTTCTATATACATTTAATTTTTTTTCATTCTATATGCACCATAGAATGTTTATAAACATGATAATAATTTTTATTTTTTCAGCACTTTAGGCAATAAAATGAATATTTATTTTATTAATATTTTAAAATTAAATTAAATTTACCCACTAAAATGTTGTACTATTTTTGTAGATATGTGTATTTCCGTTTTACTCAACTCGTTTGATCTTATTATGTAGGTACTGCGAGAGAGTTATTGCGTAAGGCGATTGTCTCTCCGGTCGAAGGTAAGGTGTAGGATCGGTACTGAAAAAGTATCGGGTATACATTTATATTTAAGCGTTGTATATTATACTTGATGTAGGTACACAGTAATTATTATTGTACATATAAACATACGCGTGCAACATTCTACTCTCTACCGCCACTGCAGTGAGTTAGGTTAACCTGTGTTACGAAGAAAAATGCCGTACAGAAATCCTATTAGTTTTTTAAAATGTTCCTCCGGCGTTCAATTATTAGGTATAATTGTTGTGACCAAACGATGACAATGCGTTTGATCGATTAAAACAGAAACAAAAGAATATTTAAAACTCGGCTGTTATATACAGTTAACGCAGGACCTGTCCTCTAAACGTTGATCTCGGGCACGCCTCTGCGACAACGGACGCACGTTATACTCCAGCAGGTGTGCGAGTTTGCCTAAAAATAAACGGCCCGCGACCGTCCTTTTGCATATATTATATCCGTCAGTGCGTGCGTGTGTAGAGCGTATTTAATTTGAACATTCATCAGTCATCGAGAGCATTCGAGACGCCTACGAGTTGTTTTCGCGCGGAAAAAAATTAGGATAAAAAAAAAAAAAAAATTAAAATTACATTACCGCAGCAGTAGGTACCACTACTGTGTCCGTATATCAATAATAATGTAACGTTTCCGCATATACGGTTATTTTTAAAGCGAACGCGACGGCATTCTAGGCAAGAATTCAACGTTCTATGAAATGTAATATACAATATTGAACATCACAATGTCCATTATACCGTCCTGAAGGAACTATGAATATGAAAGGCTACGGGGGAAAACGATACCTAATAGTCAATATTCCTAAACTGTTTTAGTGTTGCAGTTTAAAAGTTTCAAAACTCAAAATACGAAATAATGTATTGTGGTAACACAACTAATTTTTGATAAAATCAATAAAAAAAAAAAAATTAATTTACTTTTTTAAATAAATGATTGATGATGATGAAATAAATGATAAGATGACGTAATTATTTTTTTTTTTTTTTTACTATTATCGTTTTTCCGCGTATCCCTTCTCATGTACCTAATAGAAATAATATTGTGAAATTTGCTGGGTTGATAACGCTAATGTTTCAATGGGTGACATAGACGCTTAGAATTTCACCATTGTTATTTTAATTGATGTTGATGTAGCTATGTAAAGTGGGTTTGAATACTATAATATACTGGTAACCAGCAACTCTGAACAAATTTTTACAAAATTAATATCAAATGGTATGTACCTAAGTGGTATAAAATCAATTATATATTACATAAATAAATATCTACGTATATATTTATAAATTATATTATATATATTATAAAAATATTGTATAATTATATAACCATCAATATTATACATCCTAAAGTATAGATATTTAAATTATTTTAGGTTTATATACATTTAATTTAATGGTCATTTTATACATTAATATTTATAATACTATTACTATAAATTATAATGTGTAATATAAATACTTATAGGCATAATAAGTAATAAAAAAAATTGAGTTCTGAAAATCAAGTTGTTATAAAAATTATTAAAAATTGAAGCAGACAAAATAAAAATAATTAACAGGTCAATTTATAATAAAGTTAAAATATTGAACCAATTTGAACATTAATTTGGATTGAAGACGAATTATTATAATGATTACAAAGTTCATATAAATTATTGATAGTTGAGTTACAGTTATACAAATTTCATTTAGGTCCATTCCGATATATTTATCATTAATCTTTGTACATAAAATTTTTTTGTTTAATGTAGTCAGTAACTAATTGAATATAATTAAAAAAAACAATTTGGGGTATGCAACTATGGATTGTTTGGACAAATAAATTATATCTTTGGGTACTTTAATAATATAATTTCATAAAAAAAAAAAAAAAAAAACCATAAATATTTAATTTACTGAAAAATCTTTTTTAAATTATGAATGTCTTGTTATAGTTTATTGAATAATCATTAATAAACTTGCATTTAATGCTAAGAGTCAACAGGACGTCACTATAAAATACAAGTATAAAACCTATATAACTAGAACTGTAAAATACCAAGATGATTAAAGGTGATATAATTTAATTGAATATTAATTTATTTAGCATTTATAAGGTCAAAAGAGCTATAAAATTACCATACCTGTATAAATCTTACAAGCATAGAATGTACACATTTTTATATATTTTATTTTTCATAAATAACTCAACCTTTTAACAGAATGTGACCTTTATAAAATGCTTAATAATTTACCTACATTTTACAAAATTAAATAACCTTTGATTTTTTGATTTTTATTATTCACAGACAAAAAAATAATGATAATTAATTTAAGTATATGTCAGTATGTCACAATGACAATAGCCATATACATATAAATAATTCAGCAATTTAGAAATATTTTTTTTATTTTTTTATGTAAAGAATATTTATAAAATAAAAATTTCTGAAATAGAAATAATATAATTTACAAAAAACTAGTTAAAACTTCCCTACATTCGACATAAATTAATTTTTGTTTTATTTAAACATGCTAAATGTGTTTCAAATAATAATTTGTAAATAAATATAATATAAAAAGATAGTTTTAACCCATCCAAAATTAATATTATATGATCACCAAATGTTTTCAAATTAGGAATAAAAAAATTATTAATAAAACAGTATACAATTATTATTTTGTTAGCATATTTTTGAAATAAATTACATGCTACAAACTAAAGTCAACAATTTTAGTTATAAATAATAATATAGTTTTATATTTTTCATAATATATAATATAAATTAAGAACAAATAACCAGGTCAATCACAATTTTTAATGAGATAAGTCAACCAATATTATACTGTTTTCTCATCTGATATTAGTGTATAAATAAATAATGCATTACACTTACATCCAATATTAATGTACAATATAATATTAAACTATTATTTTTTTTTAATATTATAATATCAACAAAATCAGTACCAAAACTTAATAATCTAAATATAAGCTAGTAAATATTATATGCAACTGATTCATATACGAAATTAATATAAATAGTAACGCTGGTAACAATAATAATGACATAATATCTATAAAAACATATATTTACATAAAGAACTACGATCATTTTATTTTGATTGTAACAAAAATGTGACTATTCACCTGTTTTATTTTTAAGTCGCTGAATAAAAATATATTAGAACAAAAATATAGATGTAGATACAGCGCCAAAATATCTTTAAAATTGTTAACAAACATATCTTTAATACTTAGATAGTAATACATCATTTAAGTTTATATTTTTATAATTAGTTTTCCATTTATTTTAAACTTTAATTTAGGGTTGTCATGATGGCAATGATTCAAATGAAACACCTAATCGTTTTTCAAGAGGAGATTTGTACTCCCAATTATCTCCTTTTTGAACAAACCACTATATGACAAGAACACAAAATAATTTTTATTAAAACAAAAGAAACCAATTATTTAAATTATTATATTATTATAAATTTTATTTACCCGTGGAGTCCAAACATCATTCCGTTCTTTTCGAATTTCAGCTTCATTTCTTTGTTTTTGTTCGATTTCAGCTTTTGCTTGACTAGCTTGATCTACATTATCAACTCTAAATAAATAAATAAAAGCAAAGTTCTTATGAATAGTTCAAATAAGAACTATAATGCATTAGAAAAAAACAACATGATATTTATGAATTTGTTTTTCAAATTATAAAATGAAAAAAGCAAGATGTTCAATTTAGATAGTTTCTTAACTCTCCAAGATTTAAAATTATAAGCTCCCATTGAACAAGTTTTTTGTCATTACATCATATTTTATAGGTATTCATAAAATCGTTGAAGACCATTAATTTATAACTAATAGTTCTACAAACACTTATTGTCCCTACTTTCTGATTTCAAAATAAAATGAATTATTTTCTAGAATAGTGATATACAACCTTTTTTCTTCGGCGGGCCACTTTGATAAAAAATTATCTTAGAACGGACCACCAAATATAAAAAATGAATAATATCAGTATTAATCTAATAATGTTATTTGGTACACATTGTAGGTATACAATAAACATGTAAGTATATATTGAATTTGTTCTTAAATATTTTATTGACTACTGAAAAGATTACAGATTGAGGTACACATTAATATAATCAGTGTGCACTTTTAAGTGCAGAAGTTATATCGTGAAATTTCTATTTGAAAATTTCAAATACACTCTATTCATATATGAACTTTAAGAATTTTAATAATCCAATTATTCTGATAAATATATAGTATAAAAAATAATTCAAACATTAGAAACTTCTTACAATACCCACTGAAATTAAATTTCTAAAAGCATATATTTGGATTTTTTAGTGTTTAAAAACTCTACTATAAACATATAATGTTAAATATAATAAAATTATTATCATCAAACTCATATTTTAAATTAAAATAAATATATCCAACAAAAATGAGTTAAATATCATTTGAATTATATTTAATATGAATTATTAGTTCCATATATTTGAAACTAAATTTAACTTGTAAATATGAGTCAATACTTGAATTTAATTTAAATTTTTTGTTTCATAAAATGTTAAATAGTTTTTAACTTTCAAAAAGATTTCAGTTTATTATAATTATTATACTCAAAATAGAGAAGCCAACTACAGCTAAAATACATTTTTTAAGAGCTTCAAATCAATAGAGAAATAAAGTAAATAAGAATCATTACTTGAGTCCTAGTGTAACTTCTTTCCAAATGTATCGAGATTCATTAGGATCTTGTTCCGCAACTTTGCGTACCCTCTTTTTAATAACATTGATAGCTTTTGTATCAACAAACATTTCAGTTTTCTAAAATAAAAACAAATAAAAATAAAATATTTAATATTATATTATAAACAATAATATCTTACTGCTTACAATTGTGTTTAGAAAAACACCAAAAAATTTTATTATAGGATAAATCAGTTTAATTAATGTCAGTAAAATTAATTGCTTAGTTACATTAATAAATTGTAAAATCATGATCAAGCTAATTTATGAATAAAATTAAAACTATTCATAACAGTTTCTTTCCTTAACATAATTTTATCAACATAAAAAATCCTAAAATTATATATATATATAATTATAATACATACTTATCATATTGTAAATTCAATACCAAAGATAAAAAATTAAGAACGTATTACGCCAATATAAAACTAATAAACAATATTTGATATTTTTGATGTACTAAAACTTACACCATCAGCCCATTTAGCTTCCATAGAACCATTCCATTCACCAGAAATAGAAAGAAAAGATTTTTTAGTCTTAGGTCCAAAAACTTCAGCTGTGATTCGATGCTTTTTTCCCCCATAGAATGGTTTAGTATGAAATTCTATATCACAATGATAACCTGTTTGTGGACATTTTATAGTTACAGTTCCACCCAACTCAATCCATGGTACAGTAAGAATTGACCTATTAAAAAAATTAAAATATCAATGAAACTGATATACTTTTAATATTTTCAATGTATCAAAATATTTACCTGCCATAACCACTTGGGAATGTAGAAATATATTCTTCTTTATGTTTTAATAATCTTACAATACCTTGTCCCACATGATGTACAGCAACAGATAAGCCAAGAAACTTAGACTTTGTCCAAACACTAGCACAAAAAGATACTTTTTTCTTCTTGTGTTCAGCATAGAATGCAGAAACTAAAAAAAAAAATTATTTTTTAGTAATTTTAGATATACTGGATGTATGATGCATGAAATAAATTGGGCAATTTTATGTATATTTTTATAGAATAAGTTGCATATATAAATTACCCCATAATTATTGTTTTATTATAAATACTTTTAATAGTTCTATATTATATATCTAAAAATGTTTATTTAATTATTTAATCTTACTGGGAGGATGATGAGAAACTTGTTCAGCAAGGAAAATTAATTGATCAGAATCTGTCCAAGGTAAAGGGTTATCTTCTTCAATGGATACATCATTTTCTGCATTCTTTTGAGATGTGATGTTATTTGATGATTCTGACTCTATTGCAATTCCAGGTACATCCCAATGACAACGAAATATTTCACCAAGGATTGGATTATAAGGTTTCTTTGCAACAGCAGAATTTCGACCAGCATGATATGAAGATAAATACCAACGTACTATTTGAACCATTCGCTCTTCTGGTGTTTTTAAGTCATTTGCTCTATCAAAAATAAAAATAAATTACATTAAATAAAAATAATTGGAACCATCAAATTAATTTTAAAGAATAACATTGATAATAATTGATTAAATGATAATAAGTTTTTGGTTATTTTAGCAATATAAATAAAAAGACTCACTTAAGAAATAAATCGGGATGAGCTAAATAATCAGCATACATTTCAAGCAATGAACGTCTTTCTAATATGAATGTTGGTAAAGCAACTTTTGTTAAGTCCATACCTATTTTTACCTGAGATATAAGATGGGTAACAACAGAACCTTGCATAGTAACTGAAACAAATTATATTTATAAATATGACAAACTTTTAAATAAATTATTTATTTTGAATTTTACCATCGGATTCATCTTGATCTTCATAAATAGCTATAAAAAAAAAAAAAAATGTTTTTATTAAATAAATTTGAAAATTATGCTTTACAATAAAATAAAAACTTTAATTATAACAGTACCATCATAATTTATAGAACCATCTGGATAAGTAGGTACTACATTGTCTTTACTATGGCTATCCTTTTTTTTTGTCATACTTGAAATGGTCCGGTCAGTAGAATCTAACGATATTTGATTTAAATCTGAAGATCCTGATTGAGTTAAATTACCACTGTTTTCAGTATCTGCATCAATTCCACTATATAGAAAAAAATACATATACATTATTACATGAAAATCCTTACGATTATTTTAAAAAGTATTATAAATAAAACTGAAATATTATAGTTTATTTCAAAAGGTAATAAATATATTTAATTAAGTGTCTATTGAACAAAATCTAATTGTGTATTAAGTACATAAAATACATTAAAATTATTTAAAATTAAACATACATAAACAAATAATTATTAAAATATTACATAGAACACTTAAATTAAAATATATAAAATTTAATTTTTTTAATTTATAAATAAAGTACTGATAAAATATTTCAATAAATTATTGATAAACTATTTAATTGATTGCAAAAATAAATGCCAATATTAATAAATAATAAACATAAATATAATTTCCATTTATCATTAGATATCAAATTATTTTAAATAAACACATAGGAATTATTAATTAATTAGTTGCACATATTATATAACATAGTGGTAAACAGTGATATATATGTAAAAACTTTTGGATCTTTTAAAATATTCTTGAGATTAAACGACTATTTGTTAAATTTAAAATTAGATATTTCATGCTTTCTAAATTAAATAATGAAGTAAAATATTTCTTAAATGTAAATATATCTAAGAAATATTGATAGTATAAAAAACGAAGTAGGTACTAAAAAAGAACATAAAAATGTACAAAATACTGATAAATTTATTTTTATTATGCTAAATCATACTTAATTTAATTAATAATTAAAAATAGTAAAATTTATAATAAAATTCAACATTATTATTTAACGAATGAGAAGGTAATTTAAATCATACATATATATTTGTATGTATAAAAAAATGTACGCCTTAAAATGTTATAAGTAATTTAATAATAATTATTAATACAAAAATGATGCTAAATTTTTAAAGGAATACAAATATTTATAAAATTATGATAAATATGTATAGTTGAATAAATTTGGAATGATTAAAACTTTTTATCTCAGTCAACAATTCCCTATAACATTTGAGTATCATATTTTCAAAGGTTTATAGAAATGTCATTAAAATCAAAATTTAATAATTAAGTAAATTTTCAACCTTTGGCTTTGGCCCATGTTGGCAGTTATTACTGATTCTGGATTCCCGGGTGAAGTATTAGCCCAATTCCAAAAACGAGAAATCATTGATACAATTGAACAGTTGAATTAAAAATTATTCATAGAAACAATAGTACATTATTCGAAAACAAAAAGGGTTGAGAAATATTAATCACCACTCACAGTTTAATAAAAGATAAAACAATAAACCTTTGACCAGTAATCGATTTTAATAAAATTTGTATATAAAACAAATATAATAATAATTACATAAAGTGTGATTATCTACGTAATGATAATAGTTCAAGGCCGACATCAGCTGATCTGATAATATTTGGTACTATAACCATGGTAGTACCAGATGAACGAAAATGGAGGGATTATTTAAAATTACGCGTATAATATTGTAAACTTTATATGCTCACCTAATAGGTATTCGGTTCTTATATTTTCGGCGCATTGCAGGTATAGGTTCTATTTTTCTTGGTTTTGACCATTCTTCTTCGTCTTCATAAGCATCATAAAAATCATCTTCAGACGAAGAATACGAAACATCTGGAATATCTATTAACATATAAATTTTACTTTTTGGTGATTTTTTTTGTAACTTATAATAATACATGTATTCAAAAAATATCAAGTTATAAAAATTACTATAAATTACCATTATCCATAGGCTGAGAGTCTCTTCTAGGAACTTCTTCACATTCTGCTCCATACTCTATACTACCTGTGTCTCCTGAAGATTACATAAAATAGGTAAAATAATATTTATCTAATCTAGAGTATATATAATGCATTTTATTCACCTTCTAAACTAGGAAAATCATAATCTGTGGATACAGACGTAGTTCTATATGATCCATTAACAGGGAATGCAGTATTCTAAGAAAAATTTGAATTATTTTATTTATATTGAATATTACATTGTTTTTAAATAAATTTAAGAAATCACCTTAGCTATTTGTAACATTACAATTGAATGCTTTACTTGGTCCATTAGTTTCTAAAAATATAATTATTAAAATAAATTTCATAAAACATTAAGCAATTATATATATATATATATATATATTATTGTTTTATATTAAAAAATCAATAATTATAAATGTATTTGTATATTATATTTTTAATATAATTTTGCAATCGATTTAAGAATAAATCCAAATAAAAAATGTTGAATTTACGAATTAAAAAGAAAAGAGAGCCTTTTGGTTGGATTTTTTAGTAAAATAATGCAATCATAAAATTGGTTTTACTTTAATAGATTTTCTGCTTATTTTTTATCTAATTACATTAAATCCCGATCTAGCATGTGTATATAAATAATAATATTTAAAATTATATATATTATTATTTTATTTATTATTATATATATTTTATAATATTTAGAACATATCAACATTTATAATTTAAATTTATAATAGAATTAGACGTGCAAAAAATATATACTTACATTTGTTTCTGAAATTATACATTCACAGTGTGCTTTATCTTCTTCACATAATGCATTCATTTTTACTCCTAAATTCTGAGATAGCAACACAAAACACAAAATATTATTATTATTATCATAAGAAGGTACTCATACTTAAATTATTCAAACCTTGGTTTGTTCAATAAGAAGCTGTAAATAAGCATCTGCTTCTCCCAATTTCTTATCAAAACTTTCCAGAGTAGGCACGACTGCATCATTAGTAACCTATCGAAAAACATTGATTCTTACACATTTTTAATGTTACACGGTTACATTATCATACTGCCACAGGTCTAATTTAAACTAAATGTAACATTTAAATATCACGATACCTTGATTCTCACGGTTGGTTTACAAATACTAAAACATCCGCCCATCATTCCTACGTTTATGCATTGAATATACACTACGCGCACATACATCAGTAAGGTGTTCTAATATTTTTGTATATATTTTACTTCAAACACACACACCAAATAAAGGTAAAGCAACATATTTATATAAACAGACTATATTCCATTTACTTAGTTGAAAAAAAATCAATAAACACTAGAGCTAAATGGTTCAAATTTCCGTTGGAAGACTGTATACATTATAAAAAAATACTGAGGCAATTAAGGTCAGAGTTGGATTAGTGCAACCAGTGTTGTACTATGCCTATAATGTACCTGCTTCTAAATAAGTAATTTAAAAGCTCTTTCAAAACATATATTTTCTTATTAAAAGTCTAAAAAATTAGAGGTTATTTTAAATAATACAAAATTGCTGAAATTCTTTAATATTTTTCAATATTTTACAATTAAAAAATATTTAAATTTACTTAAATTAATTATTATTAATATATGCTTTTATTTAAACATAGAAAGTACTTCATTGAAATATAATTTTTGTATAATAATTGAATGGATTCTGAATTTTATTTATAACATATGAAATTTATATTTCTAAAATTCTGAAAAAAATTGATTATTAATCAACTTACTAATTATATAACCAATAATGAAGTGTCTATTAATAAATTTCCATAAAATAATCAAACTAGGGTAATAATTTAAAAAATAAAAACAATTTTCATTAAAAAAAAATGTACAAATAAAATTTTAAATTATAAAGATAAAATGAGGAACCTAATGATAAATTGTAATATTTTTATCAGAAAACTTTATTGTTAATATTATTAGTTAAAAAATACGATAAAATGCAAGTACGTTATTTTAAATTATTGGAGTGTGCTCATGTAAGGTTTAAGGTGCCGTATCATAATAATCCCCAGACTTAATTTATTCCTTGTGTAAGGATAAATTGGCCAATACTAAAGAAAAATCTTATCAAAATAAATTGTTAAAAGAGAAATGACGTGATTGAAATGTGCCGTTTTCGACAAAAAATGTACCTTTCCCTTTACAGCCGATTCACTTTTCGACCAAAATCGTACCCTTCCCTTTTCGGCCAAAACAAAAATTTATATAATAAATTTAAAACAATGATGTACAATTGTTGTTGTTAATTATTAAAATATTAATATAAAAGAGAACGATATTTTGTATCTAGTTTTGATCTCTTATTGTAATGAAAATTGTTAGCATTTTTTTTTTTCGAAAAATCGGAACTTTAATTTTAAAAAATTTAGGACTTCGCTCGTTACGCCTATTGGCTCCACTCACAAACTCGAGTGCCACTGCGTGGCACTTTTCGGAGGGATGGGGCTTTGCCCCAAGAGGAATTATAGTCTAAGCCAGTGGTTGGCAACCGGCGGCCCGTGAGTCGCATCCGGCCCACACGTCTCTTTTATACGGCCCGCATTAAATTCCAAAACTAAGATATTTCATTGTATATCATATCAATTTAGTGTATTATCTGGCCCATGAATCCTTTTTAATTTGTGAATGTGGCCCAAGGGTCCAAAAGGTTACTGACCACTGGTCTAAGCCTATCATAGTTTTTGTACAAGCCTTGATATTGTTGCAAATGAGATTATGCTCTGTATGTGAACCTAAAACCTCGCAACGCGAGTAAAACCCTGAATTAGAATATATTATAGTAGTTTACATCATAAGCAAATATTGTATATCATTATTTTATTATTTTAAATGTATTATATTATTTTTTTTTTTTTTTTGATTGAAAAGTGAATCGGCCGAAAAGGGAAAGATACATTTTTGATTGAAAACGGCCATGCCCTTCATTTTATACCTGTTCATGTAAAAATAAATTATTAAAACATTAATTTTAAAATACTTACTTCTGCCAAAAAAGATATTAGTCACACAAAAAAAAAATGAAAAATTCGGTATCAAACGTACATCTACCTAATACTCAACATTTTGATCAAATCGAATAGTCTTCGATAAAGAATTTATTTTATTTTTTTTATGATTAAACATAACTATTTAATTTATTATAAGTTTCGTTTTATTGAAATTTATATTCCTTAATTTTAAAACTCTAAGTATATCACTTGGTTTGAAAATAATTATACAAATGGAATAAGTAATACTCTTGCTGAGTTATTTATTCCTACAATTAATTTTTTTTTAATTTAAAAAGAAGATTTAAAGAATAATCGTTGTAACTGAAATTTATATATAAGTACAATTAAAAATATCATATTATTATTTAAAAAATTATTTTTTAATGTGTACAAATCAGTTGATTAATGCCCTTTGTAAGTTCAACTAAATGCATAATGTTAGTAATACATTTTTAAGTAAAACATGAAAAACTATTTGTTAAAAAATGTTTATATTACGTAATAAAATTGTTATATGTTTCCACGCGCTTCAGTGAATAATTAGTGACCATGGAATAATTTTATGACACTCAAATAACTCAAATTTAATCAATAATTATATTTATTTTGATATTCTATATTTATTAATCATTTATTCAAAATATTCAGCTTCACAAAAGTTAAATTGAAGTATTTTAGTACCATATAATAAGTATCACAAACTCCGATGTTCTAGATAAATTTCAAAATTGTTATTTATTAAAAATTTATGACAACTAGATACGTTAGTAAAAATATACATAATAGTTTTTAGCACATAATCTCTTGCCAAAAATATCTTAATAACACCTGTATTCAAGCTATCTGCGCCTAGTACTAATGATTGAAACCTGACCAGTAACCACAGGAGATGAAAATAAAATAAACATCTTCGAAAGAAAAGTAGTATTCTGAATATATGGTTAAAATGGAATACGCAAAAAATTAAAGCAATAAATCAAGAAATAAATCAATAATTCATAAAACCTATTAAAATAATACATTTGAAAAGCAAAAAAAAAAAAGAGATCGTAAGCTGAAAACAAAATATTCGTCCATAGACTGAATGGAAAAAGCCCAGGGGTCACCCTAGACATAGATCGGGTCTCGTCGAAATTTCCCAAGGGGCAAAAATTGAAAATAACGAAAGCCATGATATATGGAGAAAGTCAGTGGAGGTAGAATAAACCCTAGCAAAAATACCAGTTAGATTAGATCCATTCATTGTTAAATATTTAATAGTTCAAAACGCTTAAGAGGAAAAAATATTTTATTAAATAATTTACCTTAAAAACTAACAGTTAAAAAAATTAATCTTACTATAGCTACATTTTCAAAAGTTCTGTTTAAATAAAATTTAATTTTATAAACTTTGATCAAAAATATAAATGGACGATAGCGGTTTTACCTCATTTTATTTTGGTATTTTCGTCATGAAATTTCAAATCTTGTGACTATATGTATATATGAAATGTTTGAAGCATGAAGACATCGATTGTTTTCAGAAAAAAAATTAACATAAATAAAATTAAAATTCTCTGTGCTTTGTTCAAAACATTTTCAATTGTATTGAATTATTTATTTTTAATTATTTTTCTTATTCTAGATATCCCACTAAGTACGTGATTTATAAAAACAAATACTTATAACATTTAATAATTCATAGTGGTCTACGATCTACAAAACTAATAATTTGTGATTTAAATTACATTAGGAGTTGAAGTTGTAATTAATATGAAAAATACTACAATATGACGACGATAATGATGTTTTTGTACTTTTTTTTTTATAACACAAGTAAAATAAATAATTCAATACAAATAGTAAATTTAAAAAAATCTATTATATAAACCGTATTCATTTGTTATCGTAATTTATTAACTTGATACCTGTATTTGATTAACTCTATATCCATACAACTGTTTTTGTATGGTATCTTCTAAAGCACGTATCCAAAACTCGCGGTCAGCACGAGTCCTTGCTTGAAAATGGAATGTTTTGCCATCTACAGTTACAGTAAATGTAAGATTGTCTTCATCGTCAATACCAATCATGGCTCCTTTCAAACGTACACAGCCCCGGCGTACACCACGGACCATTTTTTCCCGAGACTAAAATAAAAAACACAGCTTAGTCTATACATATTTGTTTACGTAAAATTGCAATATACGATGATCAAAACTTAAAACACAGCTGAACAATGTATTATGATAGACAAAAAGGAGCGTTTTAACATTAAAAAGTTAAAACGTTGATAACACATACATAAACACTGGTGAATAGGATTTAGGTACATTTATTAATTGATTTTAATATTTAACTATTGTAATTAATACACTATTGTACATTGACTATTATACATAATATTTTTATTAAAATACTCATTTTTATAATTCAGTCTAATGATTTTTTCAATAATATGACACATTGTTAGCAATGTCACTTCAGAGGCATATAGTTTGAAAATATTGATAATAAAATTAAATAAAAAATTTCATGTCAAGTAAAAATGATAAACAACTAATTATAAATGATTCAAATAAAAGTTATTGTTGTAGTCGGAATACTATCATAAATACAATTATTTCATAATCAAATTTCAAATAAGATATTTTTTTCTAGAAATTATTTATGAACAATAATTAAAATAGTTACCCAAATAGTTTATTCCACATATATTTATTATAATTATTTTATTATCTAATTATATTATATCCATGGTATTTAATTCAATGGTTCTATAAATAATAAATACATGTAACAATAGCTATTGAGTTATATAACAATAAGCAGGTAAATTGATTATAATTTTTGAACAAAACAAAAATGTATTTTATAAAATATGACAACATTGTGTATTGTGGATACATTTATTTGAATGTGTTTTATGTAAAATCATTTATGAATAAGAAATTTCACATAATTTTTCTTTTTTTTAAATGCATCGAATATTGTTTATTTAAGATGAGTAATAACTAGATAATAATGAATTATTACTCATCACTCATTAGTCATCATAATAACAATAAAAATGGATTTTTTAAAAGGAATGTTTTGAGTTAGAAATATTAATTGGACATAATGATTTATAAAATACGCATTGAAATGTCAAACACATTGATATACTATTATATTCTATGAGGAAGTAAACAACAAATTCCCAAGTTAAGATATTAATTTGCCAAGAATACACCTTTTTATTGTTACGTTTTTAATAAAAATATGAATAAAATTTAATTATTCCGATTTCATTTTTATAAATTTAAAAATATAAGTACAATTTAAATTTTACTTTCAAAGTATTCCAAATTATTGTATATTTTATGCTAAACAAAATTTAACAAAAATAAGTAATTCAAGTATAAGAAAAATGTGTTAAATATATTTTCACAGTAAAAAATTATTTTTTTCTCGCGTAATTTACTGGAATACCCAGTTTAAAGTTATCAGTAAAGGTCTTTGACCTAAAATTTTAATTCATGAATCTTGATGAGCAGGAAATAATGTCTTCTTGAACCATGAATAGTATTGCATAAATTATAAGCATTTTCCCGGACCTTTTATCAGAACCGCAAAGATGACATTACATTGGTCAATAAGAGAATATGATCGATGACACGTTAGTAACTAGTTAATATTCTTAAAAGTTTAAACATAGTTTTAGATTTCTCTTTAAAGCTAATATTTTTGAAACTTACTTCAATAGTACTAATTTTTATGATAATAATTTATAAATTGATATAATAACCATTGATGGGTGTTTTTTAAACTAATTTTAAATTTTTATTTTTTTTAAACAATAAAACTATAAAAATGGTGTTGGCGTGGTTTGAGTTCCTTGACAGGCAGTTGGATCCTGGTAAGAATTTTGACTTTTATTAAATTTTAAAATACTATTATAATTTACATATTTTAGATTGGAGAACTAAAGATTGGCCCATAATGTCAACTACTGCAATTCCTGTATTATTAGCTGTAATATACATTATTTTTGTCAAATTTGTTGGTCCCAATTATATGGCTAATAAAAAGCCATACTCGCTCCGAAAAACTTTAGCAGTCTATAATTCAGCACAAATATTGGCTTGCATATTTCTTACCATGGAGGTAATTTTTATAAAATAATACATTTTTAGGGCAGTCATTAACTCAGTATTTTTTTTTTATTTTTATATTTTTACTTATGCATTAAAACTTTCAATAATGATTGATTATTTGTTTTTATATAGTACTTCAAAACAAAACCAAAAATGGGGTGTGATCCATTAGATTCATCTAATGATCCAGATGCACTATACGTAAATAACCTATACATTATTAAATATTAATAATAATTATAGAGTTCCTCATTCATTCCTTATTCATACTAAATTTGATTTTTTTAGGCAGCTAAACTAGTATGGTGGACAACGATTTTAAAACTATCTGAATTAATTGAGACTGTAAGCGTTTTATTTACTATAGTATTTATTATATTATTTATTAAGCTATTTATTATCAATAGCATATAGGGTTACAATATAAATAACATTAATTATTTAATGTGTTAATATTTGTTCGTAGGTTTTTTTTGTACTCCGAAAAAAACAAAATCAAGTTTCTGCACTTCACATATATCATCATGTTACGACTTTTTTTTTAATATGGATCGCTTCAAGAATAAATCCAGGTAATTAAATTGTGAATTTAATATAGAATTTCTAGAGATTATCAAGTTATAAGTTTACTAAAATATAACCAAGATGTCTAAAACGATAAATATAGAACACAATAATATGTTGCATACTTGTATAAAATGTTTTTGATACAGTGAAAAATCTGTCATAAGAGGTATGTGAGTTAAGTGGGTGTCATTGAAGTTAGAAATAATATTATCAGTATTTAAAAAAATAATCTGAACATTATTTAATATTTGAATTGATAAATCAATAAAAAAATAATCCATAATCCCTAATTTTCTCCTAAATTAAGTATCTATCGATTATTAAATAGAAGAAATAATAAGTTGTGTTGAAAAAAATTACGATCGATTTCTATTGATAATGATATTACTACTTTCAGTTTCCATTATTATGAAATCAATTTGAATGCAATAAAGTACTAAAACAATTATAATTATACTAATATATATATTTTTCTATATTTTAGGTGGAATTGTTCGGATACCCGTAATGCTTAATAATACGGTTCATATGGTTATGTATTCATATTACTTATTATCAGCCATGGGTCCAAGAATACAAAAAAAGATTAACGATTACAAAAAATACATAACTATTATGCAAATGGTACGCAATATTAAATATTTACGTTATTACAAAATAATACGCATGCATTGATATTTGTAATTAGACCAAGGAATAGATTTTTACAGGAACATTTAAAAAACATGAGTTTTTTATGTTCTTGTAACAGTAGTATAGCCGACAATTTTTTTTTGACGTCAAAGTTCTTTGGAATATATGTGCATAAAAATAACATAGTTATTCATACAGTTATTAGCATATTTTATGTTACTACTTTAATACAATCATACATATATTTAATGCCTGACCCTTGTTTTTTTAGGCACAATTTTGTTTCTTGATCGTCAATTCAATATTTTATTTGGCTCCTGATTGTCAAGTACCTAATCTTTACGCAATGATATTCATACCAAATGTATTTATTGTATTTTATATGTTCTACGATTTTTATAGAAAATCGTATACAAAAAAACCTATAACTCACCAAAATAGTAAAAAAAATTTAAATATTAATAATAATAATAATGTTATTAAAATAAAAGAAAAGCTTTAAATATTATTACTGGCTATAAAATCAAATAAGAAAATTTATTTATAAATAATTTAACTGAAAGGCGTTATTAAATAAAATAAAATGTACAATTTTACAAGATAAACCTATTCTTTTATAAGTACTAAACGATTATAATTTTAGAGAATTCTGTAACTATTATATATCAATTTATGTATCATCATCATTATTTATTTTAATTTTTAATGAAAAAAATATAATTTAATTTACTATAAAATATTATCACATATATTTATACAAATTACAAATTAATCATACATACAAATAATATTTCAATAAATAATTTTTAATTTATAACAAAAACGATCGAGTTAATAATCTAAAATTTTTATTTTTAATAATTATTTATAACTGTAAATACTTATTCTAAATAAAGTAATTTTCAAATATTACCTATTAGAATTAACGATTTAAATATTATACGGATTTTTACCATATTATCGAAGAGGTACTTAAGCAATAACAAAATACAAACAATTTACATTATATTTAGATTTAATTATATTGGTGTGGTAAAAACGTTGTTTATAGTTCAAGTAAGAAAATGCAATTTATCTTATTTTAAAAAAAATACCATAACTGAATATGAATTTATTTATTCAAAATATTTAAATTTAAAACTGAAACTTGAATTTGATTTTAATTGTATAACTATCCATAAATCGAAATATTTTAAGATCATAGTCGCACACGATGATATACTAGTTAATTTTTTCATAACTAGTTTACAATAAATACTCCGTAATTAGATTTAATTTTATGTACAAGATAATGTTATCATTATAATTATTAATTAGTTATTAAAATATTTTAAGAAATAATTAAATTACTTGTATATAAGTTAATATTAGTATTTATAATAAATGTTATCCGTCATATATTATGTACCTATAAAAACAATTAGAAAATATAATTAAACTCAAAATTAATGTTGTTTTTATTAAATATTCTATATTTTCTATAATTCTCTTTATAATCTGTTGGTGGGGAGAGGGGTTATGAATTTGGAAAAAATAAGCATTTTCTACAGGTGTTTGGTAGATATTTAGGGATAAGGAAGTAAGATTAAGTTAGGTTAATGAGTAAAATATTGAAATTACAAATTAAATGTTTAATTTCTATTTCATATTGTGATAACACAAAAAAAATTATTACACAATCAACTATCGAGAAATCGTAGTAGCAAGATTACTGATGTTTTAAAGTTGAACGGAACAATACAAAACGTTCCATATTGTCATGTTATTATTGTTATCAATTATGATACGAATAATATTCACATTTCATATCAATTAGTCATTTCACGTCTTCAAGATAAACTATTTTTTTCCTACGTAGAATTTGTAAAAACTTCAGAAAAATTTCGGGTTTGGGAGGGGGTCATAACCCCCCAAACCCCACCCCTAATTGCGCCACTGATAATACATATCATAAATATATATGTGAAGGATGTACAATTGTACAATGATACGAATGATAATAATGATTTTCCTCTTTTTTGTGAACAAACTTTAGGTTATAAGCACTTAACATTATATTAAACATTAAGTACACTTCGTACTCATTACTATCATAGCAAGGAACTGCAAGTCATTGAATAATAAAATCAAAAGCACACGTATTGAATACTAAATAATTTCTGTTGTCTAACTTTATGGACTTTATGGCATATTCGTATAAAAACGATGCATAAAAGATTTGCCAAAAAAAAAAAAAATGTCAAAATTTCTAATTGTTAATTTGGTGAGAGACTATAGAAATTAACACACAAATAATTTGATGATAAATTCTGTGGATATGATGTATGAACGCTGTGGCGGACTGACCAGAGAGGCAAAGGGGCATCTCCTCCCAGGCCCACGATAGTGTCATATTAATAAAAATTAAATATACTCGTATAAAAAATGCAAAATTAAAATACAAAAGAAAAACACCATTCAATTATTATTATAATATCTAAAAATACAATGTTATTATGGGGTTTTAATGACGAATTGAGCACTATTAATTAAAAAATATTTAATAGTTGAAATAAGATAATAGTTATAGGTCCAGCTGATTAATCCCCAGGGCCTATCAAGAGCCAGTGTGCCCCATCACAAACGACCGGACGTCTTGCAAATTCATGAAAAAATTATGCATAAACAATTGACTCAAATTTTTTTTCGAAATTCTTGTTTTGAGTGGCCGTCAAAAACAACTAAAAATTTAAGGTGGCCCGTGAAGAAATTGATTAAATTTCTAGATCACAAATTCAAATTATTATAGCTATTGGCTACGTGGTATTAAAATATTTTTTTATTACAATACGAGAATAAATAATACTTAAGTATAAATATACATAACATTGATATTTTCAAATAAAATAGTAAGTTAAACATTTTGCAGCAAAGTTGTTTAAAAGTTTTTTATTTAAATGTTTAAATGTTGATTGTATATACATATTATGTATAGGGTTAAGTATTACAAATATACATATATATACGGTAGAAATGTAACAAGCAATTGTAGATAAAATAATGGTTTTTGTTTTACATGTGATAATATTACACAGTAACCTAAATGTTGTTCCGATAGGAAATTACGCAAATCAATGTACCTATGAAAAATAATATTACAGACTTATTATGTTAATTACATTAAAAATAGGAAGGTGGGGGGGTATAAAAATCTATTTAAATAAAAAAACATTCACTTCACAAGAAAATACAAGTCGCGTAGGTGGTGACTCTGGTTTAATTAAACTATCGGGAAACCACATTTAGAGTAGTTTAAATTTAGATTATTTATTGTTCAATACATTTTAAAACAAAATTTAATTTATGGAGGTAACGAAAGAATTTTTTGAAAATTTAGATGCATTTGTTGATCAGTATGGAGGTAAGTAATCTTTTATAAATGTTTTATCAATGAAAAATAAAAGCAATAACCTATTAATTAGATAAAAATCTTTAAATTATTTTAAAAAAATTCTAGGGAAATTTATATTATATACAAATATTATAATTTTTCAGTTTAAAAATAAACTAAAATTTAGTAAAAATATTATTAAAATGAAAAATGTTGTAAAATAGGAACAATAATATAAATACCTACTAAATTAATTTAAACAGATAATTTCAAGAATTAACAATGTATTAATCAAATATTTTATAACATATTCTAATTATTTTTATAAATAAATTAAATCCATACATTTCTATTAATGGATATTATAATTTAGATTAAAACAATATTACCTAGAAAGTATTAATATTATCAAATTTTTATCACAAAATAAAAACAAAAACCTTTATTATAAACTTTTCAGATCCTAGAACCAATGATTGGCCTATGGTTCAAGGAATCACGACAACATTAGCATGTGTTTTGGTTTATTTATACATCGTCTTATATTTAGGGCCAAAATTTATGGAAAATAGAAAGCCGTTTAAGATACTATCAATTATTAAAATTTATAATTTAATTCAACTAGTAGCATGTATATATATTTTTTACATGGTAGGTATTATTTTAAGTTGTAGTTATTTATTTTCAATGTAAAATGTACATATATACTTAGAATTACATTATTTAAGATTTTGATATCTGGGTGGACAACTAAATATTCTCTAGGATGTGAACCTGTCGACTTTAATGCACCACATTCAAATCGAGTAAGTCACAAAAACCATGAGACTAGGATAGTTCGATTATATATGTGTATGTGTGTGTGTGTGTATTTTCATTAAATTACCAACAATATTTATTTTAATAGATTGAAATAACATGTAACAAATAAAATGTTGAGTTTATTTTTAATTACCTACTTATACAAAAAATAATAATTATAAAATAATAAATATTTTTGTATTCTTAGTTGGCAAAACTTTTTTGGTGGACATACATGTTAAAGTTCGTTGAATTTGTTGAAACTGTAAGTATTAATTTGAAAATTATTGAGCTCAATAGTGAATTTAAAATTTAATTTAGGAAAATTTTAGAATCTACAGTAATATAAAGAGTAAAAACACATAAGGATAGATTAAAAAGATTTAATTTGTTTTTTTCATAATTTCAAAGTAAAATATTGAAACCTACTTACATATTTATTAATCTTTTGATCTCAAAAAAAAAAAAAAAAAATATTTAAAATTAACAAAATAATATTTTTATTAACTGAGAATAACAATATAAAACAACCTTAAGGTCCCATAAATAAAGTTTACAATGATTTGTCCTAAACTTAGATAAAGCTTAGATTTCTATCAATTAATTTTAAGGTTCTTTCTGATTTTCATTTCTTGAATAAAAATATTCTTATATCTCAGGTAATTTACTTACTCTATAAAAACTTAAACGGTAAACATTTTTTACTTTTTTAAATTTCTGGTTATGTTGGTTTTAAACAAATCAGAAATTGGAATTAAATTTATTACCACCCATGAATCATTTTACGTGTTTTAAATTAAGAGACACATATTGTCACAGTTACCAATATAATATATAATGCTGATTATATTGTATTACATAAATATCAACACTTAAAATATTAATACATTTCTTTTTTTTATTATAAGAATAAGCTCACGAGTGATCAGTATTATCTATTAAATAACTGGACTGCAAACATATTACTTGTATTATTTTAAATTTTCAATATATTCTATAATACAGCTTGTGTGACATTCTACTTGTTATTCTGAAGCAAAATGAATGTGTTAATTTATTTTTTGTTGGAAAAAATTAACCAAGTTGAAATTATTAATTAAAAATTCCTAATAAATTATACCTATGTTTATGAATAGCATAAGTTATAAAGTATTATACAACATTATTGACAGTTGTATATTAACAGATTTCAAATTATTTAATTTTAGGCATTTTTCATACTACGCAAAAAAACAAAACAAGTTTCTGGACTTCATATTTATCACCATGGATCCACATTTGTTCTAGCATGGGCTGCAGTGAAATTCTTCCCAGGTTAAAAAAGATTACTTTAAGTTAAATATCTTATTGTACTTTATTTGTTATAGGTGGTATGGCTTCATTTCCAATTTTGGTAAATTCTGTAGTACATATTATAATGTATAGTTACTACCAAATTTCAACAATGGGACCACAATGTCATAAATATGCATCAAAATTTAAAAAATATGTTACAATTATCCAATTGGTAAATATTTAAACACTTGACTATAATTAAATACTTGGACAAAATATTTGATTCAAATTTACAATTGTAGATTCAGTTTGTAATTTTGGTGGTTCATACATTACAAGTTATGTCATCAAGTTGTTCCATGCCTAATTTTTATCTATATGGAATGCTGCCAGATATCATAGTATTATTTTATTTATTTTATAAATTTTATAGAAATACATATGATACTAAAAAAAAAAATCTAGATCATAAATTTGGAGAAAAAATCAAATGAAAACATAGTATAGTAGCTTGTAAAGTGAATACCTATTAAAATAATATGGACATGTTTTATGTAATTAAAAAATGAGTAAACATTTGAATAAATCTAAAATGAACTGTAAATTCATTCATTTACCTATTTTTCTAGAATACAGTACAGTATATATTTTTATAATTAAAAACTTAAAATGTATAAATAAATAAATAAATAAGTGCTTAGCCTGAAGTATAATTATATTTGTAATGTATGACCAGTTTCATATAAAAAAATCATAATCAGATATTATCTAACTCAATAGAATTGTGATTAAATAAAATAAAATTGAGTCACTATTTTATTGACTTTGTATATACCTGATGATGAATTTTTAATTTGAAAATGGTTGTACATTACAAATATAATTATACTCCAGGCTACGTACTTATTTATTTTTTCATTTTTATGTTTTCCTTTTTACATAATTAAATAGATACAATAATAGTTTTAAATATTAATTTGGAATGTTATTGACAGTAATGAAATAATACAATAAAAAAATTTAAATTCTCTATACATTTCAAACATAAAATTATAATTTTTTCATATACATTTTGGGCTAGTTGATAAATAAAATAATTACTTTCATCATAGATTTTAAGTCTAAAAATTAATGCTTTTATAAAAATTAACATTTTAAAGAATATTAACTAATACTTACATTCGTAATATGACAAGTTCAAATATGATGTAATAATTATGTGTTTATTATTTTTAAATAAATGATACAAGAGTTTATTCATTAAAATAGATAAATCTAAAATTATAATTTTTCTCAAAAACAGTGTGATATAATAATTATTGAAATTATTCACAGAACATATTTATTTTGTAGCTTACCGTATAATATGATAGTGTCCCTGAAATATCATCAAGTACACACCAACGATACTGCCATCCTTTAACAACATTTGTCCATTTGCTCAATGTACCTTCCATTCTAGTTCAATAATCAACAATAATTAAAACTATAAATACTAATAACTACTGGAATTTATAATTGTTTGAGTCTATATTCATAACATATGAGTAAAAAATAGTTTAAATATTTCATTATATTTCTAAAAAATAATGTACAAGAAAAAAATTTGCTACTGTAATTTATTGTAATACTAGTAGTAGCCTATCGTGTATTAATCATATTAAATAAAAACATATAACTAAAAAAATAAATATATTGCACTGATAACAATATTTATCTATAGTCAGTAAAGTTTTTATGGTAGGTATTAGTTACAGAATATAACCTGCTAGAAAATTAAAGACATGTCCAGTGTGACCAATGCGAAAGTTTAAAACGTTTACAATGTTGGTTTAGGACTTGGGTCATGGCCACTGTAAGCAAAGAATAGATTGATCTATTAATGTGGATATCATATTCAAATAGATATTTTATGTGACTAGAGTTTTTATTTTTTTTTAACATTAACAGAAAATATAAATATTGGAAAGAAAAATATTTTTGTTTTAACTGTTAATAAATATTATTTTAATGTACGCATATTATATTCAATCTTGAGAATTACTATACTGATTATACTAATTCAGTAATTGATTGTTAGGTATGTGAAGGTGATGTGGTAAATACTTATGCTTGTTAACACATAATATTTACTAATATTGATTCTTAAATTGTATTATCTAAATGCAATAAAAAATGTTATCGTCGTCTGAGGATGACTCGGGCAAATCCCATATTGAGATATTTTTTCTTGTAATATTTATAAAGTAAAAATTATAAATTTTAAATCGTAGAAATTAACTTCTAATTTTATAATTTATAATGGTATCAAAAAATAAATAATCGTAAAAACAATGATGTACTTTTGTACATATATGCAATAACGAAACCTTTTTTTGTGTAACCCTATTGACTTTCTGCCTATACTATTAATTTTTAATAGTTATTAAATATTTTATTGTTATAAATAAGATTTTTAATATTAATAATTACGAAGTCTTTTGTTTTTGTACAAAATATAAATTGCATTGTGTAAACATACGAAATAGTATATATGTGTTATGGGCAATATGAAATACCGAACAATGTACACATTGATCGGGCAATTTGAATCTCAGATATAAATAAATAATTACAAAGTACAAAGTGTCTTGAAACGCACTCAACTGCTTAATCAAGTAAATATCAATTATTGTTCGTAAATTTTTGTCTGATTAAATCGGCTTAGCTGTTACTTTGATCAATGTATTATGGGAAAACAATAGATTTATTAGTATTACTCTATGTTATCATAGAATAATATAAATGTATAAGAAATATTATTGGTACTTGTATTTTATAACCATGTTCTGTATTATAATAATATTACAAGAAATTATTAGTAAAATATTTTACAGTATATTATTATAAGGTTTACAATTATTTATTTCTACTCAAAGTTTAAATTACTCAGGCACGACCAAAATACCGCAGCAATGTGTACATTACTCAGTATTCCATATTACCCGTAACATATATAAATAAGTATTTTTTTTTTTGTTTGGCCCTCCCGTTAATGCAGGCTAGACCACACCTTCTGTATTATACCTATATATATACAGTTACATGGAATTTAATTGTTTAATGGTTTGATTTCATTCAATTTTTAAACCATTAAACATAAAGTTAATACCTTAAGAAATACAAAAGGCTCATTTGCATTATTCAGCATTTTTTAAATAATGTAGGTTCACTTCAGCTCACACCGTTTTCAAGTTTAAAGTACCAACATTATATTCCAATGGTTTTATTTGCATAAAAATGTCAAGTGAAATATTCTGATATTTCAAAAAAAAATTTTAGAAAAAATATCATAAAATACCATTGTGAATACATTCCTTGTTAATTTGTGAATAAATTCTATGAACATTTATTGTTGCTTTATTTCATTCCAATGAACGTAAAACGTGTATAGGCATATAATGTATATATTTTAGAATATTCATGCTTAATTCAACGTGCCTAATGACCTTATATTTTAAAGTTTGGCCCAATGTTTAGATACGGCTTAATGTATGCAGATTGAAATTTCTATTTGCACGAAATGTGATATGGTTTCACCTTGGTGAATTCATAGAATTCAAATATTTTTATTTCTAAAAAAAATGTACATTTATTTTTAATAAATACGCACATTCTAGCTCATAAACTTCAAACTCACAGCTTACTTTCTACATATTACCGTATAACTTTAGGTTCCGTATATACAGGCTCGGATTAACACTATCCTAGGCCATAGACAGGGCCGTTGTTCAGTATTTAAATGGTTAAAAAACCTTCTCTTTAGTAGAGGAAGTATTGAATCTCATGCAGTGTTAAGATTTTAAAAACAATAATATTTACAACATCAAAATCAAATCTTAACTTTTATATGATAACTATTATAAATTTTTATACGATTAAAGTTTTAACAAATGTTAAAAAAATTCATTGTAATTCAAAACATATATGATATAAATTGTCAAAAACCATAAAAAAAATTGTTTACACCAATTTGCATACTACAAAAAAATCGTAGCCACACATTTTCGTATGCACAACAATTTTCTTAGGCCTTATGCACAGAACCTATAGTGCCTATGTGCTAATACGGCCCTGCGTTTATATTAAAATAGTACCGAATTTTTATAATTTATGTAACACTTCGACTACACAAGTATACGAGTATGTGTAAGTTGGTCGCTTTAAGAAAATAGGGAAAAAAACCTTTCACCGAACATTGATTGACGATAGTATACGACAGTCATATTTACTATAGGTCTTATAAACTTTTACGCAGTGCCGCAAAAACCGGATGTGCAGAGTGTGCCGCGCACATGGGCCCTAAGGCTTACATAAATTTGGGGAGCCCCCAAGTCTTAACCAGAAATAAACTACACTTTACAAAAACACAATTATTTAATAATAAAAAGAAAATTTTTTAAAATTCAGGTAAGGTTGATATAATATTTTAGAATAATATAATATTTATTTAACAATGAGTCCATTGAGTATTTGAGTAGGCATACAACATAAATAGGCATTCCTACCTAAACTACTTAAATAAATTAACTACATAAATATGTAGTGAATATAATATACAACAGTTATAGGTATTTAGTTTGATACATACACATATATCATACACTAAATGATGTAAAACGTGTTTTAAAACCCAAAAAAATTGATACTTAAATTGAACAAAAATAAATGCTAGGAAGGGGCTCAATATATTTACCGTTTATGGGCCTCCTATTTTGTAGTTGTGGCACTGGTTTTACGATAGACATTTTCAAATGGATGGACATCTGCAATGTTATCGGTGCTTCTGTATCTAATGTCAATATCAGTATTGATTGACAAAATAGCCGAGTTGCAACTCTAGAAGTTTTATTGTATATACAAATATTACACATACACACACATATATACACGTATTTTTTACTAAATAGTAGTAAGTTGTAAGTAATACTTATAATATTATAATTCATAACTTTATAAGAACAACATTGTACTGTACATTACAAAACCTGCCTTAATATTATATCAACATATCAATGTCAGTTTACCCTATAGGCAAAGTAAGCAGGTGATTTGGGTGGTAAATTTTCTGGACTTCAAATATATATATATATATATATATTTATTCCTATATTATATTAAATCATAGGTATTATACATTAAGTTATTAACTCTCTGAAATGGTTTCGATGAACGCGATCTGAACAAAGGATGTACCCAGGGGGGGAGAGGGTCAGGACCCCTTCCCATTGAAATTTCTACATACTCAACGATTTAATAATAAATAGTATAATAATAGTAAATATATAATGTATTTTAATTTCCCATTATCAGATAAAATAAAAATTTTGGACTCTCCTCCCCATAAAAAATTCCTAGGTACACTCCTGGCCTGAACTAATTGTAATTTTCTATAATCTGTAATTTTAAAGTGAATGAAGTATTTTTTAGTGTTATATTACATGAACATATTAGATAAACCCAGATTGAAACCGGAAATAAAATATTCTGGTTATGCAAAAATGTATGATAAATTAAATTTTTTGATCAACAAGTAATTTGATACGATGATATTGTTGAAGGAGCCAAGAAACTTCAACAATTTTATGAAACGGACATTGATGAAAATATATTTACACAAGAATACATACATTTCAAAATTTATATTCAAAATACAACTGAAAAAAAACAACCAAATCAAAATTTATTTACATTTTTTCGAAACCAGAATTTAGAAGAACTATTCCTGAATGTGAGTTCGCTTTAAGAATATACTCATGGATGGCGGTTATTAATTTTTCAGCAGAACGATCGTTTTCGTGTCTCAAAAAATCTAAAATATATTTAAGATTTACTATTGATGAAAATTGGTTAAATTATTTGTCTTTCCTGTGCATTGAATTCATCCATTTGCATGCAAAACAATGAAAGTTATTTGGTTTTTTTTTTAAAATGAGGAAGGAGTTGACGATATTTATATATTTTTATATTTTACGAGAAATATCGAAGAAATTAGTAAATATTTAGAAAAAAGATTTAGAACATGATGCAATCTAGTTAGTAGTAGCTGAGGGTGGAAACACTCAGAACTCCCCTCCCCCCATAAATACGCCACTGACCCGAACACATTGTGGCTAAATTTATGTCTATAATTTTCTATTTATATGCAGTCTCCATATATTGGTATTATACGCAAGTCAGTAAGACACAATCACTACATGTAAGTAGGTAATAATGTTAGGCACCTATTATAGACGTTTAAAAATGTTCATGCGAGTTTAAAATATATTTCCTTAATGCATTATTCATGTATTCAAAAAAAACCTTGTACAACAATCGCCGCTGAAAATAACACAAATCATAAACGTTATATATATTTATATTTTTCAGCAATGTACGTCCATATTCTTGATGTTGACCAAACATATATTAGTAGTATGTATTTATTTAGTAAATTACAATAAAAATACTGTTAAATATCTAATGTAAAAGCTTGCTGCATATTAATCATAAAAATGTTTAATATTTTTAATTGAATACCATGTATCATGTAATCATAAAAAAATTGATATTATGACGAGCGTAGTTAAACATTTATCACTATCTTTCAATCTTTTAAGTATGTTAATACCTTCCAAAACCCTTAGATAACACATTCTATAAAAATAATATTATAAAACTATAAAATTATTAATATGAAACAATTAATAATAATATAAATAAAAAGGATTATTATTATTTATTTTTACAGTTTTACATGTTAGATTAGTCTTGAATGGTTTTATTTGCCCAATAAAATTCTACAACTAATAATTGTTAATAATTATATCTATTAAGTTTAAAAATAATAAATATTAATAAAAAAAAAATGAAAACTTTTTATATTGATTTATCAAAATCGATTATTTACTTTTGGTATTCAACCCTGAAGGTTGGGTTTTCAATTGGATATTCGCTCTTCACTCTTCTCTGTTATCAGCTAGCCTTTTTAGTTCGATGTTACAAAAGTTTTGAAATTTCCTAATGTATATACTTGTTTTTAGGAAAAATTATTAATTTATTATTGAAGAAGATTAATAACAATCTTAATAAATTATAATAGTAATATTATACTTATATTATATTAAACCATTGAGTTATTTCATCGGTAGGTGTTCAGCGTATATCATGATTATTTAGCGCTCGGACCAATGCATTTTTATTTTCGTTCATATTATTTTCGAGCATAAATATCATGTATCTATACATAGCTACATATATTGAAATACAATTGTGTTTGTTGTATTCTTTATATATCTCTATGTATGTATTATAATTTACAAAGGTAGGCATTAACTTGTTAAAAAGCTAAAGTTATGTTAAAAAGTTAACTTTTTTTTTACTTTTTAACTTAACTAGATTAACTGGCAGTTGAAATAACTTAGCTTTTTACAGTTGATTTAAAAAGGATCTATCAAGTTAACCTTTTTTTTAAACTTTTCGTTTATACGTAAATATTAATACAAAAATTAAATAATCATGTAAAGTAAAATGGTCGCATACACTGTAAATCAGATGTCATATATGATTTTGTAGGTTGGAGGCCCACCTTTGGGTATTGGGTTTTGGATACAGAATGTTATGTATAAAGAATTTTAACTATAAAGCTAAATAAATATGGTAGTGAGTGACCCCTTCATGTACATTGTACAATGTCATAATATTTTTCAAACACTTCAGCGCCACTGCCGTATATTATGATAAAAAATTTAATAGAATTGTATATTATAATTTAGGAAATAAATCTTTCTAAAGAACGAAGTCATTTTTTATGTTATCTACTTACTAGTTAAAAAAATAGATTAACTTTTTTTAAACTAAGTTAAGTTAATATTTTTTTTCTTATTAACTTATAACTTATCGAGTTAAATTTATGAATTTTTAACTGTTAACTTTTAACTTATTGATATTGTGTTCTCTTAACTTAATTTAACTCGAGTTAATTATTTTCATTAACTTGCCCACCTTTGATAATTTATAACTAGCAGATTATTAAATTTGATATTAATTGTCCCAAATAATTTATTTATACACTACCAAGCATTTTTTTTTATTATATCTCTCTCGAGTCTCGTGGACATGGTTGCCGTCGTTTTCAAGTTCGATTGACAAATCACGTTTGACTGAAAAACAAACGTGCTTAATATTTTATTTTCAATCAGTATGAGTGGAAAGCGCATAAAAATACATGCATTGAAATAAATGAGTTGTTTGGTTTTTTTTTAAAATGTTTCCACATTTTAGGAGTTGACGATAATATTTTAAGAAAAAAAATCAAAGAAATTAGTAAATATTTATAGTATAGATTTAGAACCTGACCTGAAAATGAGATTATACAATTTAAAACAATAATGAAACATTTTTCTGGAGATGAAAAATTATCTTTGAACAGATTTCTTAAAGCATTAACAGCATCAAAATTAAATGATTCATTTCTTATTATGGTAATAACTTTAAAACTTTTTGTATCTATACCATGTTCAAATGCTAGCGGAGAGAAATCCTCAGTTTTAAAAAGAGTTAAGAACTACCAGAGAACATATCATCTAATGAAAATATGCCATCGTTGGCTCTAATGTCTATTAAGAATATTTTCCTAAAAAGTATAGATTGGAATGATATTATTAAATAGTTTGCTGTAGAGAAAGCTAGATAATAGTTGTTCATTAAGAAATGAACAACATAATATATACACAACAATATAAGAATATTGAATAAATTTGTATTAAAATGTTTATATTTAGTACCTACTAAGGTCTATACATTTAAAAATTACCGATGTTATGATACATTTATAAATATATATTAATTAAATAATCTTAACTATGTTGTCACTTGTATATAATATATATATATATATATGAGATTTTTAAAATCTGCTCCCATGCGACAAATTTGTTAAATCCAGCACTGTGGATCGGAAAATATTACACGCAAAATATATTATACGTATTATATTTTATATATTCGTATATTATACACAAAATCGATTACTATTAATTAAATTAAATTATTAAAACAACTAATTATTAGATATTTATATTATTAAACATAACAACATATTTAATCAATATAATATATTTTTAGAAATTTATATAGATAAACAAAAACTACTTTTTTAAAAAGTTTAATATATGTAAACCATTTAAAGTATTAATTTAGGAAAGGATTAAGGGATTTAATAATAAAATATATTAACAATAATGTATAAATTCAAAGTATATTAATAAAACAATTACAAATATTAACCACTATGTTTGAGTGTTGTTAAAAATAACACTTTGTATACAAATAATTAATAGTAAATAATATTTCATTTAAGTTATAAAATTCATATCACAATTGTATTCGTAATTTAATAACTTGTACAAATTTTACAATAAAAATGTAATTTTTTCTCAGTACTATTATTATTGTAAAAATTAGTTAAAACATGATCTAAAATTGTTGCTATTTAATAATATAATTATTTCCAATAATTTATTATATAAATAATGCATAAGAGTTGTTATAGCTAATATAAGAATCATATAAATTCTTAGTTTTTAAAACAAATTATTGATCAATTTATTAAAATTAAAAAAGTTAAAAAATATCTGTTCATAAAAAAATAAAATTTTATCATATAATAATCTTAAAATTGTAAAAAATGAGTAGAACAAATTTTAACAGTAAACTTTTTATTGTTAGTATAAACCAATTGTTTATTAATGTATAAAAAATCATTAGAAAGTTGTATCATTTGGGAAATGGTTGTTCATTATTATTTTTACTTTGTAAATAGTAATTATTTCTGAAAAATATTTTTATTTTTTAAGGAGTTATTTAATAAGCAATTAACTAATATAACTAAAATAAATACCTTTAAATTTAAATGTTATGATTACAATAAGTTAGTGTATTTCAAATATGCTCAGACTTTGTGGTACGTATAAAAACTTATAAATATTACGAATAAGTAGTAGGTTTAGATATAAATCATTATGCAATGGAGTTTGTAGGATTGGTTTACTTAAACAAGAAATGTTTATAAAATTGTTAAAAAAATTTCGACATTTTAAAAGTATCAATATTAAAACAATATAAATGTGTTTGTTATAATATATTATTGATCGAATAAAATCATAAAAACATAGAATATATATAGAGATCGAAACCTATAGTGGCATTTAAGGTAGATATCTAACGGTTTTTAGTTAAATACTCCTAGTATAATAGAATGCGTTGTTAATAATAAATTATTAATGATAAAAGCTTAAATTTTCTTTGGTATATTTATAGCTTTATATCTATTTAAAATTTTCAAATTTTGGTTTCTATTAAATTTAAAAATAAAATGTTGAAGTATATTAATAAAATAATAGGTACGATAAGAAAACCTATAGGTACTCAAGGTCAAAACCAAAAATATTAATTAATAATACATATAGTGTATTTTATTATATTGTTTATGTATACAGAATAAAAAGTAAATCCCAAATTTGTATATTGAATTTCGCAATTGTAATTTACTTGAAATTTAAAAATTAATATTTAAAAGTATGCCCATATTTCATTCATTATACCTAATTATAAATGTATGAGTTATTTCAATAGTTTATTCTACTAATTTTTATACCTTTTTTTTTCGTAATGTATTCTGGTTTTGTTTTTAAATTAAAATGTTCTTTAAAAATATTTAGTCAGTACATTAAGTCATAACACTTTTAATGATACCTACTTCTTGATAAAAGTCTTTTAAAGTACAAGATAAAATATATTATGTCATAGTACTATACAATTAAAAGATAAATTTATATTTACATTAATAATTTAAATCAAACTATTTTACAATTCAGGTGATGATGATTTTCTTTTTACATATCTTGAAAAATAGTCTGGCCTCCAACATTTACAACTACCCGGAATTAAAAACCAGTCATAGTACAGTCTCACCTAAAATATAAATTTAAATTCTATATTTATTTACAACTATCAAATATTAATATTATATTATTATTTAAATTTACAATTAATGTAGTTTAACAGTAAAATACGTAAAGAAAAAAATATGAATTAGTTATAATTTTGTAATATATTTAAAAATACTCGCCTGAAAACATCCAAGCTCGTCAACACCATCACAAGGTGGTTTTTTCTTTGATGAAGTCGAAGATTGTGATGGCAATGTATCTGCTGAACCTTGAGTAGCTCGTTTATGTAAATACTGTTGGTAATTTTGAAAGTCTTGAACTGGAGGTGGATCATCCCCTTGTGCTTTTGTCTTATATATACCTTGTGGAGAAGGAGATACTGGCAATCGTCGATTATTTGAAACAGACGGCAAGTACGTATCTGGATAATAAACCTCTGCAACTAACAGGCTCACCCATCTCGGCGAAGATAAACATCCTCCATCTATGTAGTGACATTTGCTTTGACTAAAATGAATCACATGAATACAATTATTATACGTACTTAAATAAAATAAACGTGGCAATATATTTTTTCATATTCGAGTACATACGTGCACTTTGTAACCTCGACAGTTTGGGTAAAATATCCTTCGTATGGTATTTGTACCACATATCGCCACATACCCTGGTAGTTACGTGCAAACACTGGTGTAGCATATTCTACTTTAGCCGGACAGGGAGTAGGTGGCCCATCCATAGAGCTACCTGCAGAAGTATGTGCCGGATCACGAGTTCTATATTCTAATTGTTCTGTACGTCGTTGTGCCATCAGCCCAGACAATGCTTGTCCTTGTATTGCTTTGTACAACATACAAAATCTAAAGGAAAAAAATGTACCATGACTCATCATGGACTGCCTATATATTCATGTAATAATATATTATGCACAAATAAAAATTAAAAAAAAATCATTCTATCTAGCTTTTGATGCTATTTAATATTTTCACTATTCTAAGTGAAATTGGTAGATCGAAATTTTATAAGATCCAATGAGATGCTATAGTTCTACATTTTTTATAACATAATTTATCCCCTAACATAATTGTCTTTAAAATTAACGCCTTTTTTTATTAACTGTACATTTAACTTCTATTAAATTCTAATCATACTTAGTGATATACTTATAGTACAATTATTTATGCACGTTAAAGCATAACAAAGTACAATAACTTGGACCTGTATAAATTATAATTTTTTAATTTAATCTATTCGTACATTCTTCCATTTTTTTTTCGACATCGTATGTTAAATGTAAATAGATGACGCTGTTTAAACTGTGAGATAAAGTATTTTTAAGACAATATTGTAGTGCTTTTTTTAATTTTAGACATTCTTAATAAATTAATAAATTAAAAAAAGGTATTAATTTCTTAACAGATTTAAATTGTTAACTTTTTTTCTAATTTTTATTTAAATAATAATAATAATAAATATGTAATGCATTTCAATTCATACTAAACATTGATTTTTTTTAAACTTTGTTTTTTGCTATTCTGAACTAGAATAAAAACTAGGACACAATAGTAATTCTGAATAGTATCAATATGACATAACATCGGCTCGGAAATGATACTATTTTGCTTCTTCAAGCTAAAAACCAAATCAAAATTATTCAAACTGGACTATATACAATAAACATATGTATTAATATAGACAGTTAAAATTCATAAACAAAAACCTATATATAATGTGAAAGGCTTATTGAATTAATAATACATAATTATTGTTTAATTTTAAACTTAAAAAAACTTTTAACCTTAAAAGTATCATCAAAAGGATTTTAGTCATATAATACTATTTAATCAAATAAACACTAAATATTTTTTCATTTTGATCAAACAAAAAGTGTGTTATGAATTTGATCATAATTGTGGCATAATTTTTTTAATTTTTTTTTCGCGAAATTTCATTTACTTATAAATAATTTAAATATACTTATAATTGTTTTAATTGTACTTACACTCCATTGCTACTATCACAAAATTTTCTCGAATGTCTAGTTGTATTTTGAGAAGATATAGGAATTTCATCATCGTCATCCATGTTTACGTCATCAAGAGAAACTTGATTATTATTTTTAGCTCTTCGTCGAAAAGGTTTCCCTCTAAACAAAAAATGTATAAAAAAATGTACTATTATAGTTTATTTAATTATTGTATACGTATAATTATATAATATACACACTGTAAGTATTTCTGGGTTGTACTACTTTGATAATACGAATCAGGTGGCACATATTTTGCTACTTTTGGTATAGTTTCGTCAGCTTTAAGTATAGGTAACGTTCTGCTGAAGAACTCCAATGTTTTATTTTTCATAAGGTCGCTTAAATAATACCATACAACATGTTTTAATAACTAATTTTCTTTTTAAGCATTGAACATTTTTAATTAAATCAAAATTGTTCTATATCCAAATACTTACAATGGGTATGGTGATCCTAAAACATTTTGTTTCATTGGGTTTACAGGCAAGAATCCTTTATTGAGATCTCCGCATAAATTGTTCAATGTTTTTGCTGTCGGACTCTTGTTGACCCCTGTATATAACCATTGTCATTTTGTTTTACTATCATTAAATTTATTTACAATGGTGAATATGATTCAACAATTGTTTTTTATGACAGATGCGTGACTCTACATAATCGTGTGAACTACAGTTCGTGCTTTACTGATGTAAGATCATGTTATTAATTATTAAAATATATAGTATTTTTTATTACCTGGACACAATTTGGTAGATTTGAAATAAGGTGGAGAACGGACTTGAGGTGGTTCCATTCTTGGAGCTTCAATAAAAGCATAATAGCCTTCAGGAGGTTCTGGTCCCAAATCAACTGAAGACGAATCTGTTGATGAATATGTTTGTGGATGATGAACGACAGCTACATTTCTCGAGATATGAGAAACGGCAATGAAAATGAACTAAAATAGAGAATATTGTACAATGGTATATTTAAATTCAAAATAATTAGGTATCTAATTAAAAATATAACGTATAATCACTAACAATAAGACATTTTTATTATTTCAAATGGTATTCAAAAGCTTGAGTAGAGTTTATTTTATTTAGAACATGAATATAATAATTAATAAATAAAAAAGAAGAATAAATAAATATTTAGAAAAATCCGTAACAATGAAATCTTATAAAATACTTAAACATTTTTAGTGCTCTTATACATTTAAATTTTAATGAAATCAGTCTCTAGATTTTCGAAAAAATAAATTTAATAATATTTTCAATTATTTATATGTATTGCTGAGACCGCTCCTATTAGTAATCCACAAGATCAGGACATAGCGAAAATATACGAGAACTATACCACGGATTCTTACGATAACATTGTAGCATACTCAAATGTTTACAGATCAAATGCATGAACTGAGAGTAAGTTATGTCTCAGATGAAGTTTAAAACATTTTATAATAATGATTCTACTGAGACACTTAGTAGTAATTTTTCAAACCAGAGTATAACTTTTAAGGAGAATAGGTTAACTTGTTAGAATAAGTCGAAAATATATATATTATATATAAATACAAATTTCGTATTACCTATTCCATTCAATTGTCCACGAAATATATTCTAAATCGGTCTATTTATGTATAGTTTGATAGTAATGATACATAATATAAAGTATTTATGGATAATTCATATAGTATACCTATCAATCATCACATTGAGTATTTACTATTATGATTGAGCATGATGAACGGAGTATCAAATATTGAAAAAAAAAAACCATATTTTTTTGTTATATTATTAAGCGTATCGGATTATACAGTCATCAATTGACATCGAAATGCATGAGCAATAGATACACTTCTATAACGGATTTATATAAGATATAATATTAATAAAAAAGTACATTGGTCATCGTTGGTCAGACATGCTGATGTCTATTTGCGAAGTATAGTTCCATTGTTCGTAAGCAATTTATTCTGGAAACCTACTTTTCCTTTTTTTTTATAAAATAGAAAACAAATAAATTCAAGAGAAAAGATGGAAAGAAAATTGTTTTTTAAGAACCAATTCTACCAATGAATTGAGAAGTAATTTTAAATAAGGAAAAAATAAGATTCAGTAGTGTACAGTTTGGTATAATTAAATCTTCCATTGGGAATTATACCATGACGACGTGACCACGAGGAATATAAGACTGGGTCAAAAAGAAGATGGTACCGTTAACAAGTTTTACTTTTGTTACTTTTTAAAATAACTTAATAAAATTAGTAAAAATAAATGAAATTATCTAATAAACATAATTTTGTTTTAATTAAATAAGACTGTATAATTTAAATAATAAAATGTCAAATATAAGTATGTTAAATTAATTATATAATAACTTTTACAAAATAATAACGTTATATTGATACAAATATCAATAGATATTTGTTTAAAGTAAGCTCAGTTACGCGTAACTTTAATTTACAATACATGTATAAAAATTACAACTTTAAAAGTGTATTTGATGAATTTAATGTGATTACCCTGATATAGTTTATAATTAATATTACAATTCTTCTGAGTAAAAATATAATAATGAAGAATAATAATATTTTTAAATATAAATTATAATAATAATAATAATAATACGGTGCTTTGAAGTTATAAATTATATAAGTACTAATTGTTTCTTAGTAATACATTAATATGCGCGACTTCTTAATTCAGTGTTTATAAAATAATTTTATAATTATGTCGTCTAAATATTATTAATTCAGTAACATCGAGTATTGAGTTTCATTACAAGTTTTAAATTATCCTAAATATGTATTTTTATATTAATATTTATTTTAACACTGAGATGACATTTACACAAATGTTACGTAACAGTAACATTAATCCGTTTAACAAAAGGTTATTCATGGTGGATCCGCTGCATTAGCAAACATTAGACCATTTAATTGAATTCATTTTACAGGTACAAATTAACAATAGATAAACGTATAAAAACATGTTTTTCTATTATTAATGTTCAACTGTATAGTACAATGTATTGTTTATGAATTCAGTAATAAAAATAACACATGTACTGTAGTTTGTACTGTAATTTTTATTTTTTTATTTTATGTTTAAGAAGCTTTAAATAATTGTAGCACCTAAAAACTTCTGTATCATGAATTAAAAACATAAAAACATAATACTTAATGATTAATAAATGACAATATTACAAGTAACATAACAGAAAATAGCATTTAAATAAATACTTAAATTTAGTTCATAATCCGAAGATTATAGTACAAACAATTTTAAATGTACAAAATTAAAATTTAATCATTTTTTATTCTCAACTAAAGTAAAAAAAAAATAATATATATTTTCTAAAAATAACTTTATTTCTATTTAGATTAATTAAAAATTATATTATTTCTATTGTAATAAAGCTGAGCTGTATATTTATGTATGAAAGATTTAAATTTTTTTAATAAAAAGGCATTAATAAAATATAAATTTTAATTCATTAATACAAATTAAATGTAATTAAAAAATAATGTCGAAAAAAATTATTAGGTATTAGTTAAAATGTGGTTCAGTTCAGACTTAGTACCTATAAGCTACGTCACTGATTTCTTTATGGTTAAAAAATATTTACAAACAGATTAACCGAATCTTTAAAATATTTTGTACATACAAAATTATGATATTGTGCACAAGCGTTTAAGTCTCATGTTATTTTAAAATCAATAAAAAATATAATCAGCTTAATAAAAGATTATAAATACGATTGAAATTATAAATTAAAATTATACAATAATTTAAATCATAAAACATTAAGCAAAAGTTTAAATTAAAATGTCAAAGTTAATTTTTAATTGAAAATGTACAAGTACTAAAAAAATGTCAGCAATGATATTGTAAAGATATTATTAAATTATTATTATATATATATACAAATATAATTATAAAAACTTTATAAAACTAATATTTTAAAAAATCACTTAACGAATATAATACTTTTATTCAAAAATAAACTTCATGTAATATTAATGTATTTAAAATTTTAATAATTATTAATATTCTGATTATTTATATTCTTTTTCTGATTTATTTTAATTGAAATTAAAATAGTATAAACGAATAATAATAATAATAATTATTTACCAAAATTCTTGATAGTTTTGAATTCATAACGTCTTGATTTTAATGTATAGCACATTGACCTGATGACACATTCGAGTCCGGCACTCTACTGACCCAGACTGAGCCCCACCGAACTTGAATCGTGAATCCTGCCTTCCTTAACAACAGCTATCATACTCAAAGAATACTGCGCTGCCAAGTGAGCGTTAACGTCATAAAACAACAGAAAAATATTGTACGATTTTTTTATTAATAACTTTAGTGTAACAATGACAAATAATGTATTACAAAATAATAGGTTATATTTAATCATTATACTTGTTTAATTCAATACTTATTAACTGCTTTCTACTCATTACTTATACGTATTTAAAAAAATTTAAGAAATCGATGTATCTTAAAGTTATTATTTTCAAAGAATATTTGTTGAATAATCAATTTTTTCATATTTTTTTATATTGTATTTATATTTATTTTAATAATAACATTTATGTTAATTTTGTAAGTCGTATACTTATTGAATAGGTAGTTTCACAGTCATAAATATTTTAGTTGTTGAATAAAATGTATAAATAATTAATAATTATTAAAAGTATAGAGTTATACTGATAAATACAACCATTTGACTATTTAATTTTAGTTGCATAATGTTTAAAAATCTTAAAATTGTGTAAGAAGTTAGTAATTAATAATATTATATATATAAAATGTGTATAATTTGAAATTTAGATATTTTCTTTTAAAAAAATATAAGTATAATAATACAATTTATTTATTCGATTTTTAATTATATTATACTTAATATAATATTTTTTTTTTTTTTATTGAACTTTGATATTTCCTGTCTAAATAAACGCATTAATAAATGTTTTAATACTTCTATAACATTTGTTTAGTTATCAAAACAAATGTATTCAACTACCTTCAATATGTTTGTTATCAATCTGAAACAAAATAATTATACATTTGTATTTACTATTTATTTTTTATTTTGACATATTTTTATTTTAAAATAAAATATGTAAGAAATAGTGAATAACGATCCATTTTAGCCTTTGAATGAAATTTCGTTATGTATTTAATTATACATTACTCTGAACATTCTTGCATACTGACCCAGATATAATGTAGGAAGTATCGTGAATAGCTAAGGTAATGACCCGATTTTTTTCCTTAACCACTATGACTTGTTCAGTTCGTAGTATAAGGTACGCGCGTCGAGACTATAACATATGTCATACTGTGTTGTTTTTTGAATACCAGACTACCCAAACTACTTTAAAAGAAATATAATTTACTAAAAATGTTGAAAAAATCACCAAAATACTCGCGATAGGTTTCGTAATTAACGTAAGACTGTTTTGCGAGTTTTCGTGGTTTCATTATTATCAAAAATATTTTTATATCGATGAATTATAAACGATTATATTGCAATATCTTAGCATGAATATAATATGTTACATTATTAAACAATTACTAAAATGTGTGCTGTATTTATTGATCATAGAAATTCTTTAAGGTATAATTTTGACTTAAATCTAGGAATTAATTAAAAAAATTTAAATGGGTCAACTTAAGATTTTAATAATTGAAATAGAAAAAGTTTTATTTAATTATAAATATTTTTATAATACCTTAAGTAGTCTTATGTTGCGTATACTATAATTTATTTTCATATTTTAAATTTAAGACGTTGTTAGATTGTAGGCTATATGGTTTTTGCACATTTACAATAAAGTAATTGCATAGTATTGAATACATTATGCGAACGATTACCCACCTTGGTTTATATATACTTATATACTACCGAAAAAAATTAAAATATTGTTATTGTCGTATAATATCGTTTGTACTTCATTTAAACAATTTTATTTTATAATTACATTTTATACTTAAAGTTATAAATATTTATTAAAAAATTCAAATAGGTAATTTAGAACTGTTATTATTTTCAATAAATATGTATGTCGTGCGTGTAAGAATTTCGAAGTACTGACTAAAATTGTGGTGTGCCATTTAATTTTTAATTTTTAGTAAATAATTGAATGTAGTCCATCTAGTCATCAGAAATTGGTTTTCAACTTAATAGAAAAACATACATTTAAACCATATATATATATATTTCTCATCATATTCAGTCACTAATGAAATAATAAATTATAATATTAGTTATATTAAGTATATTATACTAGTTCAGAAACTATATACTTAATTACCTAAATAATGTACGTGATTATTTTAAACTAATAATTTTTAATCATACATTTATAAAATTCAAGAAAATAAACAATTTTGAATAGAAATAATGAGCTCAGAAAATAAAAACATACAATGACTACCATATTTTTAAGAATTATATTAATAATGAATTTTGTGTAAATTATTGATTTAGCATTTTTCATGGAAGGTTAGATTTTCAAATTATTCAATTTTAACTTTGGATTATACCAATATAATATAATAAACATTACCAATTGATTTCAGTTATATCTTAATAGTCTCAAGTACAAATTTTTAATATTTTTGCAAATCGACAAATAAGAATTATTTTTCTTATCTTACGATTATTATGTTGTTTCAATAGTACACTTAAAACATTTCTTGGCATTGGTACAATATATATTCACGCCTTTATAGTGATCCTGTATATCACCGGATGTAGTGATCTACCTTTTTCTATTTATGGTTTATAGCGTGTAATCCAAAGTGATTTTGGTTACCTATTATATCTGTACACACCCGGAACAAGTTTCATTCGCATTAGGTACTGTATAGTTATGCGTATATTTTTTTTTTACAAATTTAGTGTAACCGGTTTTAACTATCACCGAAATGCGCAATATGTTGTGTAGAATAGAGGGTGGTAGATGAACGGTTTAACGAATGAAATAATTGACCGTCGTAAAGGTATACACCGATTTAAGAATTACATGTTCATACCATTAAAGTATTAAATATTTATACATATATATAGTTAGCGGTTAACCCCTTGATTATTATATTCCGTGTTATTATATTTAGTTGTCCAGCCGTATCACTTGGTTTGTATAGTTGTATTTTTATAAAAATCTTAGTTGTTGTTAGTTGTTATACTCGGAGGAAAGATTAATTTATTCTAGGTCCTGTGGTAGACGATACAAGCGGGAGATTGGGAATATACTCGGTGTGCCGTGGTAAGCCATTTAAAATTGAAGGTAGATAACTCTTTTGATTCTTTGTATAACAACAATATGTATTGACTAACAATGAGTTTTTGTTTTTATTTATTTTTTTATCACTTGTAGGTTCTATAACTGATTCATGTCTTACAAAATTGGAAATTGGACAATGGAAACAGTGATACTCGTTTGCGCACAGTACACAATTTTTTATCCAGAAACTGACAACTCGTTTACGTACAACGAAAAACGTGAAAACCAGTTAATACAAATTTTGACCTGAAAAATTACTACTCGTATGCATACAACTAGTAAATCTCATTCCCAACATAGACTTTTATTGTCACTTACAATGCCTATGATACGATTTATCTTTAACATTTTCATAAGATACACGTAATACCAAAAGTTTTTGATTAACTGGTGTGCAGATGTTTCAGCTACATTTTGAGTTATCATTTTAGGTACTATATGCATATTGTTAAGTTGAACGTGTGATGCAACGAGACACAAGTTGCCAGTGCTTTAGTCATTTTACTTCGTGTAATGTCATGGTTATTCAAATAGGTATCAAATGTTTTTGAAAAACGCAGAGGAATACATTGTTTTAATATTGAAAACTATAAGTACAGTGAGTTCTGTGTTTTAAAATTAAGTGATCTATTGTTTAGATGTACTAAATAGTCCTACGTTTGGGTAATTTATTGCAGGTATTAAAAATTCACGTGCGCAATAATTGAGTTCTACATTTGTATGCAAATGTGAGTCGCAAAAAAGGTTAAATGTACCCAAACGGGTATCGCCTAAGGGAAGTACATTTGGATGATACATTGGGATGATTCTTAGTTTCTATATTGTCAGTGTACTTATTTCATTTAGTTTAATAAAAAAAAAGATTTTACAACACTTATTAGGTATTAAAATATTGGATTTCATCAAACAACTGCTCATTTAAGTTTTTTAACTAAATAAGAAGTGTTGTGATTTGAGCTAGAACATTCAATGGCTTTCTATGCCAATAACATTAAACACGTAAAAACATATACCTACGAGCATTTAATAGAATTAAATTTAAAGAACGATATGGGTGATTGATTATTTTCATGATAGTTGAAGATTTTTTTCAGTTTTTACATTAAGTACTCGTGAAATATTGTTTTTATGATTAGTCACTACTTTTAACTATATTCAAATAATTGAACATATCAATAAATATTTTTATCTAAATAATCTACCCAAAGTCCTTATTTCATTCTAGACCTTATAATTTGTACCCCTCAGTGCATTTTTTAACTAATTAACTAAGCGACACAAATATCGCCCAGTGATTATACTCTGTCGGCAGTATTTCAAAAGATTGGACGAAATAATGCGAAACAAACGTGTAATACTATAATCGTACTATGGTATTATACATTGACTACTTTGAGAAAAACATTTTTTGTCGCCCAATGAAAATTCCTTATAAAATTCACTGGTACACCTTCCCCCAGTTCCTTGTTCAAACACCACAGATCAACAAAGAATGAACAGTAGACAATAGTTAATAGAAGTTAACAGAAATTAAATTTTATTTTTTAACACTACAGCTCTTAATAGTTATAACTAATAATAATAATTTAATAATTATTTTATATCATTTAAAGATATTGGGACTAAGCCTCAGCTAATAATTTTTGGTTAAAAATGGCAGGGCTAAAGCCCTCTCCCCCCATTGAAATTCCCTATTTCTGCCTATGTTCAGGCCAACAATAGTTGGGCGGGAATATTATTTTTTCAAAATCTGTGAAACTATAATATCTGTGTATTCTATATGGGCTTTAGTTTTATAATTCTATGGATAAAACAAATTATTATTTATTACTAAAAAATTGAAGGAAACTATTTATTTGACTTTTAAACATTAATATTCATTATTTAGTATTATGATATTTATTTTATATAAATAAAAATCATTATTTGTAAAAACTTTAACTGCCCTTTTAATTTAATTTTACTCACTGGCGTCCTCCAAGGCGCATTTGCATCTCCAACACTTTATCTTGTACTCAACTAATCCGTTCAAATATTCAAATAACCGAATACGCTGACGACAAAGTAATTACTGTACCCACTTTGATCCTGGTATACATCTCTCCGATATCCTATCACGCTGGTATTCCCACTGGCGTGTGAAATTTAGCAAAAACCAATCTATACCTAAAACGCTATGTCTTATGTGGACGTGTCGAACGCCATAAAAGCGGGTGGTGCGAATAAATTCGTTCGTTCAGATTTTATGCACAGTTTGAAAACAAAATAATTTTGTGTTTGGTCGGACGTTTAAGCGAGTAAACGTGATCGAAGCGATCGTATAAATTATTAATGTATTAATTTATATGATATACGAATAGATAAATGTTCTCTGGAATAAATTTAATAAAAAGTATAGGAACAGACTCTGCACGTCAGCAAACAAAAAATATCGGAATATGGTCACTGGCCATTGGTCAGTCGCAAATTCGCGTTCGTTGCAAATAGGTAGGACACGGTTACGAGAGGCGAATGTGGCCAACGAGAATTCATTCGCATCAGCTGCAAATTCGCGTTCATGTGGGACATAATGACCTCTTCTTTTCGTTATAGTCAATCATCGCCAGTATATATAAACAACGAATCAATACTGAAATCGGACACTGCCAATTACTTAAGTCTAACTTTTTACAAACGTCTTACATATGCTAATGTAGAGTACATATAATACCTTCTCAGACCTATCCTCGGTAAATGCTCAAAAATATCACTCAAAATATATCGATCTATTTATTATAATAATATCTATAATCTCTTAAATCTATTTGGTTATATCTAACTCTGTGACATAATCAAAAAATGTAACGTACAAAAAATTCTAGTATTCCACTCAAAAATCCTCAGGCTTTTAACAAATGCTCCCCTTACATATCCAACCACATCCTTCACACAAATCTCCACATTCCTAAAGTAACTGAAACAGTCAAGCTACACTATTCTAAATTTCGAAATCATCATCTTCAAAATCATACCAACCCTCATGTTTAAAATATTTTGTGCATTTCCATCACTGGAAAACCCCTCCCAGAAGACTCAAGCAGCAATGGCCTCGAAACCTAATATACTAAGCAAAGAACCCTATCGATAGCTTTTAAATTTATACCGAAGTAAAATGTAGAAACATAATTGACAAAAACAAAAACAAATGATATCGAATATGTAACTAAAAAAAGCAAGGCACCTACATCGATCAAACTCTATATATTATTTAAACTATATTTATATATCTCTATATAGAAAGCTGACCTTGAAATCCTTTGTTACAGGTTTACTCTGGAACTTATGACTAAAACCGTTATATTCTCTATAATTTAGAAAACCGCATAAAGATTGGATAAGTTCCAGAACTATACCGTTACAAAAATTCATATTTTCATACCAATTTTTTAACAATCAAGGAATCTCTGGGAAATGTTTTTAGTATGAGTAGTTGAATTTCTGTGTTACTGAATGTGCTTTTTCTGATATTTGGAACTTGTTTTAAGATTGACATCAGGATTTATTCCCTTAATTTGTTTTTTGTGCATTCCTCAATTATTATTTTCTTCTATATGAATTTATATATTTTTAACGTTTTTTACAAACTTCGTTCCGATCCATTGAACAAAAAGTTGTGAATTATTATTTCCATTATTTGAGACCGTAGTATTTGGTAATATAATGAGTAAACCTGAAACTGCCAGTTAATATATATTAAAGTGACCATCACATCTATTATTTTAAGTTGTAAATCTCAAACCTGTGTAAAATATGAATATTATTTCAGTATTTAGCATAGAACTTTCTATTAATAAAAACCTCAAAATAAATACCAAAAAATACTGCAGCTGCAACAGTGGTGTATTCAAGAACTTCAGGATAGGAGCAACACATACATTGCCACACTACCAAAAAAGAAAAACCTTCCATTGTTACTATAACTTTTAAGGATTTCTGTGCAATATAAATCGTAGTACATTATATGCAATTTATGACACAATAACATAGAGAAAAAACTAATAAACTAAAAATTTATAACTTTTTTTTTCTTGATCCAGAAGTAACAAAATCATTGATAGTTTTTTTAAAATCTTACGATGTGGGTATTTCAGTTTCAATTGACAATACCGCTAAGACCAGTGCTCGACTTGGCAAAATCAAAGAAGGGGGACTCTATTTACTTTAAAAAAAAGAACTTCCCCAAAACTGGCTGAGCGTTATGATTATAGCGTAATAATAGTAGGAGGACGTTAAAAATTTTGAAAATTAGTGGGGGTACTCCGTCCCCCCTCAAGTCGAGCACTGGCTAAGACTGAACAGCGGTCTTGTGCAATTGTAATCATAAAAAGTGTTTTTATTATTTTTAGTGTAAAAAATAATGTTCTACACATCAATTTGTAGATTATGTAGATAAAAAATATGCAAAACAACATAAACATATGAATAAACATTAGTAATATAATCAGTGGCGTATCCAGGATTCATTTAATGGGGGTATTTTAAAATTTAATCAGCTCATGGTAATTGGGGAGGCTCTGCCCTCCCCCGTATTACATTAATAAATACCATGTGTTTATATAAATAATTATATTAATGTAAATGATTAAATTAAGATAGTATATGTAAAATCTACAAGTTGTACATAACGTTTATTCAAATTATACTGTAAGTTTGCAATTTAGTGAAACCTAACCATAAAATAAGGTCGATGGGGGGGGGTGTTCTAACACCAACATTACCCCCTAAATACGCCTCTGAATATAATATAATATATATATCACGTTCTATTATTAATAGTAGCATTTGTATTGATGTAAGTTTAACTTCAAACATTTTTATATAGCCTTAAAATTGTACACATTCATTTATAAAACTTGTTATTAAATAATTTGAATAAATATTCAGCAACACTTCAACATCTTGTCTTACTTTTGCTAGACTAATTTCATACAAATTTAAAAAGAAAAAAAACTTTTTCACCAATTCGTCGTAAGCAAGTTTCCTTTTTTCAACTCGTAAGATAACTTGTTCAATATGCGACACCCCTATCCTATAATTCCTAAATACTCTATTATCCATGCTTTATGTGTTGAGATTGGATCGCTGTTTATTAATTTACTTTGTCACTCAGATATACGTTAGTTTTCCAAAGGAAAAATTCTTTCTCATATCATGTTTTTGACTGTAGAAATACTTATTTTTTTTAACTATTTATTGACTAAAAAATGTATAATGATATGTGGATAGCTAAGTTGGCTTTTTTAAGTGATATTTTTGAACCGTTAAATGAGTTAAATATTGATATCATAATGTGGAAAAAATCGGTCCATAATTGATATTGATTAGAAATTATGATTTTAATTACTGGATTATTATTTTTTTTTTTATACTCGCGAATAGTTTAATTTTAGGATCACATTCATAGAACGTCCATTGGTCTATTGTGTAACTTACGAAATACAATTTTTTTATCTCTTTAAACTTTTAAAAATGTGCTGTCCCCAAGGGCGCCCATAAGAAAATTCTCAAGGGGGACAACATTTTAATTTATCAATCTATTCATAAATAGGAATGACCCACGGTATAGGAAGGACCTTACAATTTTACATTATACTATTACATTATATATATATATATATATATATCAAACTGGAAGACAATAAAATAATAATTATTTAACCAATTTACCATAAAAGTAATTTATTGACATTTTTATTTAATTAATAATATAAATTGGACACTTAAAACATTATTTATATTTATTACAATATTAATTTACAAATATTATATAAATATTATGGTGGTGTACACACATACATATATATATCGTATTTCTGGAAATACACAATATTTTAAGAATTGATAATTATCCAAAGAACGAAAAAGCGTATTGTTATTTATAGCTAATAACTTGATTTTCCAAACTAAATAAATAGATTTTTCATAAACAAATTATAGATTTTCATATATTAAATTACATTTTTAAATTATATTTAGATAAATATATTCTTATCGTAGTAAACAATTTTCCGAGATTTTTGACATTTTCCAAGGGACGACATGTCTCTCCCTTGTCCCCCTCCCCATATGGGTGCCCTTGACTGCCCCTCTGAATTTTTCAAAAATAGCCGCCAAGTGCAATAAGACCAATAGCCTTTATCTAAATACGCCTCTGGCTGCAACCAACTCTCTTTCAAAATTTCAAATGAAATGATAACTTTGAAAGTTTTGGATGCACGTTCATCGGTCAATTCAGGTTATACGTTTGATGAAATAAAGATTTTCGTCTTGATCATAATAATACTTAAACCACGTGGTCCTCGAATTCAGACTTCGACCTAATGATAAAATTATATTGAATGATATATACAACAAATGTATACTTATATTATTATTCTGTAATTTTACTATCGACAATTTACAACTAGAGCTACCGCTTAGTCGTTAAGTCGAATCGTAATTTGAGGGATTCTCGATTTTCGGGGCTTTCTGTATCGGTAGATTTACAATAGTATAAACTTTCAAATCTCGATACGGGCATGCAAATAAATCGACAATTGATCGATGTATTTTAAATAAATATTTAATAACAACTATAGATTTCCATCGGTAACAACACGGAACAATGTTAACGAGCAGACACGAACAGGATGACCATATTGAGCGAATTCCACCCGTTGTTTACACGACACACTGTTGATACCTCTACCGCGTCCTCGACATGAATGAGCGTGAAGGGGGGATCCATTATCTCTTATTAGTCCCGTGCTCCAAACGATACGATTAGCGGGGAAAATATTATGTCCTACTGATACGTTTTGCGGTTTTGTTCACATGTTCGACGCTATTGCCATTGTCCTTCTGCCGTCAGTTCATATATCCGTATTCATGAACTGTACCCACTGGTTTTCCAGGCACTCGTCCTAGAGCCGAGTGTGTATAAATCCGCCGTCTTGCGCGCGCGCCGCTCGTTTCCATCGAAAAGTCACGTGCCCGAAGACCAATTACGTACACATTACTACGTCCGCACATTACACCGCTGTCGCACCATGTCCAAACGACGCCTTGACATCATCGACCCGTACATCACCAAGAACAAAAAGTAAGCCGAATTCCGTGTCAGTACTTTGTCCGACACGGGACAAATACCCGTGCCGCTGCTATCCTTTATTAGACTCTAGCTTAGTGGCGTTCTCGATATCTAGGTATCTACAGATCAGTCACTCAAAGTTATTGTCAAATTTTGAGTGCGACCTGTAGAACGTTTGACTTATCCTATGTATCTAGCCAGTTACTGAAGTCTGGTATTGCACTCTATAATGATACAGTAACACTGTATACACTTCAACATTATTGTTATAGTACACCTAAGTGCTGCGGTGTGTACTTGACTTTAGGTTGTGTGTGTCTGTTGTGGACGGGTAAATTTATTTGTATGGCAAGTGCTTAATTTTATGTTGTATTAATATTATCTGGCATTTGCTATCCGTTGTACATATAGTAAATTGCACACATTAAGAGTATTTTGTACATTTAATTTAAAATTTATATTTGTTGCATACTCGTGTGTAATATATTGAAAAAATATAACATAATTCCTGTGGGTACATTATTTGAGATTAACTACAATTTTCTTAAAGCTGTATTTACTCCTTTAACATACATGCTGACATGAAAAAATATCAATGATAATTGAATTAAGTATTTAGTTCTACATATCAAATATAAATAATTTACTGAATTTATAATGTATTATATAAAATATACATAAATATTAAATGATTTATTTTAATTATACATTTTCAGGGCTGAAGGAGCAGTTTATATGAAACCTACTTCTTCCGCTCAATTACAGACAAATCCTTATACTAATTTACCATATACCCCTAAGTAAGTCTTGTTGAGTAAATATTCCTTGTGGATTTTTTATAAATAAGTACCTTATTTTAAAAATTTTAGGTATTTTGAACTACTTAAAAAACGAATTCAACTGCCTGTATTTGAATACAAAGAAGAGTTTATGAGTCTCTTGAAAAATAATCAATGTATTGTCTTGGTTGGTGAAACTGGATCTGGAAAAACTACACAAATTCCTCAATGGTAAACTATTAGTTTTTCTCTTATATAGTTTATTTATTCTTTAATCTATTAACATTTTTAATTTAATAGGTGTGTAGAATATTCATCAGTTTTTGGTCGCAAAGGTGTTGCGTGTACACAGCCTCGAAGAGTAGCAGCAATGTCTGTAGCTCAACGTGTGTCTGAAGAAATGGATGTTTGTCTTGGTTCTGAAGTTGGTTATAGTATAAGATTTGAAGATTGTTCCTCATCTAGAACTCTTCTAAAGTAATATATTTGAAAAATCATAAAAATATTTCCTCTTTAAAATTATACATTTATGTTATGTTTTTTTTTATGATTAATATTTTAATAGATATATGACAGATGGTATGTTGCTTCGTGAAGGAATGTCTGATCCTATGTTGGAAACCTATCAAGTTATTCTTCTAGATGAAGCTCATGAAAGAACATTAGCTACAGATATCTTAATGGGTGTACTTAAAGAAGTTATCAAGCAGAGAAAAGACCTAAAATTAGTTATTATGTCTGCTACATTGGATGCTGGGAAATTTCAAGTAAATTAATTTTACAACCATTAAATAAAATTTATATTTATTATTTAGTTAATTTATTTATTTGTATTTTAGCAATATTTTGATAATGCTCCTCTTATGAATGTTCCTGGCCGTACTTTCCCAGTAGAAATATTTTATACACCAGAACCAGAACGGGATTATTTAGAAGCAGCCATTCGTACGGTTATTCAAATCCATATGTGTGAAGAAGTTGCTGGGGATATTTTATTGTTTCTTACAGGACAAGAAGTAATATTACATTTATTTGTTTATTGAAATTGTATAGTATTCTAATAATATATATTTTTAGGAAATTGAAGAAGCTTGTAAAAGAATAAAAAAAGAAATTGACAATTTAGGACCAGATGTTGGTGAATTAAAATGTATTCCATTATACTCCACTTTACCACCAAACTTACAACAAAGAATTTTTGAGGCAGCTCCACCTAATAAGCCAAATGGAGCTATTGGGCGTAAAGTGGTAGTTTCAACAAACATTGCTGAAACATCTTTAACTATTGATGGTGTTGTATTTGTTATAGATCCTGGCTTTGCCAAACAAAAGGTAAGGTTTATATTAAAAAAATGAATATGAAATTATAGTAAAAAATAATAATTTTAAATAGGTATATAATCCAAGAATTCGTGTAGAGTCATTGCTTGTATCTCCTATTAGTAAGGCATCTGCTCAACAAAGAGCTGGTCGTGCTGGACGTACAAGAGCTGGAAAGTGTTTCAGGTACATATATATTTATTATATATTTTATAAAATAAATACATTTATATTTTGTTTTATTTTTTTGGACTTATGGCAAATCTTGTAAATTTAAAATGATGATATCAAAAGTTATCTAAATCTTATGTTGAGTAGTTTATATGTCTAAATTATTTTTATGGTTATCTTTTGTCATTTAGTATTTTGGTATTATTTTTACTATAAAAATATGCCTTATTTTGAATAATTTCAGATATTGCCTTAAAGCTAATAAGTTAATATCCTGCCAAATTATTTTTTACCAAAATGTACGTGTTACGAGTATACATATGAACTTAATTTTTTTGTATTTTGTAATTTTTTAAGTAATTATCGTATTTTAAGGTTTTGTTAACACACTGTCTTAAGTAAATAGTTTGAAATCTACATTTTTAAATTGCCAGAGTTTATTTAACTTATGATTTTGTATAAAAAACAAAACGATTACAATTTAATTAACTTTTATATAGATTATATACAGAAAAAGCTTATAAAAATGAGATGCAAGAAAATACATATCCTGAAATATTGCGTTCAAATTTGGGTTCAGTTGTGTTACAATTAAAAAAACTGGGCATTGATGATTTGGTCCACTTTGATTTTATGGACCCCCCCCGGTAAATGCTCTCCTTAATTTTAATAATCAACTATTTTATACTCTTATATACTTAATTTTTGTAGCTCCTGAAACTTTGATGAGAGCATTAGAATTACTTAACTACTTATCTGCTTTGGATGATGATGGTAATCTAACAGACTTAGGGAATATTATGGCTGAATTTCCATTGGATCCACAATTAGCAAAGATGTTAATTGCTTCATGTTCACTCAGTTGTTCTAACGAAATTCTATCAATTACAGCTATGTTATCAGGTTAGTTAGTTTTATTAGAAAATAAATATTGATGCTTGTTTATTGTGATAGGTTATTTTAAAACAATATGCAACATTTATCGTATTAATTAGTAGTATTAATGAATTATTGAATAGATTTCAGTACATATAACCTTAAATTATTATGGTTAGTTAAATGGATATAAACAATTTTAATAATTCGAGGGTTGGCGGGAATAATGTGTTATGTAACAATTCTCAAATTTTACAGGAACGACTTAAAATGAAAAATGTATTATAAATATTATCTGGAACACGTGTAGCACATTCTTATATATTATACTATTTTTTTTTATAACTTTACCATTATTTTATTATTTTGTGAACTGTATTCATTTATGAATTAAACTTAAACAAAATTATTTCAATTGTATGTTACACAATCATGATAGCTGCACGTCGCGCGTTGTATCAACTGTGAATAATGAATTTTGTACACAATTGTGTACAATAAAAATATTTTAAAAATTTTATGATTTTTAAAATAAATTGATATTGCTTCATAGAATGTTATTCTGAAAAAACATGAAATCAGAAAAATGTTACATAACATGTTATACCTGCCTACCCTTCAATTATCTATGTAATGTGAATTGTCATGTTAAATCCTACGAATAACAGAAGAAGGTTTGAGATATTGAGTTTAATTATGTTTAATTTTATTTAAGAATAATGTAGATTTATTGAATATTCCTTTAAGTGTGTTGAGAGTTTTAAATGTTGTTATGATATTATAATTATCATTAAATTGTATGTATCAATGTTTGACTTATCAAGAATCTACTAAAATATACCAGAAGAATAATTTGTGTGGCCATTTAATGAAATAATAATGTTAATTAGTTATAAATTATTATTTATAAATCATATTTAGCTTTAAATCTAAAATTATTCTATATTTAAATGATAGATTATCATGTATTACAATATTACAACATTCAATTTTAAACTTAGTAATCATTTGGGTACTAAAGTTACAGCTCTTATACATGTGTATATTGAAACTTTAAATACATTTTTTTTAAAAAAATAAAAGTTAAATAACATATTTTATAATTAAAATCACTTCTGTAATAGGCACTATTCTATTGAAGATAATTTGGTGCACAAAACTCTAAAATTTAATTATATTATTGCATGAATATTGTATAGTTATCATGAACAGTTTAAAATTTAAGTAAAAAGCTATTTAAATTTTTAAATCTTAGAAGTAAAATATTATTATTAATTTCAAACATTTTCCTTTTAATTTGGAATACATTTAGCATTTTTATGTATTTTTAAATATCTAAGTTCAATACTTATTAATGCTACTATTTCTTAGTGCATTTATATGATTTGTTAGTGATGCACTCTTAATATTGTTATTTTTGTATATAATTTTTTTATAAATTAAAATTGTTAATAATTTACAAGTACATTTTACCTGGGCTTTCTAAACAGTAATCATTTCAAGTTTTCTTATGGCTCATCATATTAAAGAGTTTACAATTTATTTATCTTTTTGTTACTAAATATTACAATTTTATGTAAGAAATTAAAGTAACATTTAAAAATAATAAAAACTAATATGCATACCATTATATACATTACAATAGTAAAAAGTTATTTTTAACATGAATTTCTTAATTTAATAGTATCAAAATAATATAATATAATAATATATAAGTATATCCTAAATTAAATAAAAATAAAAATCCTCAAGACACTACTAAGCATTATGTTTTAAAAATATTTTATTTTGTAGGTTATGACTACTAAATTAAATCAATATTTTCTTAGTTGATCAATTATTATTGTATCTATTACATGTAAATTATCTAAGATAATAGTTTATATAATTTAAAGTATTTCTTTAATTATTTTTTTTATTAAATTCTTAATATTTCTAAGATTAGACTTTTTGATAGATTATTTTTCTAATTTTCTGATATATTCATAATTTCTTGGATAAAAATATTTTATCTCTATCATATTTATATTGTTCAACAACTACATGATAAAATTATAAATTATTTTATTCTTTCGGAAAAAAAACATAATGCCAAAGTGTAATTGGTAGGGTTTTAACATAAGGTTAGTTACATAGGTGTATGTTGCTGGTTATTAAATGAGGCACAATGGCCTTATCCGGGCGTACCCGTCTGGCCTGCCTCCCCTGATTGTCTTGTTTAGTCCCTCAATGTTTTGTACGACCTTCTGAAGCAAAGAAAGCATCCGACGACTCCAAAATGAGATTTGCCCATATTGATGGTGATCATCTCACTCTACTCAATATCTATCATGCATTTAAGCAAAGTAAGTTGCCTTAATGTTCATTACCATTTAAATAACTAGCATCATATAATTTAATTTTTTTGTGTTAGACAATGAAGATGCACAGTGGTGTTATGATAATTTTATTAATTTTCGGTCATTGAAATCTGCTGATAATGTTCGTCAACAATTATCTCGTATCATGGATCGTTTTAATCTAAAACGTACATCAACTGAATTCACATCTAAGGACTATTATTTAAATATTCGTAAATCACTCACTACAGGATTTTTTTATGCAGGTAATCCAATTTTATATTGTATATTTAATTACATTTATAATTAATAAATACTTTTATATTTTAATTATTTTTATTATGCAGGTTGCACACTTAGAGAGAACTGGACATTATTTAACAATAAAAGACAATCAGACTGTCCAGTTACATCCCTCAACAGTGTTGGGTCATAAACCTGAATGGGTAATTTACAATGAATTTGTATTAACCACCAAAAATTACATAAGGACTGTTAGTGAAGTTAAACGTGAGTAAACTAATAGTTAATATTAGGGTAATTTCTCAAAACCGTATATTTTACTAAATTCAAATAGTTTCTTGGTGTTTCTTTCAATTCCTGGTTTTAAAGAAAAGTTATATGTAATATAATTGATAAATAGTGTATTATAGAAAAATAGATTGAGGTAATTAGGCATCTATTATTTTTATGGATTTAGCAATAAATAAATTTTATTGAATAAATATAATAAATATGTATTTTACTTATTCATTGTACACAAAATGTAAGGATAATTATACTAATAATGTTATTTTCTTAATTTATTTTTTCATCAGTTATAATTTTTTAATTATCATAAAACTTTTTAAAAAATACTTTTGTATTTATTTGAACTATTTTTATTATTATTTAGCGGAATGGTTACTAAAATATGCACCACAGTATTATGATCTACAAAATTTCCCACAATGTGAAGCAAAAAGACAATTGGAAATTATTCAGGCTAAACTAGACACAAAACAATGGCAAGAAGGTTATTAATATTATATTCATCCATTTCATTTTTATTATTCCATTATTACAAAAACAAATATAAATTGTACATGTTTCTTTTAAAATGAAGAAGCATTTTCATGTTTTATTATATTTTAATTGCTGTAATTTTAATTTTAATAATTTTGTTGCAAATGCATGTAAGTGACACATTATTAATATTTTATAGAACAAATATTTGAGATTGTATTTAATAAAACTATTTTAGTATCAGTACCAAATACCAATTATTGTACAAACAAATCTATAGAGTTGAAAGAAAAAGCAGTGGAATAATAATGAAAAATACTATGTAAATTAAAGTTAATTAAATTTTAATATAGTTTCAAGATAGTGACTTATAAATTAAATATTTTTATAATTGTTATATTTATAAACTTTTACCTCAATGAGGAATGAAGTATAATTTGTGTGTCACCCTTAAAGTGAAATTGTTCAATGATGTAAAGTGACCTGAACATTGTTCATTAATAATAGTCAATGTATATAATTGTGATTAATAAAATTGCAACTGATTTTACTTAAAAAAAAAATATATATATATATATTTAAATAATATCTGTGTATACTAAGTATGAAATCATTAAAAATCTACTTAACTATATATATTATATGACTTTACTTAATATGCATTATTAGTAATACATTTTTATAGAAAAACAGAAAACGTTATGAAGTTGGAATTTTTTAGATATTATTGGTATTGGATTTTAATAATTGTTATAACCTCCATAGTTCCAACTCTCTAATTAAAGTATGACTTAGCACTTACATCATAGAATCACTTTATAAACAATGTGTGTGTGTGTGTGTGTGTGTGTATGTGTGTATAAATATATTTATTTACCTTATTTTAATTTGACCTTATGTTACCCTATATTATATTATGTATTTCAACATTTCTATGTATAGTTAATACTTTATATAAATGAATAGATTTTGATATTTTATTTAATATCTAATGTACAATTAATAAACTGTAAAATGTTAATATTTTTGTACTAAAATGTAGATGAATTATTTTCCTTCTATTTATGATTAAAAATATATAATTAAGTGGCTATTTTTGTTTTATGATTAATTTATAATAATACTGATTAAAAATTATCAATTATTTTAACTAACATTTTGCACTAAAACTAAACAAATATATATAACTATAGGAGTTGAAAACATGTATATGTATATTATAACCGATGGAGTTTTGATGCGGAAGTCATATACCCCTATTCATTTTGTTTTTATAATTTTAATGTTTAATTTAATTAATAATAATAATTTAACTTTCATAACATTTGCAGTTGTTTACATGTAGCCCGTAAGCACAACTAGATTGTTAGAGTCCGATTTGATTTCATCCAATCCGTTTCCGTTGCCTTTAAAAAAACGGACTGTGTGAAAGAGGCCTAATGCTTCTTTATCAAAAGAAAACAATGCCTAATAAAATAAATTATAAATTACAATTATAGATGTATTAAACATTTATTACATTTCATTTTCATGTTTTTATTAAAATTGACTTTGAAATAATCAATAAACATCATGATTTTATTCAAATTTAATTTAATGAAATTGTTTATTGAATTTACAAGCTATAAACTCTGTTTATGAAAACAATTCAAAGTGACTTATAATTCCACCCAATAGAGCAAAATATGCATGAGAACACTAATCATATTTATTGTAATTTTTTTTATTCATGTCAAAACCTTGGATAAAGATGTAATTTTCTTCATTACCAACTGTAACAGAAACATTAATATTTTTAAGTATAATAAATTCTTTTCAATTTCTTTGAGATGAAATTACACCAATACAAATTTATAATAATAATTCAATGAATATCAAGTATATTTTGTTTACTTCATAGTATAATTATGTTAAGTTGCCCGGTGCCAATGTAGTTATACCCTAAAAAATACACTTAACGGAAATAGTGATCCTGCCTCATATATTTAACCAAATTTTATTTATTTTTTTATTTTTTAATAGAAGGAAAAATTTTACAGGCCGCATTGAACTCCGTTTTTTCAATATTTATTAAGGTTAAAAATTTAAGACATAATTAAAATTAATCTAACTACTTTTCATTTTATTAGTCAATTTAAGTAATTTCAGAAGAAAAATGTTTACTCAAAAAGGGTACTGTGTTACTACAGGTAGGTAACGGATTGACCACATATAAATATTGCCAATACTTTACATAGGTAATATGTATTCATGTTGAAATATATAAAATTAAAACTAATGAAAGACAGTATTTAGATGATACAATTTATCCGTTATTATTAAGGTACATCATTGAAAATAAAAAAATTAGTTTATTGATAAGAGATAATGTCGATATTAGAAAAACTCGGGTATTTTGAATTGGGCCAATGAGAACACGATATTTAAGTGCCGCGCTGTAGCGTCCTGGGTTTACTAATACGCATCAGGATCGCGAAAAGTATAAGAAAGAAAAGAGAACATCTTAAAATGAAGACATTGGCAACACAACGCGTGATAACTTGCTTGTGTATATTTACGTGAATCATTAGGATTTTCATAAAAATTTTTAAGAAATTTTTATGTTATGAGTAACAAATAAATCCCTATATTGATACTTCTATTCTCGCACACGCTTAAGGAAAATAGAAATATTTAAAAATAATTAGATAGAAATGGACATTAAAGTGAGGGTGAATAGAAACCCTTAAATCTACAACAGATTTTAATATTTTCTCGGTTAATATTTTTTTATAATTAAAATAAATAATTATATATTAACAACATTTACATCTAAATAATACTTTTTGGCGGCAAACAATGACGGTAGAATCGATGAGGCAGATAATCTATGTCTAATTTTACTTGTCCTTTTCTATTGACGTTTGTTGAACATTTTCATTTTTACTAATTGCATTTCTTACAGTTTCCTCTTCATAATATATAAAAAAAATTTAAAAAAATTAAAATCATAATTGATTTTTTTTTAAATCTTAAAGCATACTTGATTATTTAAATATTGTATTTATTTTCATTATTAAAGTAAACAGCCGAAATATAGAAATCGATCCATAGTTAAACGAACTTACGAGTGAGACAAACATATTCCTACTTCCACGAATACGGGTACGTCGTTATTTTTTTTTTGAATAACAAATGCAATTGTAATAAAATAAATTAAATTTATGTTTTGTAGCTTCTAGTTTATTTTTTATATAATCCATTACCTTTTAAAAACTAAAAATAATCAAGTAGTCTTGATTATTTAAATAAAATTATTCCTTTATTTACATAAATTTTCCTCCATTTAATATTCATTTAAATAATTAATACTTTAAATTTATACGTAAAATTTCAATTTTAATTGCATTAGTATTTATTTTTTTTTATTATTAAATTTATTTTTCGAATTTACTTGCACGAATAGTCCTTAGATCTTTGGATACCTCTATTCATTTTTTCTTTAGTTATTAAGCATTCATTTTTATTAACAATTTAAAGTATAATGTTTTTAATAATACTTATGATTTTTTTTTAAATATAACTTTATATAATTATTCTCATTTAATAATCAAATAACAATATTTTGATTCAATTTTTTTTGTTTTTTTTCAGAACTAGGATTTTTTTTCTACCTAGTTTTCTACCTTTTTCTACCAAGTTTCCTTCGGGAGCTAGGGAACCCTTTTAATATTTTTTTTTTTTAATATTATACCTACTGTAATTATTTAAAAGAAAAAAAATCAAAATCTTTTAATTTATAATTATTATTATTATTTTATTATATAGTTATTATAACTAAATAACCAAAAACTTTTAAATATTTTTGATTAAAATAAAATAATTATGATAAATTCTTTATAAATCGCTTTTATATTCATAAAAATAAATAAATTTAAATTAATTACATTAATTTAATTTCAAAATATTTAATATTTAATTAATTTTTTTATGTTTCTTTTCAGAATCTGGATTATATACTATATAATAACTTATATAGTTTAATGCTTTAATCAATGAAGAAACTAAACAAAATTATAATGACTAAATTATTTTTTATAATATAATTAATTATCTTCACATGTATTGCTATCAAATATTATTTAATTTAGTTATTATTCTAGTGGCCTACCTTGCAAACAAGTATGTTCATATATATTAAAAACTTAATTTTTTTTTTTTTTTTTTTTGTAGTTTGAAAGTGCAGAGAGTAAAGTTGAAAACAATCGTGAAAAACAAGAAATTAATCAATGCATCATTGAAGTTGGTAAACAAGATATGTCCTACTACTGTATATAAATGGTTAGATTGTGTTGGACAATTTTTTACGTTGCTTTGTATGTTAAACGAATGCAAATATCTCCTCACAAAAGTAACTTATGTTTATATTTTTGACCCATTATCTTTTCTAGCTAAAAGTATCAGTATGGTTTCTTCTATCGAGTAAAAATTTAATAAATTAGTAATTACAGCAACATCTATTCTGATATTAGAATTATCTTCGGGAAACATTAATAAAAATAATAATATAATTTTTATTGGGCCACGACCCTAGAAAAAAGAATAAGTACAATTGTCCTCTCAACAATTTATTTATGGCCATTTCAACCAATATTGCAAAGGTATCCTATCAACATTAATATTCCTCAAGAAAGGCAATGACAGTTTAATTCAAATCAGTTTACAAAATATCTGTATTTAGAGTAAAGTGTACATATTGATTCAATTTACTGTTGTTTTAAATGTGAATTATTTCCTACTGGTCCCAATTATTCATCTACTGAAACATCTTGATCGAAAGTAGGAATTTGACATAAGATGAAATCTAAAGGTAAAAACAGAAAAGGAAAATTAGAAATACATTTTACATCATAACCTCTTTTTTCTTTGAATGCATATTCTGATAATGTTTTGTATTAAATGATTTGTTGGAATTTTTGATTTGTTAAATTGAATACATAAAAATACTTATAATACCAATTGGTTATGAAAAATAGTTATTGTTTTATAATACCAATTTTAAATCAAAGTAGATGTAGTCGTACAGAAAAATTTGCTGAGAGTTTAGATATCATCTAGTGTGTGGCCACCTTTAATCTGGACTTAATTGAAGGGACACTTTATTATTAAATAATCATTGAGTAAACGAATATGGAGGTGAGGGCTTAGAACCCGCGTCTTTAAACTACCATTTTTTCATACGATTAAATTTATAATGGTAATAATGTAATTTAATTTCAATATTTGCTAGTCGATAAGCAAAGTATCGTGGATACTATAATATTAATAAGTAATATTTATCACGTTGGTAGGTAACGTGAAATTTGTTGTAAAGTATTTTTTGCTAATAATCTTCACTCCCCATCAATATTTTGTTGAGCAAACTATTATTTAAATGGATTATTTATATATAGTAATATACTTCATAAGATATTCAATATTTTAGTTTTAATAAATAGGTACGTTTTAAGTTTATCATAGACGAATATTGGTAGGAAATATGCCTTCTCCTCTTAGACTCAGAACTTTACATTCAACGAATTGAAGATTTTTACGGTTCTATATGATTTTATACATTTTCTTACTCCCCTAAAGCACCCTCTAGATGCAACCAAATATTAGTTTATGAATTATATACAGTGTTGTATGACCCGCAACAATTTACTGCATTTATTAAATTGGTGACTAAAGATATCGAACACTGTATATAATTTGTATAATATATGTACAGTGGCGTGGATACAATTTTTTTCTGAAGGGGGGAGGTGTTTAAGAGTCAATTCATAATATTCTTAGTATATCTTAATACGAGGTCCTATATAATAATATTACATTTAAAATGGTATTATTATTATGTCCCGTATTTAATGAAAAATATTTTGCTACTCAATTTTTAGTATATACCTACTAACAGTAAAATAAAAATATTATTTTACTATAATATGTAAATATTAATAAATAATAATTAAATACCATTAAAAAAAAAAATCTGGGTGGAAAACTCCTTACCCCCAGCTATCGCAACTGAGCCACTGTATATATATATATATATATATATATATACCATGTTCAATGATTTTTAAATTGTACGTTATAATAATCATTAACTAGGGTTGTAACAAAAAATGTGAAGAGTTAATATTCATATTACTAATGAGATATATGTGTATATATAAATATTAAAAAATGGTAACTAATAATTTCAATACATGTATATTTTCAGAAAACCTCAATTTTGATACCTAAAATATTTTGAATATTAAAAATAACTTTACGTTTTACTTTAAAGCGCATTCAATATAGTTTTATTATGACATAAATGTAAAAAAAGAGTTTAAACGATAAATCGTTGAAAATATTATTTTTTTATACATTTTTTTTTCTATGAAACAAAATATAAAATGTACTGTTTAATAATTCACACGTGTTAATCTATTTTCTAAGATTTGTATACAATTGTTGTTTAATAATTTACAACACGAATACCCATTGATAAAATATATCTAAAAACTCCACCGCGATATCCCTAATTTTTTTTATTATAAAATGCTTTGTAACATATTCTGATAATAAATACCGGAATAATCATTTAAAACATATTTTCCATCATGGAAGCCACTTATTTGTGCGTTTATAAGTCCAATGCGGGGCTATACGCATTGAAATCCCAACAATTGTATCATGTGTAATCTCAGACAAACACCGATTTTACTTGACCACCTGTAGGTATTACAACTAGATCAGGTCGGTATCAAGTCTCGACCACGTCGCCCGGACGTGTTTTGCAAAGAGCCCCTGAACAGCACAGTACGACGTTATAA